GAGTAGATAGTCAGGTTCCCATGTCAGGTTTGGTGTGAGTAGATAGTCAGGTTCCCATGTCAGGTTTGGTGTGAGTAGATAGTCAGGTTCCCATGTCAGGTTTGGTGTGAGTAGATAGTCAGGTTCCCATGTCAGGTTCCCATGTCAGGTTTGGTGTGAGTAGATAGTCAGGTTCCCATGTCAGGTTCCCATGTCAGGTTTGGTGTGAGTAGATAGTCAGGTTCCCATGTCAGGTTCCCATGTCAGGTTTGGTGTGAGTAGATAGTCAGGTTCCCATGTCAGGTTCCCATGTCAGGTTTGGTGTGAGTAGATAGTCAGGTTCCCATGTCAGGTTCTCATCTTGGCTGAAACATATTACATGCCTGCTAGACGACAGTGGCACAGGCAGGATTTTGTCTGATGGGTAAAGTTGTATGGCATACACATATATACATAAACACATATATGCATATTATATATATATATATATATATATATATATATATATATATATATATATACATATATATATATATATATATATATATATATATATATATATATATATATATATATATATATATATTAGAAGTCCGTGCGGTGGGTCTAATCCTCTGCCACGTCTTTGTAACTTTAATTCGAAATCTTGCTTTAGTTTTAGTTTTATCTTTATAACAAAAGTGGTGTGTATCAGCTTGACGTAGCATCACTTTGCCGGGCTGTGGGTTCGGAACAGAGTCGGAAACACAGTACTATGACAACGCTACTTTGATTAATTGTAATTGTGTACGTGTTTTTCCCCACTCAAACAGCACACGTAACATTAACTCGACTTATTAGGGTGCATCGTCTGATGTGGTGTCTCATGTGCGTCACGTGGTGTTATGCATCACATGACGTAGTGCATGATGTGACGTAGTGCATTGTTCGTGTAGGCTGAGTGCATGTATCAGTCCGTGAACGAGGAAGATAAAAAAATCGATGCTGATATTCTCAGCTAGGAGCTGCTACTTAGAACCATCGACGCCGACTCCTGTGTCTTTTAGACTCCGTCTATAAATAGTTACAATAACATGTTGACATTTAGATGATCTATTCTTAGCGCATCGCATTTCTTCCCCACGCTCGAATCACCCAGGCAACAAATATTTCATCTACTGCTAATTGTTTTTATTGCCGTCAAACCACGTGATGCTGGTCTACGCGGCTAACACCGTTGCCACCAGTCCGACAATTATATCCCACCCTACGCCAAAGTCCGACAATTATATCCCACCCACCCTACACCAAAGTCCGACAATTATATCCCACCCTACACCAAAGTCCGACAATTGTATCCTACCCTACACCAATGTCCGACAATTATATCCTACCCTACACCAAAGTCCGACAATTATATCCTACCCTACACCAAAGTCCGACAATTATATCCCACCCCACACCAAAGTCCGACAATTATATCCCACCCACCCTACAGCAAAGTCCGACAATTGTATCCTACCCTACACCGACAATTGTATCCCACACACATGACCCCGAACAATTTAAATTTTTGACAGGCATCATGACTCGACTCTGCTTAAACTTCTCAAATAGTCGAGTTACATAGTCAACTTGTCTAGGGAGCTCGATTGAGCAGCAAAAAGCATTAATAAAAGATATCCTAGTCAGGCAGTTCAGAGCGGGTTGTTGGGGGGGGGGGGGGGGGGGGGGGACGACGACGACACGTGATGACAGCTGTCTCATACCAGGTTACAGCCATTGTCGTGTCGTGTCGTTTTTTTACATCAAAATTTGAGTGTCATAAACTAAAGCTGTAAAGATATAGGCTACTGTGTGTGTGTGGGGGGAGTGGGGGATATTTCTGACACCCCCGCTAAACAAAGCCCTACCTACGTCACTGCTTCGCGCTCACAATGGTCGCCTATTATAGTTTATTATTTGTAACTTAAACCGGTTTAGCCACCAAGACTCACCACAGCAGCTGAATTAACAGAAAAGTCACCACACACACACTCACATATACATATACATATACGTATATATATATATATATATATATATATATATATATATATATATATATATATATATATATATATATATATATATATATATATATATATATATATATATCCACCAATATTTAGGCTTACTATTTTACCAGTTGTGCGTAGTTATTGCTGCGTACTCAGAAAGCAAGAAAGCTTATAATAATTCATTTAAATATAGAAAACCATTTCTACGTGTTGTTTTAAAGCAATCAAATAATACATCCGCCGAACGTGTTCGTGTTATTTCCTGAGACCGGTGTTAGACCCCACTGGTGTCAGGTGCCAACCGGTGTTAGACCCCACTGGTGTCAGGTGCCAACCGGTGTTAGACCCCACTGGTGTCAGGTGCCAACCGGTGTTAGACCCCACTGGTGTCAGGTGCCAACCGGTGTTAGACCCCAGTGGTGTCAGGTGCCAACCGGTGTTAGACCCCAGTGGTGTCAGGTGCCAACAGGTGTTAGACCCCACTGGTGTCAGGTGCCAACCGGTGTTAGACCCCAGTGGTGTCAGGTGCCAACAGGTGTTAGACCCCACTGGTGTCAGGTGCCAACCGGTGTTAGACCCCAGTGGTGTCAGGTGCCAACCGGTGTTAGACCCCACTGGTGTCAGGTGCCAACCGGTGTTAGACCCCAGTGGTGTCAGGTGCCAACAGGTGTTAGACCCCACTGGTGTCAGGTGCCAACCGGTGTTAGACCCCAGTGGTGTCAGGTGCCAACAGGTGTTAGACCCCACTGGTGTCAGGTGCCAACCGGTGTTAGACCCCAGTGGTGTCAGGTGCCAACCGGTGTTAGACCCCACTGGTGTCAGGTGCCAACCGGTGTTAGACCCCAGTGGTGTCAGGTGCCAACAGTTTCTGTTCATTTACCCCCGTCCGTCATCACCCACCCCTGTTCATTTACCCCGTCCGTCATCACCCACCCCTGTTCATTTACCCCCGTCCGTCATCATCCACCCCTGTTCATTTACCCCCCTCCGTCATCATCCACCCCTGTTCATTTACCCCCGTCCGTCATCATCCACCCCTGTTCATTTACCCCCGTCCGTCATCACCCACCCCTGTTCATTTACCCCCGTCCGTCATCATCCACCCCTCACCCCTGTTGATTGCCCAAATTAGCTGTTACCCCACTACTGAGAATGCCCATAGTATACTTTTTACTTTCTCGTATACAATGTAAATAATGGTGCAAAAAATCGAAATTTTCACAAATCTCGACGTTTTACACCTCGCTGAGTCGGACAAAGTGTTGCAACTGTATGCCTGTACCAGGTGACACCATTTAGGGAGTGACACCTTGGGTAAAATTTACGGTCAATAGTTTTTTTATCCAGTTAAAAAAATAGAGGGGTGACACCAAACCAAAACCCTTAGGGGGTAAGAGAGACACCCTAACTTACCGCAGCGGGTGACACCCTAACTTACCGCAGCGGGTGACACCCTAACTTACCGCAGCGGGTGACACCCGACTTAGTGACGTCAATGCAGAGGTTTCCTGAGCGACCAATCCTTTTACTCAGCATTTAAAAACCTGCTTTCCTAAAGGTTTTTAATCACCATTATATATATATATATATATATATATATATATATATATATATATAAATATATATATATATATATATATATATATATATATATATATATATATATATATATATATATATATATATATATATATATATATATATATATATATATATATATATATATAGTTCCGTAGTCTGAAGGACAATTGAATAATCGTGCATTGGAAATCCAAGCACAAAACCTGTGCGGTAAGATAGGTAGAGCCAGATGTTGCCGCCCATGTACCAGACACCTCTCTCCACACTGCTGATGGACTCAATACACAGGACGCTATCCGTGCAGCCTGGAATCAGCTGTGTTGTAGCAGCTGCCCAAAGGAAACCTAAGGGGCTCCACTCCTGGTTGATGTCGGAGTTTAAGGGGCTCCACTCCTGGTTGATGTCGGAGTTTAAGGGGCTCCACTCCTGGTTGATGTCGGAGTTTAAGGGGCTCCACTCCTGGTTGATGTCGGAGTTTAAGGGGCTCCACTCCTGGTTGATGTCGGAGTTTAAGGGGCTCCACTCCTGGTTGATGTCGGAGTTTAAGGGGCTCCACTCCTGGTTGATGTCGGAGTTTAAGGGACTCCACTCCTGGTTGATGTCGGAGTTTAAGGGGCTCCACTCCTGGTTGATGTCGGAGTTTAAGGGGCTCCACTCCTGGTTGATGTCGGAGTTTTCTCTCCTAGACGTGCTGACGAGCCTTGTCGGGACTTTCGAGTTGGCACCCATACGCTTATCCGCCCGACGCTTGCGATTTAAACGCCACTGATCTGCCTCAACACACCCGCCTTATACTCCATGGTGTGAAAACATCCGCTAACACCAGTTCACTTGTCATCTGGCTGTAGGGTGCTAGCTTGAACTTTATCCCGTTTTCTCTAGTTTGTTTTTAAATATAGTCGTTTTTAGATTGGTTTATTATAACTAACTTTTTAGACTGAAAAGTAGACATTCTTGCGTTGTCATCAGAAATAAATTTAGCTGAAAAAAGCCACATTAGAACTGTACCAGACTTGAGTTCCAAGATTGACTATAAACATTGTAACTTGACATAAAATTGAACTAATTGGATCAAGAATACATAGTTAAAGAAACGATGATTATTTTGATAGTACATTTTAGATGGGGGGGGGGGGAAGAAGAGGTTATGTCCTTCAACTCCACAAGGTGAGCTTGCGTATGACAACTTCCAAACTATTGAGGCAATTCCTGATGAAGGTACCAGGTTTGTGACTAGTTAGATTCATTGATTCCCTACCTGTTCAGGCAATTACTGATGAAGGTACCAGGACTAGTTCGACTCATCGATCTAGTAAGAAAACATCGTCAGCTGATTGAAGACTTCCTATACAACTCTGTATTGAGCTGACATTTACAAATCAAAGGGCAACAACTATGTGGTAAATTTAAAAAGTTACTTTATTTATGTACAAGTCAAATAAACACATGAATAGAAGTGACTGAGTAAGAGGTGACGCGCAAGTCAATTCACATTCCAATGAGTTAATACAATTTATGTTCAATGAAAAGAAAATACACCCAATTTAAGAGCTAACTAATTGATTCTTTAGATGTTTTATAAAATGACCTAAAACTGTCTGATTTGAAGAGAATTAAGCAAACAATAAATTGTCAAACATCATCCATTTTTTATGTAGAAAATCTTGCAACCTTTGACATCTAATCAAAGAATACATTTTAATACTTTATTTGAATGAAACCCACCTATAGGTAAAAACTAAAGCGTATAAAAAACATCAAGGACCTTACAAAACAAAAATATTGCAGCTGTCAAACTTGTTTTTGAACCTGGATTCTGTTTATCAATGACAGTCTCAGTTTTACATTTTGTAACTCTAAACAATATTTAATGTTAACACCAGCTCACCAGGTTTACGGATTCATTCAGTTCCTATAAAATACTGTTATCTTAAACTGCATTTTTATGGCTAGTTGAATATCCTATTGATTGAAGATGAGATATTCTTGTAGTGTCACAAGATATGTATTTAATCACATTTGAATAGAAATACCCCAGTAAAATTGGGTCAAGATAACCTTCCAAAATTTGACCAAAAGCAGCTGATGTGACTTAAAAGCCTGTAAAAACACAGGTGACTTACTATTACAGGGGGATCATGTTTGCTCAAGTCTACTAGTGGGTGGAGGTTTTACTTGTGGGTGGAGTTTTTACTAGTGGGTGGAGTTTTTACTAGTGGGTGGAGTTTTTACTATTAGAATTCTTTAATGGTTCTCTGGTGATACAAGGTCACACAGATTTACATGTATCACAGATTGTTCTCTCATTTGTACTCAGTCAAATATGGCAAAACATTGGTGCTGTTATGGCAAAACATTGGTCCTGTTATGGCAAAACATTGGTCCTGTTATGGCAAAACATTGGTCCTGTTATGGCAAAACATTGGTGCTGTTAGTTAGCTCAATCAGTAAATGACAAAAATAGGGTATTATTTAATCTTTTCTTTTACAGTAACTGAGTAACAAGTAAATAACAAATTAATAAACACAGACCAACCAGGTACCTAAAACAAATCATAAATCTAATTTGTTTTTAAATTTTGTAATGTATTCATCTCAACCATGTATCCGCTGACCAACAGTTAGTGGTCAGTATTCATCTCAACCATCTATACAAGGCATGTACCAGCCAACAGACCACCAACAAATACATTACAGCCAACAGACCACCAACAAATACATTACAGCCAACAGACCACCAACAAATACATTACAGCCAACAGACCACCAACAAATACATTACAGCCAACAGACCACCAACAAATACATTACAGCCAACAGACCACCAACAAATACATTACAGCCAACAGACCACCAACAAATACATTACAGCCAACAGACCACCAACAAATACATTGAAGTATAGCCAAATGTATAATAAAATGTTATGGAAAGAAAACTCAACCAAAAAGAAAATAATCAAGCAATATGTTTTTGGTTGAATGCCTGAATTGGCACTATGACCCCATCTATTTAGATTTTTTTTAAAAACCCAAACAAGACTGTACAAGACAAGGCAGTGAGGCAGCTAATTAAAGTGAATATTGATTGGGATAAACTGCCTCTTTGTTCCATGGATAAACTATGTTCCTGCGTGTGCAATCTTTGTTCTGGTGTAATAAACAGTCATTGATTCATGCATTGATCTTTCTTCAGATGGCGTGGAGAAACACATCAAGTCAAGCTACGACAGCATGTATCAAACTTTCACATCAAACATCCTCTACCACCAGCCTGTATCAAACTTTCACATCAAACAGCCTCTACCACCAGCCTGTATCAAACTTTCACATCAAACATCCTCTACCACCAGCCTGTATCAAACTTTCACATCAAACATCCTCTACCACCAGCCTGTATCAAACTTTCACATCAAACAGCCTCTACCACCAGCCTGTATCAAACTTTCACATCAAACATCCTCTACCACCAGCCTGTATCAAACTTTCACATCAAACAGCCTCTACCACCAGCATGTATCAAACATCCTCTACCACCAACATGTATCAAACATCCTCTACCACCAGCATGTATCAAACTTTCACATCAAACATCCTCTACCACCAGCATGTATCAAACATCCTCTACCACCAGCATGTATCAAACAGCCTCTACCACCAGCATGTATCAAACAGTCTCTACCGCCAGCATGTATCAAACAGCCTCTACCACCAGCATGTACCAAACTTTCACATCAAACATCCTCTACCACCAGCATGTATCAAACATCCTCTACCACCAGCATGTACCAAACTTTCACATCAAACATCCTCTACCACCAGCATGTATCAAATAGCCTCTACCACCAGCATGTACCAAACTTTCACATAAAACAGCCTCTAACACCAGCATGTATCAAACAGCCTCTACCACCAGCATGTACCAAACTTTCACATCAAACAGCCTCTACCACCAGCATGTATCAAACAGCCTCTACCACCAGCATGTACCAAACTTTCACATCAAACAGCCTCTACCACCAGCATGTATCAAACATCCTCTACCACCAGCATGTATCAAACATCCTCTACCACCAGCTTGTATAAAACAGCCTCTACCATCAGCATGTCACAAACTTTCACTACTAACATAAAGTAAACAGTCTGCCAAACTAAAGGAATACTGGAACAATCTCTTTCACTAGTTTTTGTACAATAAAAAAAGTTTTGGTTAAGTGTACAGTGCTTGAGAAGGATTTGATGCTGTTGTTCAAAGCTTAAAGTTAAAACACAGTAATTTCAGGTGGATATTGATTGTAAGGCCGTGCCTTAAGTACAAAATCTGAGCTGAAATTATAAGCCAAGGTGAATGCTAAATTTAGCTGCAGCAGTGACGCCAGAGCTATAGATTATAAGTAATGTTAATTCCTTTCATAGGAGGCTGTGTTGGCTGACAAGCCCCGCCCTGCCAACATCTTGGTCATTGACAAATTCAACCAGGACAAAAATAAGCTGCTGCTGTCTCAATTGGTGGGTGCCAACAGGGGAGAGAATCAATAGCCTTGTGCAATGGTAGACTGGTGAATCACACAGCATCCATGGATTGAACTCATGACATCCAGAACATTCGGGTAGTGCTGGGTTCTACGGCTAGCTCAAATTGCCAACAATTTCACTTGACAAGACTAAGACAGCTTGTTCAAACAGACATGACAAGTGGCTGGAATAGACTTGTTTAGAATTTTGTCAAACATAGCATGTACAATCCTCAAGTGGGGCAGTTATATTCTTATTGAATTTCCTATTGATTCTAGACAGCAAATAAGTCACAAGACAAAGCTAGCATATAGATAATGTATATTCAGGATACCATCTCATTGCCTAGCTTATTTGTGTTGATCCTTGTGTCTCAAACGAGTGGGGGAGGGGGAGGAGATCTTGCTGCACTTATTCTCTACAATATATGTAACATAAACACCACTTGAATCAACTATTAGACTCAGTAATCCACTTTCTGGTTGTTCCATAATGTCCAAAACTGTCAAATTTTGCCTTTGTAATGTCTATATGTACTGAACTAGCTACCAGTATATAGCTGGACTGTGAAAAGCTTACCCTCTCTTAACTGCACATTTCTTTTTTTAAATGCAACTGTTCTCAACTCCAATCAACACCTCATATTTTAGTTATCCACTGCAAATAATTCTCTCTAAATACGTTGGGTGAAGACTAATGTTTTCCTTAAAACAAAATGTACCAGGATCACAATTAGTCCAGAAAAGCCTTAAGCTAAATCAATACTTTATTTAATGGCAACATCCTCATGCCAACTAAGTCAGAACGGATATGTTAACAGATAATATTGAGGTAAACATTTTACCTTCTGGTACACACGCACCAGGTGCACTAAAATCATTGAAACATTGGATTTACTAAAAAACTAAAGACTAAGTTTGACAGTGCGACTAAAAGATGACTGCTACAAACTGTTATATCAGCAAAACATGCTGTACAAAGAAAATACATATTCAAAATAACGTCTTCATTTCTTCAAAGTTTATAATGCTTAATGATTGTTATCAAATCATAAGCTTTAGATTGTATAAAGCTGCGTGTGGAAACATTAAACAACAGACTTATATTTGCAGGCAAACATAATCCAGGTGGCACATGCTGATTCAGGGTACGGATAAACACGAACTCGCACTGCTAGACGCACCTGGTCGCCCCGACAGTTGATTATTTCATCACACACAGGAGATCTATGAAAGAAAAAACTAGTGACAGTTGATTATTTCATCACACACAGGAGATCTATGAAAGAAAAAACTAGTGGCAGTTGATTATTTCATCACACACAGGAGACCTATGAAAGAAAAAACTAGTGGCAGTTGATTATTTCATCACACACAGGAGATCTATGAAAGAAAAAACTAGTGACAGTTGATTATTTCATCACACAGGAGATCTATGAAAGAAAAAACTAGTGACAGTTGATTATTTCATCACACACAGGAGATCTATGAAAGAAAAAACTAGTGACAGTTGATTATTTCATCACACACAGGAGATCTATGAAAGAAAAAACTAGTGACAGTTGATTATTTCATCACACACAGGAGATCTATGAAAGAAAAAAACTAGTGGCAGTTGATTATTTCATCAACCACAGGAGATCTATGAAAGAAAAAACTATTGACAGTTGATTATTTCATCACACAGGAGATCTATGAAAGAAAAAACTATTGACAGTTGATTATTTCATCACACAGGAGATCTATGAAAGAAAAAACTAGTGACAGTTGATTATTTCATCACACACAGGAGATCTATGAAAGAAAAAACTAGTGACAGTTGATTATTTCATCACACAGGAGATCTATGAAAGAAAAAACTAGTGACAGTTGATTATTTCATCAGACACAGGAGATCTATGAAAGAAAAAACTAGTGGCAGTTGATTATTTCATCAACCACAGGAGATCTATGAAAGAAAAAACTAGTGGCAGTTGATCATTTCATCACACACAGGAGATCTATGAAAGAAAAAACTAGTGAAAGTTGATTATTTCATCACACACAGGAGACAGGAGATCTATGAAAGAAAAAACTAGTGACAGTTGATTATTTCATCACACAGGAGATCTATGAAAGAAAAAACTAGTGACAGTTGATTATTTCATCACACACAGGAGATCTATGAAAGAAAAAACCTAGTGACAGTTGATTATTTCATCACATACAGGAGATCTATGAAAGAAAAAACTAGTGACAGTTGATTATTTCATCACACATAGGAGATCTATGAAAGAAAAAACTAGTGACAGTTGATTATTTCATCACACACAGGAGACAGGAGATCTATGAAAGAAAAAACTAGTGACAGTTGATTATTTCATCACACACAATAGATCTATGAAAGAAAAAACTAGTGACAGTTGATTATTTCATCACACAGGAGATCTATGAAAGAAAAAACTAGTGACAGTTGATTATTTCATCAGACACAGGAGATCTATGAAAGAAAAAACTAGTGACAGTTGATTATTTCATCACACATAGGAGATCTATGAAAGAAAAAACTAGTGACAGTTGATTATTTCATCACACACAGGAGATCTATGAAAGAAAAAAACTAGTGTAAGGTTTACAAAAAATATCCAGTTGGTACAAGAAAGTTCCTTGCTGTAGAATATCATAATTCCTTTAAAAAATTCTCAGATTAAGAAAACACAATAGCTTGATATACAATTCTATTCCTGATATTTTTTATATAATTTGTTTTAATAAGGGGAAACAACTCATACAGAATCTTTAATTCTATCAATTTATGAGTTGGGAAGAACTTGAAAAAAAAATTCTGCACCATCTGACTAGATTACTAAAAATAGCTCTCTCACAACAATCTTTTGGTGTCTGACTTTCAAGTAACCTTATAAGACAAAGTACCTACTAATTCACTCATTTCTAGCAATGTTATTGACTTAACCTTAAGGTGTGCAAGTACACTGCCAGGAGAGGTGGATGGTTAATGATAATTAGTTAATTAAAAGCCTCAAAGTAACAGCTTGAATAAAGGCAGCCCAGGTGAAAATATTTTGGTATGTTCAGGTAACATAATTTATATTGATAAGTGGAGGTTCCATCATTTATATTGGGTAGGTTCAAGTTCTCTCATTTATTGGATAGGTTGAGGTCCCATCATTTATATAGGACTTTGGTAGGTTCATGTTCAATCATTTATATTGGATCTTGTAACATTTAAAAGCCATTACAAAATCATTATTGGAAAAGGTTGATGTATAGAAAAAGCTGGGGAGCTAACCATCCAAGGGAAGTAATTGTTACTGATTGCTGAGACAAAGCATGACATTTTATGAATCATTAAACAGGCTGTCTCTGCTAATTGCTGTAACCTTTATCATTCTGTAAGGGCAAAGTTCAAAAGTGTTTTGATGCAATGGTCAAGACCCCTAGGTTGCTTGGATGTAGCATTTAAGTGCCCCCACATTTGTTGGTACATAATTTGATATCACATTTCCTTTAGAAATTTGAACAACATGAACTTGAGGCTGGCTGTGTTCAAACTATCACACATAATAAGCTTGTAGAAAGTTATTACACAAAAATTTCTGTTTTTACTGACCCAATAAAATTGCTTTCCTTAATGAAAAAAAAGACATTTAAGCCCCTATGTAAATAAGGCATAGATTTTGTTATTTAACATGAGGTAGAATTTGGACAAACGGCTGAGAGACTCAGAGCTAGATCACAACCCAAACTGGACAACCACAAAGTATAATTGATAACTCAGAGCTAGATCATAACCCAAACTGGACAACCAGAAAGTATAATTGATAACTCAGAGCTAGATCATAACCCAAACTGGACAACCACAAAGTATAATTGATGAAGAGCTAGATCACAACCCAAACAAACTGGACAACCAGAAAGTATAATTGATAACTCAGAGCTAGATCACAACCCAAACTGGACAACCACAAAGTATAATTGATAACTCAGAGCTAGATCACAACCCAAACAAACTGGACAACCACAAAGTATAATTGATAACTCAGAGCTAGATCACAACCCAAAAAAACTGGACAACCACAAAGTATAATTGATGAAGAGCTAGATCACAACCCAAACTGGACAACCACAAAGTATAATTGATAACTCAGAGCTAGATCACAACCCAAACAAACTGGACAACCAGAAAGTATAATTGATAGCTCAGAGCTAGATCACAACCCAAACTGGACAAGCAGAAAGTATAATTGATAACTCAGAGCTAGATCACAACCCAAACAAACTGGACAACCAGAAAGTATAATTGATGGATCAGAGCTAGATCACAACCCAAACTGGACAAGCAGAAAGAACCAGCACCAACCTGAGACAAGTAGTGAAAGCCTTGCGAGCATTTCGATGTGTGAACTGGACAGGATAACCCTTAAAGGTCTGTCCATCTGGGACTGCAAGTCTGACTGCATCTTGAAATTCTTCATTACCAGCTGTGATGCCTGACAAAAGTATCACAAATATTTATCAGTTTCTAGTTTGGTAACAGTGAGTTGACAAATTATTTTTAAATTTTAAAATTTCAACAAGTATGTCTATGTATCACTGTTTAGCGTGAGCCAATGGTCCCACAATGTTGTGAGCTAGCCAATGGTCCCACAATGCTAGGAGCTAGCCAATGGTCCTACAATGTTATGAGCCAATGGTCCCACAATATTGTGACTAGCCAATGGTCCCACAATGTTATAAGCTAGCCAATGGTCCTATAATGTTGTGACCAGCCAATGGTCCCACAATGCTAGGAGCTGCAGTATGTACCTGTGACTCGCTCTGTTTCATAAGCTGACAAGGCTGGTGAGAGGATGTAGCTCAGCTGGTCATCCCAGTTAGTGGTAAGACCTTGGTCCTGATGAAAAAAGTCTTTAGATTTGAACAAACAAATGACACTTTATGATACTAAAATCCCAAAAAATCAAGAATATTACATTTTGTCTTATTATAAATATATATATATATATATATATATATATATATATATATATATATATATATATATATATATATATATATATATATATATATATATATATATATATATATATATATATATATACTTATCTTTTTAAATGCATCTTTTTATGATTCTGTTTTGGGTTTTTCTTGAGATTGTTATTAGATTTCAGTTATTTTCTAATTTTTTTTCAAATACTGAAGGAATTTATTTCACTGTGATAAGAAAAAATGTGCACAAAAAGAAAGTGACCAACCCTTCTGTGTTCTATGACCAGAACTCTCAGCTGTTGTTCCAGGTCATTACTCAGGAGACTGGCATCAAGTAAGGAAGGGCTGATGGGGGGTGGTATTGGCCATGCTGGACACGCACCTGGACCACACACAGCTAAGATGGCATCTCTTGACATGGCTTTCCAGTGGCTTTCATTGTGCAAGTCAAAGTGGCACACTTCCACAGAGTCTGAAGGCTAGCAAGGTTAGAATAAAAAGTTCATTCCTCTCATACAGATACATGTACATTAGAAAGTATGGAAAGAAATCTTGCAACTGCAATCTGGTGCCACTTCACAAGCAGGCTGTGTGCCAAACTGCCAGGAGATTGTGACATCAATTCTGTAGCTCTATAGCAATGCAAATACACACAAAAAGAAATTTTTAAGGAATGTAACAAACCTGGCTGTTGGCAAAAAATGACTGGTGGTTGAAGACACAACCAACAGTTTTATAGTGATAACTGGGGCGAGATAACTTGTCCATTGGAGGGGCGTTAGGGTTGATGGGCTCATGGATGTATCTGTGGGCAACATAAAAACAGACACAAGGAAAAACATGTTATAACATACATAGTGGGTTTTTATTTAAGAAGTACTAATAAAGAAAGTGCTCTTTCAACAGATATAATAGATTTTCAATACAGCCGATGCTAAAGGCTTCAATAACGAATACAGGAATGGTATATCTTGAAAAAAATAATAAAAGAGCGACCAATGAAATGTTTATCAGGCAGTGATGATAAGGTTACCTGTGACCGTTGAGACTTTCCCAAAATGTAATGATTCCTTCAGCACTGATGGTCATGACCCATGCATGGACTGAGCCCTTCTGCTTGGTCCCAACACAAATATAAGCATCCAGTCCAAAGCCGAGAAGAAGGCTACATAGCAGGATAGCATGGTCTTCACAGTCCTGAATCAAGAGAGGATGTTTTCTTACATTCCATGTCTTAGCAATAGACAATACACACAAAGTAAACAAACATACACTGTTCATCGCATGAATTTGACAAAAGCTGAAAAATTTTAAAATATTGTCACTACTGGGCTAACATATCCATATTCAACCATATCACTCAGTATGTCTAAGGCATTTGAAGAAGCCAGAACAATGTCAATGTCTATGTCAACTATCTCATACACTGAAGCAGCCTATTTCAATGGCAACCATCCGACACACTGAAGCAGCCCATGTCTATGGCAACTATCCCCCCACCCTGAAGCAGCCCATGTCACTGTCTATGTCAACTATCTCATACACTGAAGCAGCCCATGTCTATGTCAACTATCCCCCCACCCTGAAGCAGCCCATGTCTATGTCAACTATCCCCCACCCTGAAGCAGCCCATGTCTATGTCAACTATCCCCCCACCCTGAAGCAGCCCATGTCTATGGCAACTATCCCCCCACCCTGAAGCAGCCCATGTCTATGTCAACTATCTCATACAGTGAAGCAGCCCATGTCTATGTCAACTATCCCCCCACCCTGAAGCAGCCCATGTCTATGTCAACTATCCCCCACCCTGAAGCAGCCCATGTCTATGTCAACTATCTCCCAAGGTGCGGGGCTGAGTATTTCCTTACCCCTCTGTTTCTGCACAAAAAGGCATGAGTGTTTGTCCACTGTTCAATTCTTCCACCACCACCACCCAAAGCCTGAAGTTTTTCATGGTGCATTAAAGAGACAAATCTGGCGGCTTCTCTTGGTGTGTCCAGAAGTCTCCCAGCTCTCAGAGGCCTGATGTAGCTGCAGACTGGGCGATTCATGCCATTTTCATCCTGTAGGGGAGACAACCAGGGACAACACTAGATTATAGAGGTGAATAAAATGGTTGAGAGAGGGAAGTACTGCAGCTCAGAATGGAATAGAAGTTAGGGGTTATGGAGAAAGTTTGACATTGCTTTATAAAGTCAATGCTGATAAAAATATTGCTTCTACATTTCTTAACATGTTTACATGCCACAACACATGAAACTATACAACCTTTAGCTAGCTCCAATAATTCAGGATTCAATACATTAAGCTGATAACTCAACACACAAAAAAATTCTACCAGATTCACGACTATACAACAGGTTGTGATAAGTAACTCATGAAATATTAAGCTGACAATCAAATCAATAAATCATCTAAAATAGAAATAAATGTTAGACTGCTTGTAAAAGTCTGCTTGTTATGACTAGGTGTAGCGTGCCTCACCATGGCAAACATCTTAACAAGCCTCTCTTGGTGGGACTCTCTGATCTGAAGATATTCCTTCCACCACTGTTTAGCATACACTAGAAAAAGTCGCTCCTTATCAGCCTGGCGACTTCTCTCCATTTCTATCTGGGCTCGAACTACATTTTCCTCTATATTTTGATTTGATTTCGGGAATAATTCTAGCTGAATGTCAAATATTCCAACAGGCACGCGAGCCTCGTTACCTAGAAAGCAATAAAAATTTGAATTACAAATGTTTGAATGCTGGTGTAGATAAATCATTGAGGGGGGAAAATTTGTTACTCTGGGAAAACTTATTTACCTGTGCCCATCATCTCTATGCTAGTCCTTAATATGCTTTGCTTAGAAGAGAGTAAGGGCCGCCACTCCATGAAATGTGATGATAAAAGGGTTGTATCTCCAATAGCATCAGTTTTGATTAAAACCAAATGAACTTGATCACTTATAGACAACATAGATGGAATATCTGCCATTTTCCCAGCCTCACCTGTAGAAGAAGTAGTGACACAATATGACACAAACACACGTATTAGAACAAATATAATGTCACAATAAGTATCAGTACAAATATAACTACACAACAAGTATCAATACAAATATAACTACACAACAAGTATCAATATAAATAAAATATAACTACACAACAAGTATCAATATAAATATAACTACACAAGTATCAATACAAATATAACTACACAACAAGTATCAATACAAATATAACTACACAACAAGTATCAATACAAATATAACTACACAAAAAGTATCAATATAAATAAAATATAACTACACAACAAGTATCAATACAAATAATATATAACTAAGGAAATGTTACCAGCTTACAACAATTAAAATGTGAACACCAAATGAATAATTCTAATTTATATGAGGTAAACTAAAACATGGAGAGATATTTACCTGAAGATTCTTTGTGTAGCTCTAACAAAAAGCCTTCATCAAACTCTGGTTCAACAGCACATGGCACCGGGCGAGATTTGTATCTTTGATTCCTAAAGTAAACATGAAGAGTGAAGTAGCCTGACACTTTCTGTCCTGGCATCACATCAGCATCATTCAAATGCTCTAAGAAAGCCTTGCCTCCCTTGACCACTAGGTACATATATCTTCTGGTTGGATCTATATTGGCTATATCAAGATAAACATTCAGTGGTCAGATATATTCCATAATTGAGATACAATGTACAAACTGAAAAGACAATCTGAGCAGTAAAAATTACTTATATAAGACATTAGTAGTAATAATTCAAACCTTTTTTCGCCAAAGGATTGTGTAAATGATCTGTTGCATCAGTAAAATGGGATGCTGGCTTTTCATTTTGTGAGCCCGCCACTTGAATGTGTCTCATGATTTCATCTACAACACCTCTCTGTCTCAGTTGATTCATCACATCAACTTCACTCAAAGCGCCATGTTGACCATTCTCAGTTGTGATCATGCTGGATACTACATTCCGGATTTGGTTTTGAATGTCCATCTAAAAATAAATTAATTAATTTAGGCAACCTTATATTAGCTATTCTTAATCCACGAGAACAAACAAGTTCATTTTTTACTTCATCAGACAAAATTTAGAACGATCAACATACACTCAAGATTTTCACACAGCACACACTGGGCTGTCCGGAAGATAATGTGGACGAACCCTTGCCCCAACAATTAAGATGCAATAAATATAGAACTGGCATTGTTTACAATTAAGTAACTCAGTGTTAGAAAACATGGTCACCTGTATAAAATTACAGTATTAGTAGCATGTTAATTAAACATTCTTAAAATGTTAAGTTATTTTGAATTTCATTTCTTCTGAGATTTGTGCAATGTATCACAGATAAGCTATAAGTAAAGAAAATACTAGTATTCTAATTAGTAGTATGCTTTTGACTTGCCAGTTGTATTAAAAAAGTTAAGTGCTAGGTTGGGTGTCACCCCGTGCAGCAAGAAACGATGTGTTTATATATATATATATATATATATATATATATATATATATATATATATATATATATATATATATATATATATATATATATATATATATATATATATATATATATATATATATATATATATATATATATATATATATATATATATATATATATATATGTATATATATTTATATATGTGTGTGTGTATAAACTTTGATCACTGCAGACTTAATAGTAACAATGTTTATCTATACTCTGTTAATAATACAGTTAGATGTTGCATTGTTTTCCCTATAGTTAGCACGTTTACGTCATGGTGTCACCCCCACCATCTGTAAAAATTGTCGATTTGTACTTAAAAGACTATTTACTTTAATTAATCATTAATGGAATTGGCAAAAAGCATTTTTTTTTCTGTACATTTTGCACTTTTTTTGCCTTGGTGTCACCCCCTAAATGGTGTCACCCGGTGCGGTACCCCCCGCCTCACCCTCACTAGAAGACTATTTACTTTAATTAATCATTAATGGAATTGGCAAAAAGCATTTTTTTTCTGTACATTTTGCACTTTTTTTTGCCTTGGTGTCACCCCCTAAATTGTGTCACCCGGTGCGGTACCCCCTGCCTCGCCCTCACTACGCCTCTGGTGTAATGTTAGGCAGGTCATGTCTAGAACTACTAGACTTTAGAGTAGAGTTTTTTAGTAGAATCTAACTCAAGGCTAACCTTATATTATTAAAAAAAAACTACAACAGACACTGCAAATACACCAACCCAACTTTGTATTGGTCAAAGAGGTTCCTCTTTAGAAGAGCCCATGATGCATACTAGTGGAAGCCTCAATGAAACTAGCCAGCTGACAAGAAGAGACAAGGGCTTCCGGGGTTACAACAGCGCATTAAAGAGAATTGCCCAAAACCAAGCCCTGAGGAGAGGTGTGGCTGCAGCCCTTTGCTCCCCAGTTGCCATAAAATTATAAATGAATGAACTCAAGGCTATTATTAAGAAGTTTGTGAATGACTTATGATTAGGCCTAATTAATATTATTAGGGCCTATAATTATATATAATATATTGTATTCTATAGCAATGTAGTATCAATGTACTATTATGTACTAATGTTAATGTGGGTCCCTCCTATACTATAGTTAGTATGTAGGCCTATGTACTATCTATTTGTGTTAGTATGTGTAGGTAGACTGTAGACTAAACTAATAAGTAAATGTATACTAATGTATAGACTATAGACTCTAGTGACTCTAGTATATTCAAGTATATTGGCAGCCTATTCATTTTTATTTCATTGAAATTGATTAGAATAACTCACACGTTGATTACAAAAATCATGACTACTAAAAATTAAATAGTATAAAATTAACAGTAGTAGTCTAGATCTAATCTAGATGTAGATCTAAATTCTAAATAAATGCTAGATCTAGAATCTATATCTTTATTTCAGATCAAGATTAGATCTTAATTCTAAATCAATCCTCATCACTAAATAAATTATTGGGCCAAATATTAAACAATTTTGAAAGGCCAAAGGAAGGGCCAGAGGGGAAAAACAAGCTCATTCACGCACGTTTTAGCAAAACTATCTGTCTGTAGGAGCCTACCTGAGAAACCTGTGAATGTATAATCTGCTTTAACTCATTAATTTTCTCTGGAGGAAGTGCCATTGTAATGTTTTTTTCATGTACCATGTAATAAATTTGTTATAAATGGTGATGGAGTTCAACTTAATTCATATTTTAGTTCTATTTTTCAGCAGCAGTAAACCAAAACATGTTTTCATTACGCACCTTGAGGTGGCTTAAAAACTATAACCGGAGTAGCGGAGTAGCCTAGTAAATTGTATAACACATTTACAGACCAACACAGACTCCAGTTCTTTTTTTTTTTTTTTTTTAATAATTTTCATGGACGTTTAGACTCAAGTTATTAATACAAATCTAAACAGTTTAAAAAATGGCAGAATTACAATTAAATTTGTATTGTTGAGAATCTACATACACAAGGGGCTATCTAATTTTAGTCACATAATGGGGGGGGGGGGAGGTTTACGCTACTAATTTTAATTTCAACAAAGTTTTTGCAACTTTTCGCAAATATTTGAAAGACTTTTGTAAATGATAATTTTAAAAAAAATGATTCAAATAAATAATCTTGATCAAGTTCGGTTAAAATGTTAGACAGAATTCGCTGTTTAAAAAAAATTACAATTGGGGATAGGTAGAGATTGACTTATACGAGGATAGAACCTAAGCGTATCGCCATTTATGTCGACGGCAACGCCCCAGATATGTTTGAGTGTTGGTTTACTGTGGCCACTACCCCATGCACATAGCTTATAGTTATAGGGGGGGGAATGTTTTAGATAACACTTTAATTATTGTTCTGAATTCATGCAGTGTTTCTTCCAGGCTTTTTTCTCCGAGGAGGGGGGGGGGGTGTACTTGAAATTTCGGGGGGGGGGAGGCGGACTAAAATTTCAGGGGGGGGGGGCGGACACTGTTAAAAGTATATATTTTCAATATAAATTTCATTTCGTTCGGGGGTGGGGGGGGGGGGGGGGGTAGACCAGAGGCGTATCCAGGTTTTCGTTGTAGGGGGAGCGAAATGAGCAAAAAAAGGCGCCGAATTTTTAACACGTTCTATATACGTGTATTTTATATATATATATATATATATATATATATATATATATATATATATATATATATATATATATATATATATATATATATATATATATATATATATAATATTACTAGCTGTGTGTCATTACTTCGATATGATGTAAAATAAATTGTAAGTAGCACTTGAAGAAATAAGAAAAAACACACAATATAGGCCGACAAAACAAAAAATTTATCAATCTAAAGAAATATATATGGGCTCTCGTGGGCACAGATTGGAGGAGCAGCCCAAAACCGAGTCCGCTGGAGATGTGTGGTTGCAGCCCTTTGCTCCCCAGGGGCCACAAAGGAGTGATAATATATATATATATATATATATATATATATATATATATATATATATATATATATATACACACTACAACCAAAAACAATAAACGCAACACAATCTGTTTTGTAATTCTTGTAAAAAAAATGTTTACATAATAATTCCTGGGACATTAATTAAAACAAGCGAAATAGTGGAAAAATCACTCTCTTAATATAGATATGTATATATCTACACATTTAATTATAAATGTCAAAACAAATAAATAATTACTTTAGAATGTAATAAAACTGTTTAACAGTATTCGTGTTTACAAAATATTTTTGTCTATAATCAGAATTTAATATATCGTCATCATAAATGCTAAAGTATTACAGCATAATAAAAGTTTTTAAAACCAGAGTTGGTATAAAAACAAGCTTTAAAATATAATAGAAAAGCATTCGGAATAACACCTTACATTTAACTAAATATCGGTCTTTTAGATCAGATCATACATTTTAATTAACTACTGCTTCTTTGTGTTCTTTAAAGATCATTTTTTAACACAGTGATAGGTATGGGTTAGTACCTTTTTATTGGTAATTGCAAAAACAATATTCACAGAGTTTTACCTGTATCAAAAGCTATGATTCTGGCGGCATGGTTCTTTGGTACATCGTCCCAAATGTACTTAACAGATCAGTTCGGGGTGGGTTGGGGGGGGGGTTCAACTTCATTCACCACTGTCCGGTCGCTTTAGGTCAATAATCCAACCCAGTGTATACCTAGGTGTGACATTAATGTCGCTCTACACAATTGTGGTGGTGAGGAGTTTGTGTGTGGGGGTTGGGGGTGGGGTGTGGGTGGGTGGGATAACCAACTCAGAGTGAACATAGCGTCAGTTTTTAGATGACTGTTCTAAACATACATATTCAATTACACATATATACTGATTCAGAAATAGATTTAAATATGTAGCAGTGGTATTAATGACAATATTTTTTGTACAGAGGGGTCCATGGGGGGGGGGGGGTTGTAACTGTTTCATATAATTTGTAGTCGTAATCACTATCGCCCAAACTGTAGGAATATTACTACTTCATCCTGATAACGTTGTTGACCTAGTCAAAATTTCCCCACCGCTACGCAGTTTGCCTATAAGTAAATTTAAATAGAGGTGCCACATCAGTTGTATTTGTGTCTGTATTGTAATTTCAAAAAATAAATTACACGATTCAAACTGTATATATATAAAGTAATTATTTGTGAAGATATATGTATACTATTTTCTAATTCAATTATTCTTAAGCAAATACATTATACAGTTGCCTTAAACTTAACACCCCTCTTGCCAAGTGGTACTACCCGTAGAGGTTTTTTTTAAATTGCAATGCATCGTAATGGTTATTTTTAGAATAACAAACTGATGCAGCTGTTAATACGTGTTGTAAACGTAGACACTACTAGACTAGTACAATAATGCTTAATTGCTGCATGAAAAGAAATCTTGTGATTTACATAGATGTGCCGACCAAAACTATTTTTTTTAACAAATATTGTTTAAAACTTTAAGTTTAAAAAGTTTCCAAAAAGGCGCCACTTTGCTGAAAATGGCCAGAGGGGGAGCGGCCGCTCCCCCTGCTCCCCCCCTGCGTACGCTACTGGGGTAGACTCTTTTCAGTGGGGCGCCCCTTCTGAGAAGATGCCTTAAAGAAACACTGAATTCATGGGTCCACGGCGTCATGTCATAGACATCATTCGACAATAAAGCATTTTATAAATCATTCACTGTCATCATATATATGGTGGAAAACTGAAACCACCCTGTTAAGCCACAGTATATATGAATACATACATAAAGGCATTCATGAATATATATATATATATATATATATATATATATATATATATATATATATATATATATATATATATATATATATATATATATATATATATATATATATGTGTGTGTGTGTGTGTGTGTACGTGTGTGTATGCCTATACACTGAAAAGTGAACTTCTATTTAGGGCGAATGTCACATGCCTTTAATAAATTCTCGCATTATTTTCAGCAATGTCATTATTTATGAATAGACATGTTTTGACACCTCAATTATGTTCCACATGTTGTCCTATTAGCTACCTTTTAAATAACTTCTAATCAGACTATTATACTTTTTTAGCTGATTTATCGGTTGCCAACTCAGTAACACAGCGCCTCCTTAACAGTTCTTTATAGCTAAGTTCAAGAGGATATTGAATCAAGTTCGAGCTCCAACTTTCGCCAGTGGAAAATGTACCTTAACACCGCTTTCATATGCAAATGAGGAAGTGTAGCACCCTACGGTATCGTAGAAACCTATAAACATTCCAAAATGGCTGTCTAACAGAAGGCATAAACAAAATTCAAAGTTCTTACTATGAAAGTTAAGTTATTTTCAGGAAATTCGTAATAAATTGATATACATTTTCTATTAGATTGACGGATTTGTTAAAAACTTTCGAAAAATTAAAAAAAATGTCAGCTGATCCTCAAATAAGTGGAAAAGATCGGCTAAAGAGCGCGGATAAAAACAAATCTCGCCTTGCAGCATTGGCGCCGGGAGAAAACATTAAGGAAAAACAGGTATAATCTCGTCTATGTGAATTTATTTACACTAATTTTTAGAATTATTGAAACATATTAGATCTAGATCTAAATAGTAGTAAAGTAGACTAGACTTTTACTAGATACAGTTCCCACTTGTAAACAATGTCAATGACAATGTTGAATGTAGCCTGAGTTAGGCTAACTCTAACACTTTGCCTATATGGTTAAGTTAATTGATTAGTAATCTATAGTCATTCTATAGTATTAGTAGGCCTATATTATTAATAAATAATTTATGTACTAAGTTATTTTTTACTTTAGTAAATAGATAGTAAATAGTTATTCTATTTACTAATTTCCAATTAAAAATCATAAAAATATTTTAAATGTAGGTTTATGACATTAATGACTATATAAAAACATAAGTGGTTAAATATTGTATAAGTATCTAAGCTGTTTGGTTTACCCACTTCTGTTCTTGTTTCCATCTAAGTTTTTTTTAAACTGTATATTTAATAAGATCCATTGATTCTAGTGTAAAGAAATCTAATGCCACAAAGAAAATGATGTAATTGATACTCAATAATAAAGAAACTAACATTACAGCCTATTTTATTTGTCTAATCTTAAAAGACATCCCCCCCCTCGCCCTAGAACATCTACCATCCCCGTCCCCCCAACAAATAACAATTTACATAGAAAATGTATACTTTTACCAGTGTCAGCCCCCTCCCCCTGGATAAAATAAGTCTGAAAGAAACACTATCTGCATGATTGGTTTGTATCGATGACGTCATTTTTTTGTGGCATTAGATTTCTTTACACCAGAATCAATGACGTCTTTTTGAGGAGCTTTGAAAGAAACACTTGTTACATTTGTAGATCATACAGAATAAAGGTAGAACCTACTTCAAGATTTAGCTGCCAAATGTAGGAAACGGGTCTAGATAATAGAAATAGGGTTTACCTTTAGTGTTTATGATCTATAAATGCGACCAATGCTTCTTTCAGATAATTTTCTCTCCCTTGAACTTAATTTTCCAGGGTAGAGGGGCGGACACTTGTAAAATTCTATATAAATTCTATTTATATTTAGCATCAAATCCGTATTCGATGACATTTTTTGTTTCCGGTTAAATTTGCAGATGAGGTGGGGATTTTTTGTTTTGGTTTAGAGAAAAGACAACACTATCAACCTAGCACCCGTTGTATTTCTCCCTCAACGTGCCATTTATCTAGTACTTAGTAAGTTTAAAAAAAATAATTTAAACTGAAGCAGGATTAAAAATATTCTTTGATTGCAGCTAAAGCTAAAAGAGGAGAGAGAGGCAAAAAGAGCCCAGTTGGATGAGAGGCATTATTATGTTTTACAAACTGTTGCCGACAGTCTGGGTTTGGAAAGGTCAGAGGTGGAAGATGCCATTTTGGAGGGCAGCCAGGTAGTTCAAGCATTTTGTATAACTTAGATAGGCTATTTTTCTTAGAGCTCACCTAATGGAAAGATATAACTATAACTTTCAATCTTTCTTTTTTGGAAAAAATTTATATTTAACATTTTTAGATTAATATTTTTTTTTTATTGCTAGATTGAAACAATGGAGAAGTTTCTAGGAGTGAATGGCTGCAACAGGCTACTCTTCTACTATCAAGAGCCAGAGGCAGATAAAGAACCTGGTTAGTTATTGTTAGATTTTTTAATCTTAACAAACTTCGTTTTACTTTTTTTTTAAAAATCCCAACACACTAATACACAAGAAAACATCATTGTCATTCCTGTTACAGAACTGGCCATTTTCTATCATTTTAATAAAAATGTATGGCCAACAACATCTATTTTAGATTGGCCAATTTTACAGAGGAGGGTTTTTTTTCTACTTGGGTTAGAGTTTTATCAAAAGGCCATGTCCTTCTTCTTCCTCTTCATCATTCTTAAAAATGTTTATGTCGGAGGAGTCAGATAACAAGTCTGTCAATTGACAAACTGGACGGTGAACTCCAGATCTCCATACAGTTCTTTTCTGAGTGGGGTATATTGTGGTCAAAGACTAGACCACATCTGATGGTGCATGCTGCAGGGTGTTATGTGTTCTCCTGGACCAACTTCTTGTTTTCTAAATATATGCTGTTTGAATCTGTTGTGTCCTGTTCTAAGTCTAAAAACTATGTGTTGTTCCTTGTGTGTTAATTTGTAATATGATTTGTATTTTGTGTAACTTGGGTGCATGTCAGAACACAATTGAAATATTATTTGCTTTTTGTAATCCTTTGTATTTCTTTTGGATGTAGAGAGATTTCATGTCAAATAATCATTGCTATTTTTCTGAAGGTTATAGGCCTACCATACAATAACATATTATTAAGATAAGAAAAACATAGCAATTTGTTCTTAACACCATATCTGAATGTTTAGTTGTATTGATTAAACAAAAACATCAACATTAGTTATTTTAGGAAAGAAAAAATGTGTCCATAAGGCAAAATGTAAACTTTAACAATTTAAGGTATGATATGTCTGCCAGGTAGAAGAGTTCCAACCATAAAAACCTCAATCAGTGTTTAGTGAAAAATTAATATTGAAATTTTTTTTTAACAAACTTTTAAAATGAACTACAAAGAAAATAATGAATCACTTTTTATATTACGATAGAGGAAAGAGTTAGTCACTTATACAATTTTTATTTTGGGTATTAATTCATAATATAAACATTTTCTATAATTAAAAAATGTATTAACATTTTTTTCAGTACATTTTATTTTTAATAGAATCAAATCGAATAACTAAAAATTTAGTAAAAATCCCAGTTCACCAAATGTATGTTATAGCACCAAAAGAATATTACTTTATATATGATTGTTTAATTGATTTTAAAAATAATAATTTAAAATCTATTTATCACATCTCATGGTTCATGTTACATTACATTGTCTTTGAATGTTGACCTACTTTTCAAGTTTTAAACCAATACGTTCAATAGAAGTAGGTGAAATTTCATTTACAAGTTTCAAACCATGTGAAAGACAAACAAAGCACAATAAAAGCTTGTCAAATTACAAATACAACCAAGAAATATAAAAAAAATTATATATTTGTTATACTGACTTGCCCTCGTAGTTTGTGGACAGCCTGGGGACTTGACGAAGAATAAATTTTACTTAACAGGCATACCTGGAAATCACCTTTGACCCATATCACTAGTACCTGAAGATTACCTTCCCGTGTTTATTGATGATCCTGTGATGGTCATCCAGCTGACCCTTCTGTGCCCCCCCGCTTAACATCTCTGATTTTAAGCTGCAGCTCTTCAGTTCCTATAAAACAGTTATGGGACTTTAAAGACACAAGCCCAACATGTAGTCCCATCTCTGATGTGCCTTATGATGTTGTGTTGGGTAAAGTCCCTAAATGTTTTACTTACACTGGTTTAATTATTGGTTAAAACTCTTTACCAATCACTAGAATTCTATTTAAAAATCTGCATATTTTTTTTTCTTATATATCATCAATGTAGCTTTTTAAAATGCTCTCTGCTACAATCCACTCCACCTATCAATTATAGTTTTATAGTTGCTGCCCTTACCCTTCATATTACCATGGAGATTGTCCATACAACAAATAGAAATATCAACCTATTGCCATCCCTCAATCAAATCCACCTATCGAAAAAGATAGAAGAAATAATAATTGGATTAACAATGGGTTAATGCTGCACCAGTTGGTACAACGTACCTAGGGTCATCCATAAATGACGTCACGCTTTTTATGACGATTTTTACCTCCCCTTCCCTCCGTCCCACATCGTCACAAAAAGCCAGACCCACCCCTTAAAATGACGTCACACCTCAGCCTACAACCCCCCTCAAAATTGCAGTTGAATTTTTTTAAAACATCGATATTTTTCCAAAATCTTGTCTGAACTCTGTCAAAATTGAGTATTTAAATAAATTCCTATTGCAATTTATTAAAACAGTTTTCTAAAACGCGAAATAACGTCTAAAATTAATTTTCTAACATTGCTTTTTTATAATGCAAAAGTGTGACGTCGCATCATCTGAATACCCCCCTCTCCCTCATTACAAACCGTCACAAAATTACGAACCCCTCCCCCCCGACGAGTGTGACGTCATTTATGGACGACCCCCCCTAATAGGCACAAGGAAATGGTTAAATCAGCACCTGGACATTACGAAATATAATACTAACGTCCATGACTCCACCAATGGCCTGCCTTCATATAAGCGTTTAAAACCAAGGCAATATGAATCATTTCATGATCTCCTGTTGGTGATTTCAGCTGTTTAAACATGCGCACACAGCACAGGGGATGAGTGGGCTGATACTCTTGTGTTGCCTGTGTTCGCTTTTTTGTTAAGTTACGCTTTCGGATAAATTGTTTGCCAATCTACCTTTAGTTGTGTGTTGAAGTGTTCACGACTATTTGAAAGAAAGTAGATTCTAGTAGCATTTCGTTTAGCATTGGTAGTTAAGGTGTGAGAACTGCTTGGTTACCACAAAATTATTTTCAAGCCATTAGCAGCATTGCTTTCATGGTCGTGTTAACACGACCGGCGCTTTTGTTTGTATGGCCTCCGCTTTTAGAACCCGTCGCTTAAACAGAAAATAATGCATCAGACGTGAATAGAAAGAGCGGGTAGGTTGAATGAAGCGTGAACGAGTTATCGGTCTTTGCTCACTGAGATCGAGGTTATTTGTATGACAGGATAAAAAAGAACAGGCGTTTTTACCAGCTCTATCGGAAATCGAAGAAATCAATTACAAACGCATTAATGTTGTGAAATACATTCCTAGACCCATCGGACTGGAACATGTTGAAACAAATATCGGAGCCTGCATCGACCGTGACCGCGTCAGTTGTTTAATATCAGTTTATCAAGTTCTTCGTAATGGTGTATCAGGTGCTATAGCTCTGCATAACAGTATCGATTGTGATACTGCATGACAGTATCGATATGCAATACGGCAGTTCATGGATGATAAAGCATGACAACATAGTACGTTACGATTGTGACGTTTTAACTTTCAAGCACAGGCGGATTGCTGTACTACTGTACAGGGACCTGCCTATAGAGGCGAAGACAAAACGTGCAGTGTCCAACTATATATATTTTCACACATTGGTACGGGCGTGTGTTGGGTGGGGGGGGGGGGGTCCATTAATGACGTCACATACATAGGAATGAGGTTTATAATGTTTTTATCAAGCGTTGTAAAAGCTAACTTTCAATGTATTGGATATATTATAATGAAAATGTGTTAATGTTCGTTAAAACGTATGTAATTTCAGGGTGTGTGGTGGGATGAGGGTATGTGAAATCAGCGAAAGTTGCGAGATGTTGTTTAAGGACAACCTCTGGGTAACTCCAGAGTGTGATGGGGGTAACTCCAGAGTGTGATGGGAGGGTAATCAGAGTGTGATGGGGGGTAATCAGAGTGTGATGGGAGGGTAACCAGAGTGTGATGGGAGGGTAATCAGAGTGTGATGGGAGGGTAACCAGAGTGTGATGGGAGGGTAATCAGAGTGTGATGGGAGGGTAATCAGAGTGTGATGGGAGGGTAATCAGAGTGTGATGGGAGGGTAACCAGAGTGTGATGGGAGGGTAATCAGAGTGTGATGGGAGGGTAACCAGAGTGTGATGGGAGGGTAATCAGAGTGTGATGGGAGGGTAACCAGAGTGTGATGGGAGGGTAATCAGAGTGTGATGGGAGGGTAACCAGAGTGTGATGGGAGGGTAATCAGAGTGTGATGGGAGGGTAACCAGAGTGTGATGGGAGGGTAATCAGAGTGTGATGGGAGGGTAACTCCAGAGTTTGATGGGAGGGTAACTCCAGAGTTTGATGGGAGGGTAACTCCAGAGTTTGATGGGAGGGTAACTCCAGAGTGTGATGGTAGGGTAACCAGTGTGTGATGGGAGGGTAACTAAGATGAGGTTGAAAGACCAGGGGTAAGGCCCCGATGGACGTTAGCAGATAAAGTATTCGTGTTTTATGACCTTAATGAATCGCAGTAACTTAAGCCAGCTCAACCCAGAAAAATATTTGCTTCACAATCCTGACATATGGGCTATATTTGACTGTCAGAACTTTGGCTGCCACATTACTACATTATGTTATGTAGGCTATGACGTGGGTTACGTATCTGTTGTCCGTTGAGGAGATAAGTATGGACGTCCGATTTTAAGTAAAAATAAAATGGCTTGGGCGTATCCATAACGGCAACCCCCACATTATTGAACTCGTTCAGTTATTGTAAGCCGTGCCCAATCTTATCAGGTTACACGAAGTTGTACAAGACTGTGATTTCACTGGAAGTGCGATAAACGCATTGGGTACAAGCTTACACGGACCACTTCATTCCAATCGATCGTCTGCTAATAGGCCCTATCCCAAATCGACGACTACATAACTTGCAAGGGAAAACATTGATTTTAAGTGTGCTTTATATTTTTAATCGAAAGAAATAGAACGATTACCAATAAACCGATAGTCCTTCGTGACTGCCAAATCATAGTATTATTTGCTCATAAAATATAATGCAAAGTGATTATTTTTTTTCTTTCTACAAATGAATTTAAAACAGTGTGAAAATATTTGTTTACACCGTAAAAAAATATTGTTTGCTTCTAGTTCTAGCCTAGTCTGGCCCTAACAATTTTTAGGCCAAACCTGAGCGCGGGTTCAACTTAACTTTGCGGTGTTTTTTTTTTTTTATAAATCACACACATTCTGGCAAAAATTTGTATTTCACGAATACATTGATATAAAATAGAACTACCTTTGTTCTCGAATCAATTTACTAGAAATAGAGCTAGAAATCTAATCTAGATTTAGATCTAGAAGAATCTATATATCTACTATCTAGATCTTATCTCTAGTTGTAAGACTTTTATTTAGTCTAGATCTAGATCTAGATTAGAAGGTGTCTGGTGTAGTCATCACTTGACGTTTAATTTTAGAAATAGAATCTAGATTCTAGATTAGATCTAGAATCTAGATCTAGTTTAGAAAATCTTCTGGATCTGTATTTTCTAGCTTTAAACTTTAAACATAGATTTAGATCTATAACCTAAATCTAGCTAGAATCTAGTTTTTTTTTCAACAGACAAACCTGACATAGCAGTGGCCTGGAAATATTTTGATCTAATTGTAGACTAATAGTTATAATATATTTACAGGCCTATTAGTATTAGACTATACTATGCTGATCTAGGCTACAAAATTATAATTTAAAAAATTAATATTGAGTACCTTTATCTAGATCTATAGACTATACTATAGAGTAACTATAAGTAAACTGGTAAACTCTAGATTTGGCCTACTAATTAAAAAATTGACAGTTTGGAGATAAGCCCAGCCACTAACGTAAAAACTGCACAGGTGAAAAGTTAAGACCGCCACTTTTTGCCAGCTCCAATTTAATGCACCTTAAAACCAACTCCTCATAAGCGTCTATGGTTAGGGTTTGGATTAGGTTAGTCAGTGCTAGGCACTTAAACCAGGGTATGCACCCAGCACAATAATGTATAAAATGCCTAACTTTGCCTAACCAAGGGATGCACCCAGCACAATAATGTATAAAATGCCTAACATTGCTTTACACTACCAACCTATCCCAATCAAATTATATAACAAAATAATAAACACTTTTCATGTTCTATTTTCCAGTATAAGCATGACTTCTAACCCCCTTCCCTACTAATCTTAGCTCTTCTGCTTAGCAGCTCTTTTTTATATTTTTTAAGAACCCCCCCCCCCCCCCCAAAAATGGCAGTATTTATGGAAGTTATTTTCTTGTGGTAAAAATGTTCAAATACATGTGTGTTTCCAATCATTAACTGACAGAAGTCGTCTGATGTCAAATAAATTTGTGTTTCCAATCATTAGCTGACACAAGTCGTCTGGGTCCACCGCCTGCTAAAATCTCTAGAACAACAAAGCCAAAGCTATTTATAGCTGATGGGAAGGAGACTCCATTGAAGGGAGTTTGTCTGGTCTTTACTCGCATGCCCTCAAGCAGTAACACCAGCGTCACTGAAGCCAACATGACAAAGGTAACCGTTCTCCTCAAGCTATCATCAGTGCTCATTGGTCTAGCTCTGTATTGGATTATTATTATATCTAATTAAAACAACGTTTGTAATGTTTTGGATATTTGAATCCTAATTTTATAATTCTTTTAAACAAAATTTTTAACATCCTGCTTGATAGGAAATCAATTTTACAATGCTTGACTGTAATGGACAAGGGACAAATGGCAGAGGTCTTTTGCGCGCAGTTGAGAGCGTGTTATCAGGCGTGTTTATACCTGCATTGAAAAAACTAGAAAATGGATGGGACCAACTGTCCAATCAGGAAGGAGGTGGCATCAGAAATGACTTTCTTAACTCCCTTGATTCATTTGTATCTGTTCTTGTTGGTAAGTGTTGGTAAACTTGTTGACTTCCAAGTTGTTAAGCTCATACCTTGTGACTGTCAAAAGTTTGGAAGGCAAATTTCAACTTCTGGTCTGGTCTGCAGGTGCACAGGAAAGCCTGGAAGAAAAAGTGACCCTAAAGCCCTGTGAGAACTTTGACCTGGCTAAAGTGAACACCATCTCAGACTACCAGACAGTGGCCAACAGCACAGAGTCACTGGAGAAGATTGAGGAGTGTATGAGGGGATGGATCAAACAGATTGAACAAGTGAGTCTCTCATCTTTAATCAACACTGTCACTAGCAGCTAACATTCACATTTCTTATCATGGTGCTTTTACCATTCCTATTTGATGCTACAGGTCCTTATGGGCACAGGTAATCTTTTCTGTCTGATGTTACAGGTGCTGGCAGAAAGTGAGCAGATGAGAAGAGAAGCAGACGACATTGGTCCTCGTGCAGAGCTCGAGCATTGGAAGAAGAGGATGTCAAAGTTCAACTACCTTGTGGACCAGATCAAAGGTCACGATGTCAAGGCTGTTCTGGGGATCCTTCATGCTGCCAAGTCTAAACTTATCAAAGTGAATACATCTTTTCTTTTGTAGTAGAAATTTGGTTCTTGTTAGTGTGAAAAGAAATTATAAAAGGGAAAATTAATTTGAGTTTTCACTATGTTGTGTCTTGTTTGAAGTAGAGTCATAAAAGTCTTGGATGATCTGATTCAGCTCTGGCAATAATTTAGTTTTTTAATGTTGGTGTTTGATTGTTTTATTCAGATCTGACAAGATAGTTTTTTTATCTTGATGTTTGACTTAGATCTGGCAAGAATTTAGTTTTTTTATCTTGATGTTTGACTTAGATCTGGCAAGAACTTAGTTTTTTTATCTTGATGTTTGACTTAGATCTGGCAAGAATTTAGTTTTTTTATCTTGATGTTTGACTTAGATCTGGCAAGAATTTAGTAGTTTTTTTTTATCTTGATGTTTGACTTAGGTCTGGCAAGAGCTTGACCGGCGCATCACAGATACAGCCAATGAAGCCAAAGACAATGTTAGATTTCTCTACACCCTGGAGAAGTTGTGTGACCCACTGTACCACAGTGACCCAGTGAGTCTAAACATCATTTTTTTTGCATACATTGTTTTGTATATCATATCATCTGAGGCTAGTTAAAATCTTGACATGTCTTTTGTTTGGTTAGGTTGGAATGCTGGAGAGTATCCCAGCACTGATCAATGCTATCAGGATGGTCCACAGCATCTCACGCTACTACAACACCTCTGAGAGGATGACCTCACTTTTTGTTAAGGTAACCCCATACAGAACCTCATTTAGTTTCTTTATGTAGGTTTCTTGTTGGTAAATTAACTACATACAGTACCTCATTTCAAGTTTGTTTATGTAGGTTTTTTGTTGGCAACCCCACAGCACTTGATTTAGGATGTGTTAACATAGTTTCTTGGTTGATTAGAGAGGTATTACTAAGTGTGTTTTTCTGAGTTTCTTGGTTGTTTTTTTGACTTATGAAAAGTTAAGTCCTTGCTCCAATAGTCTGATATCTGCCCTTGCTCAAATAGTCTGTGATATCTGCCCTTGCTCCAATAGTCTGTGATATCTGCCCTTGATTCAATAGTCTGTGATATCTGCCCTTGATTCAATAGTCTGATATCTGCCCTTGATTCAATAGTCTGATATCTGCCCTTGATTCAATAGTCTGTGATATCTGCCCTTGATTCAATAGTCTGATATCTGCCCTTGATTCAATAGTCTGATATCTGCCCTTGATTCAATAGTCTGATATCTGCCCTTGATTCAATAGTCTGTGATATCTGCCCTTGATTCAATAGTCTGATATCTGCCCTTGATTCAATAGTCTGATATCTGCCCTTGATTCAATAGTCTGATATCTGCCCTTGATTCAATAGTCTGTGATATCTGCCCTTGATTCAATAGTCTGTGATATCTACCCTTCCTCCAACTGATGTCCAACTGGTCTTGTTTCAGATCACCAACCAGATGATTACAGCGTGTAAAGCTTACATCACTGACCACAGAATTGAGACTGTCTGGTCACAACCAATGGCTGTTGTCAGACAAAAGTTGGATGCCTGCATCAAGTTAAATGATGAGTACCAGAGACACTTCCACAAAACAAAGGTCAGTTTTTTACAAGGTTGATACAAGGTTGATACTAGCTTGTTACAAGGTTGATACAGGGTTGATACTAGCTTGTTGCAAGGTTGATACAGGGTTGATACTAGCTTGTTACAAGATTGATACAGGGTTGATACTAGCTTGTTACAAGGTTGATATGAGGTTGATACTGTATTAGTTTGATCAAAATGTTGAATGACGTACCAAGTTTGAGTCGTGTGCTGTTAAAATTATTGTCAGGCAAAGTTAGAGAACACGGCCAATGAGCGACCATTTGACTTCTCTGAGATGTACATTTTTGGCAAGTTTGACACATTCACCAGACGGCTCAAGAAGATACTGGACATGTTTGACACCATGGACAAGTACTCACACCTGGCTGAGAGTAAGATTGAAGGTCAGTTCACTTGTTAAGTACACTGACAATTAGAAATAGCTGATTTATTTATGCTGAAGGTCAGTTCACTTGTTAAGTACACTGACAATTAGAAACAGCTGATTTATTTATGCTGAAGGTCAGTTCACTTGTTACGTACACTATCAATTAGAAACCACTGCTTTATTTATGCTGAAGGTCAGTTCACTTGTTACGTACACTATCAATTAGAAACAGCTGCTTTATTGATGCTGAAGGTAATGTAATCTTGTGTGATAAATCTACTACCTCAGGTATGGAGCTTATGGCCAATAAATTCAATGTAATAGTCACAGCCATTAGAAAACGTCCATACGACTTCCTTGACCAAAGAAAAATGGAATTCGACCAGGATTATGATGATTTCAAGAGGCAAATCAATGAGCTACAGGTGTGTTTGCTTAACCTTTGTAAATGTGGGTAGCACAGACAGCAGCCATAACTTTTTTTTTGTTGGTGAAATAGTCAGCTGTCTTTAGATTTGTGTTGGTAACTCCTGCATGTTTTTATTTATTTATTTCCAACTGCAGGCATCAATAGTGATGCTGATGGACCAGAAGTTTGAGAAGATCACCAGCACACACAGAGCATTGGTTTTGTTGCGCAAGTTTGAAATGTTGCAGCTAGAGAATTTAGGAATTCATGAGAAGTACCACAGGATTTTACAACATTACAGGTCTCATTTTGGCAGCTTTTGGTTTTAGTTTTAACCTTTGTACTGGTGAGGACTAATAGTTTGTCTACATGTAATGTTGTACCCTCTCTCCACAGCCGAGACATTGATATGGTCTCAAGAATTTATCAGAAACAAAAGAATGACCCACCTTTGGATAGAGATCATCCACCGATTGGAGGAAAGATTTCGTGGGCCCGTCAACTCTTCAGAAGAATTCAGGTGGGTTGAGTGAAGTACCTGCAATAAAAGGATTGATTGAAGTTTGATATTTTTAGGAAAAATATCTTTTAAAAGTAGCATGTTTTGCTTCATTTCATGTAATTTTGTTTCTTTTGAAGGGTCCCATGGAAGTTTTCCAATATCACGGAACCATCCTTCAGGGGTCAGAGGCCAAGAAAATAGTGAAAAACTACAACAAAATTGCCAAAGTTTTGCTGGAGTTTGAAATGTTGTATCACAGAGGTTGGCTTCGACAGGTAAGAGACCAGCATTTAACAAACTTATTCTTACAATTTAGTCTACATAAAGCAGCAGTATTTTATTCTGTATATGCGTTATACTTTGCTTTAACAATATACATTTGAGAGTTACTTACCTTGTGTGACATTTCCAGATGGAAGCTGCCAAGTCAGGCCTGCAGGCCTCACTGCTGGTGCGACACCCAGAGACCAAGGAGTTGTATGTGAACTTTGACTTCCAGATCTTCACCATGATCAAAGAAACAAACCACATGTTCAATCTGGGGCTGGAGATTCCTCCAATAGCCAAAACCATGAGGGCCAAAGAGATGGAATACAAGAACCACTACTCTGCTCTCTGTGTGAGTCGAACTTTTTTTGTTAACTGCCTTAGAATATAATGGACAAACGATTTCTTTAATTATCACTCTAGAAGTATTAAGTACAAAAATTCTACATTAAAAACATTTTTCAAACATATTAGCAAAATTTAACACATATATTATTAACAATTTAAATGATGCTAGAAGTGAAATTGTGCCAATGTTTTACCAACAATGTAGATGATGTTAGAAGTGAAAATTGTGCCAATGTTTTACAAACAATTTAGATGATGCTAGAAGTGAAAATTGTGCCAATGTTTTACCAACAATTTAGATGATGTTAGAAGAAAACAACAGAGTGAGAAGAAAAATTCCTGCAGCATTTGAGGCTTTAATGGGACTCCACCTGGCCAAGGTGGACGATGTGCTTGAGCCTGGCTTGACCACCCTGTCGTGGACCGCCATCAAAATACCAGATTTTATCCAAAGTGTTTACTGGTGAGAAGAAGTATAATTTGTATATAATTTTGTCATAATTTTAAAATATTTCAAAATTCTATACAAAATATTGCAGCTGTCATTTTTTTTAATGTGTGCATATCCTAACATAATGTTAGCTATTCAAAACGTTTGTTTTTACCTCTCAAAACAATTTAACTTTATGATTTTCAGTGCTCTCTCTGAGCTGGAACTGTTGGTAGACCGTGCTCATGATGTCACAGAGTTCCGCATTGATGCCATCCTCAGAGACATGGCCACTACCACACTTTGTCAGCTGCCTGAAGATGAGCCTTGGACTGTCCAAGATTTCCTGGACAATACGCAGGTGTGTGGTCAACTTTTTAAATTGAATTTACATCTTATATTTTACATTTACTTCACTGTATAGATTTTAATTATGAACTAAGTATTTGTTTCTTGAAATCTGTATCCTTTTTTTTCTTGTTCCATGATTGTGATCACCAGAAACTGTGTGCTAAAGGAGCTGTAATTCTTCAAACCAAAAGTCAGACAGTGGAGGAGGCAGCCAATGAGCTGATCAACATGCTGTGTAACATGGAGCCTGAGGAGAAAGAGGGAATCCAAGAAGAGGAGGAAGAGGAGGATGCTGGCTTTGATGAAGAGGAAGGAGATGGGGGTAAGGCTAATTCATTAACTAGTTACTTAGGAAGGAAATTCTAATTTGATGTAATCAATCAAGACCATGCTGTTAAATTACACCAGTGCAGCATGTGAGGATGTTCACAGTGAATCATTAAATTTTTTTTACATAGAACATTTTAAAATTTATCTTTTGTAAACTGAGGAGCGATTTATTTTGAAACAAGAGCAGAAATGTAAAGACTATTTATAATAAACAAAAACCAAATATATATTCGTTTGTTAGAAAAAGCAAATGCATAAGCCTATTTTACAAAATCACCTTTTGATAATGAATACCATAATTAATGAATTTAATTAATACCAGACGAGAAAGAGAAGACAGCAAGGGAAGAAACTGCAGGCAGTTCTGCCCCACACTCACGTGCAGGCAGCCGTAAGTCAAGACCTGTCTCGTCTAAACTCAACGCAGCAGCAAAGAAGAAGAAAGAGATGAGAGAGAATATCGAAGAGTCTGCCATGGACCTGCTGACCCACTTTAACAACAGAAACTTAGATGCACTGCTGAAAGCCACAAGAAACACGCTGGAATCTTTAAGGAAAAGGATTACCTCAAGTTCAATGGCTCACTACATAGGTTAGCAATCATGTTGTACCATAATCTTTTGGACCCATCTATAGCAAAACTAAAAATTGTATACCTTTGATTAAACATCAATGATTATTTGCATAAGAAGTAATTGTTTATCACACAGGAGACAGCTCTTTGTATGGTGACCAAAAACGAGACAGTCGTCCATTTTTCCGCACCAACGCCACCCTGGCCATCCCTCAGATTGTGATGCACCCAGCACTGGATGAAGTTCAGCAGGCCTTGAACAAGGCTGTGCAGAATGTCATCAGTGTCAGCGGAGCTGTGGCTCAGTGGAGCAAGGAGAGGAGGAAGCTTGTCAAACCAGGTACCCAACCTTGTCAGGTGACCTTATTGAACCAGGTACCCAACCTTGTCAGGTGACCTTATTGAACCAGGTACCCAACCTTGTCAGGTGACCTTATTGAACCAGGTACCCAACCTTGTGAGGTGACCTTATTGAACCAGGTACTCAACCTTGTGAGGTGACCTTATTGAACCAGGTACCCAACCTTGTCAGGTGACCTTATTGAACCAGGCACCCAACCTTGTCAGGTGACCTTATTGAACCAGGTACCCAACCTTGTGAGGTGACCTTATTGAGCCAGGTACTCAACCTTGTGAGGTGACCTTTAGATCTTATTGAGCCAGGTACTCAACCTTGTGAGGTGACCTTATTGAACCAGGTACACAACCTTGTGAGGTGACCTTTAGATCTTATTAAACTTGTAAGCTCATCTTTAGTAAGATGAATATCCTTTGTTCTTACACAAGATACTAACTATAATAGTCAAGTTTTAATAAATGAATTTTATATTTAAAAACACTGGTTGTTAAAATGTTTAATGTAGAAAGTTATTTTTTCCTAAACAGCTGCTTTGAGGTAAAAAGTCGTTGAACATTCACAAACTTTGTTTTGCTTGTTAAGAATTTTTGTTTGAATGGCTGCTGTGCTCTCAGAGTATGAGCTGCCATTATAAAAACTAAAAGGTTCATTGAAAAATTCTATTTGTGTTCACTTTAGTTAGCAATTGAAAAAAATCACCAGCTATCAACCGCATGCTTTCTGTCACAAAAGGTTTAGTATCAATGCTCTTTGGAAAAATAGCGTATCAATTCACAGCCTAACTGAACAGAAACAACCATATTATTTCCTTTGTTCATTGCCAAATACAATTAAGGTTTTAACACATAGTGACCCTTCTCAACCAAATGTGTCAGTTTGCACATTGATCTATTTTGAGCTTGAAATCAATTTTTGAATTTAAGTCACTTGTTATTATTTATGTCCCATGTTTACACATTTGTGGTAGAAATTTTAAAAAATATCACTTGAAAGTCAGTTTATTTAATGTTTGGCTTTAACAAGTAATTAGCTGTTAACTAGTACATTTGTGACTTCTCAGAGTAACTTTTTGATTGAGTTAAAAGTCACTAAAACTTGTGGATGGTCACAAATTGTTTCAACAATTTTTTTGGAAACATCTAAATAATAAATTAATTCTGAAGATTCTGAACGTTGAAAATTTCTTCATTTTTTGTGTGCGATATATTCTGAATAAATAATTGTACTTTATTGAAGTTTAACGTTCATTTTTGCAGCACAAGTTGATCAGACCCAGGGTCCTGATGGAATGGATCGTCGAGGCAGTGTGGCAAGTGTCGCCCAGTCCGACATATCCCACATTGACCCTCATGCAAAAAAAGTGGACGGGGTAGAGTCAGTGAGAAGCTACGCCATTGTTCAACAGCCCAAAAATTATTTAAAATCTGTCATGGAAAATAAAGAGATAGCAAAGCTTGCCTCACTGCTGTCCACCAGTATCAACTCCAACAAAAAGGTAACAGTTGGCTTAACACTAGCTCGGTGTTGGAAACAAGATTGCTGATTCAATAAACTTTCTTTTTTTAAACTAAGTTTTAAGACATTTTTTTGTCATGTATTTTATTTAAAATGCTTGTGTTGTTAAACTGCTATGTTGATATGTTTTAAACTCTCCTCACCAGGAGGTAACAACAGCCCTGGACCAGTTTGCAGACTACCAAAAAATCTGGGAGAAAGACAGAGAAGTTGCCCTAGATGAGTTTATGAAGGAAGATCCCAAGTTGTCTGAGTTTGAAGCTGCCATTCGTGGATTTGAAGTGCTGGAAGTTGAAATTAACAGTCTCCCAGAGTACTACGATGCTGGTCCTATAGCCTTATATACAGGTTAGTTTTGGCAATGATATTTTATACTGGTCCTATTGCCTTATATACAGATTAGATTAGACAGTGATATTTTAAAGCTACAATTGAATAGTAGCAGAGCGTATTTTAATTAGAATGGCAACTCAGACTAATGAGGTATTTCAAATATTATAATGTTTTAAAAATATGTGTTTTGTAACATTTAATTCTAGTGAAAGGTAGATGTTATATTATTTTTATGTACCCTCCCCTTCTCCCAACTAAATGTTAAAACTACAGTTTTTGTTCAATTTCAGAGCATTTAAAAATTGGCCTGACCAATGAGACCAAAGCTTGGAGAATGCTCTACGGGAAATTCTGTAATCAAAAGTACAAAAACCAGATGGATGACATTTTCAGCTTTATTGATGACTTCAGTAAGAGGCTGCTGCGACCAATCAAAGACCTGGATGACATCCGCTTTGCAATGGCTTCTCTAAAAGAAATCCGAGAGAATGAGATCAGGATTGATATGTGCATTGCACCTATTGAGGTACATGATCAAAACAAATTGAGAGTAGACTTAATAGATGGCCTGGTCAAAAAATGGGCATGTGAAAAAAACACTGCTATGGTCTGTCTGGTTCACAGAATTGTTTGGGTTGGTTCAGTGGCTTCACTGGGCATGGTTTGGGTGCTACCCATGCTGGGTGACACCAAAATGAAAGATTGCACCAAATGGTTTACTGTATTTGTACATTGTTGAAGGAGCAGTGACATGCTAAATTATAGCCACTCCATTTAGTGACACCCTGAGTTATACCACCTATAGCCACCAACATTGAGTGACACCCTTAAGTTATAGCACCAGTAGCCACACTGTTGAGTGATGCCACTAGGTTGGTTGCCTACATGAGAGATTTTGGGTTAAGGTTTAAGTTAAAGTCCACCAATGCATATTTATATGTAATTTTTATTTTGAGCACTCAATACTGCAGTAAACTCAAATTTTGATTAATTTTTTTAAAATGAAGTTTATGTGAATTGATATGTGATGTTGTCACCAGGAATCCTACGCCATGTTGAACAGACATGAGCTCAAGCCAGAGAAAGAGGAGGCTGAGAAATGTGACACCCTGCGCTACTCATGGGAGAGGCTTCAGGCCCAGTCCATTGAGGTACAGGACCACCTGATCAAAATACAACCTGACTTTAAGAAGGAACTCATTGAACATGTCAAGATATTCAAGGTGGATTGTGACGACTTCTATGGAAGCTATGATGAGGTGGGTTGTTTTAGTTTTCTGTTTACAGCAAACATTCCACATTAGAATAAATTATTGCAGCTGTCTGATGTTTCCTGTTGAACCATACATTGACCTTTGAAATGTAAACTAAAATGTTTGTGTACAGAAAGGGCTAGTGGTTCCCTAGAAATGTAAACTAAAATGTTTGTGTACAGAAAGGGCTAGTGGTTCCCTAGAAATGTAAACTAAAATGTTTGTGTACAGAAAGGGCTAGTGGTTCCCTAGAAATGTAAACTAAAATGTTTGTGTACAGAAAGGGCTAGTGGTTCCCTAGAAATGTAAACTAAAATGTTTGTGTACAGAAAGGGCTAGTGGTTCCCTAGAAATGTAAACTAAAATGTTTGTGTACAGAAAGGGCCAGTGGTTCCCTAGAAATGTAAACTAAAATGTTTGTGTACAGAAAGGGCTAGTGGTTCCCTAGAAATGTAAACTAAAATGTTTGTGTACAGAAAGGGCCAATGGTTCCCTAGAAATGTAAACAAAATATTTGTGTACAGAAAGGGCCAGTGGTTCCCTAGAAATGTAAACTAAAATGTTTGTGTACAGAAAGGGCCAGTGGTTCCCTAGAAATGTAAACTAAAATGTTTGTGTACAGAAAGGGCCAGTGGTTCCCTAGAAATGTAAACTAAAATGTTTGTGTACAGAAAGGGCCAGTGGTTCCCTAGAAATGTAAACTAAAATGTTTGTGTACAGAAAGGGCTAGTGGTTCCCTAGAAATGTAAACTAAAATGTTTGTGTACAGAAAGGGCTAGTGGTTCCCTAGAAATGTAAACTAAAATGTTTGTGTACAGAAAGGGCCAGTGGTTCCCGAGAAATGTGAACTAAAATGTTTGTGTACAGAAAGGGCCAGTGGTTCCCTAGAAATGTAAACTAAAATGTTTGTGTACAGAAAGGGCTAGTGGTTCCCTAGAAATGTAAACTAAAATGTTTGTGTACAGAAAGGGCTAGTGGTTCCCTAGAAATGTAAACTAAAATGTTTGTGTACAGAAAGGGCTAGTGGTTCCCTAGAAATGTAAACTAAAATGTTTGTGTACAGAAAGGGCTAGTGGTTCCCTAGAAATGTAAACTAAAATGTTTGTGTACAGAAAGGGCCAGTGGTTCCCGAGAAATGTAAACTAAAATGTTTGTGTACAGAAAGGGCCAGTGGTTCCCTAGAAATGTAAACTAAAATGTTTGTGTACAGAAAGGGCCAGTGGTTCCCTAGAAATGTAAACTAAAATGTTTGTGTACAGAAAGGTCCAATGGTTCCTGGAGTGGCACCCCGAGAAGCTTCAGACAGGCTGATCATCTACCAGAACACATTTGACACACTGTACAGAAAGTTCATCACTTACACAGGGGGAGAGGAACTCTTCGGGCTCTCTGTAAGTTTTTTTTTCTTTTTTTTGGTTAATTTTTGTTAAGTTTTTTTTGTTACTCTTACAAGCCAATCCAGTTTGTTCCTAAACTTCCACTCTGTAATGAGTAGCTTATAATCTTTGTTTTCCCAGCCATCAGATTATCCCAAGCTGTAATGAGTAGCTTATAAACTTTGTTTTCCCAGCCATCAGATTATCCCAAGCTGTAATGAGTAGCTTATAAACTTTGTTTTCCCAGCCATCAGATTATCCCAAGCTGTAATGAGTAGCTTATAAACTTTGTTTTCCCAGCCATCAGATTATCCCAAGCTGTAATGAGTAGCTTATAAACTTTGTTTTCCCAGCCATCAGATTATCCCAAGCTGTAATGAGTAGCTTATAAACTTTGTTTTCCCAGCCATCAGATTATCCCAAGCTGTAATGAGTAGCTTATAAACTATGTTCTCCCAGCCATCAGATTATCCCAAGCTGAACCAAATCAAGAAAGAGTTGAACCTCCTGCAGAAGTTATATGGTCTGTACAACAGCGTCATCGACACGGTGCACGGCTACTACGACATTTTGTGGCAAGATGTCAACATTGACAAGATTAACAACGAGCTGCAAGATTTCCAGAACAGGTGCACCACTTGTCCTTTTAGTGCATCGTTTGTCCTGTTTTAGTGCACCACTTGTCCTTTTAGTGCATCGTTTGTCCTCTTAGGGCATCGTTTGTCCTGTTTTAGTGTACCACTTGTCCTTTTAGTGCATCGTTTGTCCTGTTTTAAAAAAAACTAAAGATTTAGTTTAGAAAAACTGGGGACATTTTTCACTAAAAGAAAAAAATTTCTCTTACCAGGTGCCGTAAACTTCCACGAGCTTTGAAGGATTGGCCAGCTTTTGAGGACCTGAAGAGAACAATTGATGACTTCAATGAGATGGTTCCCCTCCTGGAGTTGATGGCCAACAAGGCCATGAAACAAAGACACTGGCAGCGCATGTCAGACCTGACGTCACATCACTTTGATGTAGAAGGTGAAAACTTCACACTTCGCAACATTCTAGAGGCACCCTTGCTCAAGTACAAAGAAGAAATTGAAGTAAGTCATTTTCACTGGTTCATGTTTGAATCACATAATGTGTGCACAAATATCTTTGCTACTAAAATTATGGCATTGCCACTCCATGATTTAACTGATGTTACATACACTCCATGATTTAAGTGGTGTTTCAATGATTGTCACTTCATGATTTAAGTGGTGTTTCAATGATTGTCACTTCATGATTTAACTGATGTTACATTGATTGTCACTCCATGATTTAACTGATGTTTCAATGATATTCACTCTATGATTTAACTGATGTTACAATGATTGTCACTCCATGATTTAACTGATGTTACAATGATTGTCTCTCTATGATTTAACTGATGTAACATAGACACACCATGATTTAACTGTTTCAATGATTGTCTCTCCATGATTTAACTGATGTTACAATGATTGTCTCACCATGATTTAACTGTTACAATGATTGTCTCTCCCCCATCAGGACATCTGTATCAGTGCGGTTAAGGAAAAGGACATCGAAGCCAAGTTGAAACAGGTGGTGACCGACTGGGGCACGCAGGAGTTCACCTTTGGTAACTTCAAGAACAGAGGGGAACTTCTGCTGCGTGGTGACACCACTAGTGAAATTGTTTCACTGATGGAAGATTCCTTGATGGTCCTTAGCTCACTTCTTAGCAACAGGTCATTTCATTTGTTCACTTGTTAGCCACAGGTCATTTTATTTATTCACTTCTTAGCAACAGGTCATTTCATTTGTTCACTTGTTAGCCACAGGTCATTTTATTTATTCACTTCTTAGCAACAGGTCATTTTATTTGTTCACTTAGAATAAGCCAAAGTTCTTTAATCCATACATTTTTTCAAATGTAGACTTTGAAGTAAAGTTGTTGCTTAAAGCTTACATTACTCTCAACAGTAAAATTATGTTAACATTAAAATTATGTTAACAGTAAAATTACTGTCAACAGATACAATGCTCCCTTCAAAGTATTCATTGTTGTCTCTCTCTGTAAACAGATACAATGCTCCCTTTAACGTATACATTGTTGTCTCTCTCTCTGTAAACAGATACAATGCTCCCTTCAAGAAAAATATCCAGACTTGGGTGGCCAACCTGACCAACTCCTCAGAGATCATAGAGAACTGGATGACAGTTCAAAACCTGTGGGTCTACCTGGAGGCTGTCTTTGTTGGCGGAGACATAGCCAAACAGCTGCCCAAAGTAAACATTTATCACATGACATAGCCAAACAGCTGCCCAAAGTAAACATTTATCACATGACATAGCCAAACAGCTGCCCAAAGTAAACATTTATCACAACACAAGACATTTATCACAACACAAGCCACTCTAAAAAAATGTATCACATTCATTTTGCCGGCGGTTTTTTTTTTTAAAATTTTTTAATGTTTCAAGTCTTTATACAGCTGATAATTCCAAGTGTATATTTAAAACAATTTTCAGGAAGCCAAACGCTTCAGCAACATTGACAAGTCTTGGGTGAAGATCATGACAAAAGCCCACGAAACCCCCAACGTTGTGCAGTGCTGTGTGGGGGACGAGACTCTGATGCAGCTTCTACCCCACCTCCTGGAACAGCTGGAGCTTTGTCAGAAGTCTCTCACTGGGTATGTCCCTGTCATGACAGGCCTGGGTATGTCCCTGTCAACTTAGGCCTGGGTATGTTTTAGGCCTGGGTATGTCCCTGTCAACTTAGGCATGGATATGTCCCTGTCAACTTGGGCCTGGGTATGTCCCTGTCAACTTAGGCCTGGGTATGTTTTAGGCCTGGGTATGTCCCTGTCATGACAGGCCTGGGTATGTCCCTGTCAACTTAGGCCTGGGTATGTCCCTGCCAACTTAGGCCTGGGTATGTCCCTTATGTCCCTGTCAACTTAGGCCTGGGTATGTCCCTGCCAACTTAGGCCTGGGTATGTCCCTTATGTCCCTGCCAACTTAGGCCTGGGTATGTCCCTGCCAACTTAGGCCTGGGTATGTCCCTGCCAACTTAGGCCTGGGTATGTCCCTTATGTCCCTGCCAACTTAGGCCTGGGTATGTCCCTTATGTCCCTGCCAACTTAGGCCTGGGTATGTTTTAGGCCTGGGTATGTCCCTGTCAACTTAGGCCTGGGTATGTCCCTGTCAACTTAGGCCTGGGTATGTCCCTGTCAGATAGGCCTGGGTATGTCCCTGCCAACTTAGGCCTGGGTATGTCCCTGCCAACTTAGGCCTGGGTATGTCCCTGCCAACTTAGGCCTGGGTATGTCCCTGCCAACTTAGGCCTGGGTATGTCCCTGCCAACTTAGGCCTGGGTATGTCCCTGCCAACTTAGGCCTGAGTATGTCCCTGCCAACTTAGGCCTGGGTATGTCCCTGCCAACTTAGACCTGGGTGTGTCCCTGCTAACTTAGGTCTGGGTATGTCCCTGCCAACTTAGACCTGGGTATGTCCCTGCTAACTTAGGCCTGGGTATGTCCCTGCCAACTTAGGCCTGAGTATGTCCCTGCCAACTTAGGTCTGGGTATGTCCCTGTCAACTTAGGCCTGGGTATGTCCCTGCCAACTTAGGCCTGGGTATGTCCCTGTCAACTTAGGCCTGGGTATGTCCCTGCTAACTTAGGCCTGTATATGTCTTCCTGCTAACTTAGGTCTGGGTATGTCCCTGCCAACTTAGGCCTGGGTATGTCCCTTATGTCCCTGTCAACTTAGGCCTGGGTATGTCCCTGTCAACTTAGGCCTGAGTATGTCCCTGTCAACTTAGGCCTGGGTATGTCTTCCTGAAAACTTAAGCCTTTGTAGGTACCTTGAGAAGAAGAGGTCTGATCTCTGCCATATGGTTTCCACAGGTACCTTGAGAAGAAGAGGTTGAGCTTCCCCAGATTTTTCTTTGTGTCTGACCCAGCACTGCTAGAGATCCTGGGCCAGGCCAGTGACCCCCACACCATCCAGGCTCACCTGCTGTCTGTGTTTGACAACACCAAGAATGTCCGCTTCCATGAGAAAATCTACGACCAGATCTTGACCATCATTTCCTCTGAAGGGGAGGTCATTGAGGTACTCTTACTTGCCCACTAGTTCCAAGTGAAAAGTATTTTTATTGATCGTAATAATTGCTCAATAATGTGTGTACAATAGAAATTAATAGAATGTTGTATTAGATGTTTATTCCAATCACTCAATAATGTGTACAATAGAATGTTGTATTAGATGTACAATAGAATGTTGTATTAGATGTACAATAGAATGTTGTATTAGATGTGAGTCACTTTCTTCTGTAGCTGGAGAAGCCTGTGAAAGCAGAAGGCAACGTTGAAGTGTGGCTCATGAGCTTGATGACCATGTCCCAGAAGTCCCTGCATGCTGTCATCAGGACAGCAGCCATGACCATTCAGGATTCCAGCTTTAACCTGCTTGAGTTTCTCAACACATTCCCTGCACAGGTACGCTAGCACATTGACCATGTACAGGTGCACTAGCACCCTGGACCCACACAGGTACATTAGCACCCTGGACCCACACAGGTACTCTAGCACACTGAATCCACACAGGTACTCTAGCACCTGGCCCACACAGGTACTCTAGCACCTGATCCACACAGGTGCTCTAGCACCCTGAACCCACACAGGTACTCTAGCACCTCACCTACACAGGTACTCTAGCACATTAAGGTAGTTATGTTGTTGACTGTCATGTTTGTGTTCCCAGGTTGGCTTGCTGGGAATTCAAATGATCTGGACACGTGATGCCACTGAAGCACTGACCAATGCCAAATATGACCGTAAAATCATGGGTCAAACAAACGACTCATTCCTTAAGCTGCTGAACGCATTGATTGACCAGACAACTGCTGACCTCACCAAAGTAGAGAGGACCAAGTTTGAGACTTTGATCACCATTCATGTCCATCAGCGAGACATTTTTGATGACCTGGTAGGAAATTTTCATCCTATGATAATTTGATACGGTCCACTAACTCGCCTTTACTTTAAGTATCACTAAAAACATAAACTCTATTTGATCTGTCCTTTTTACTAGCAGGTCTGAAGTTTTACTATTGATGAAGTCTTGTGTATTTTGTTCCCAACTGTTTATGAAATCTGGGCTTCTCTTCTAGTGTCGCCTGCACATCAAGTCCCCCACAGACTTTGAGTGGCTGAAACAGTCCAGGTTTTACTTTGTTGAGGACCAGGACAAGTGCATCATCTCCATCACAGACGTGGACTTCATCTACCAGAATGAGTTCCTCGGCTGCACAGAGAGGCTGGTCATTACCCCACTAACTGACAGGTGAGAGGCTGGTCATTACCCCACTTACCAACAGGTGAGAGGCGGTCACTACCCCTCTGACAGGTGAGAGGCTGGTCATTACCCCACTAACTGACAGGTGAGAGGCTGGTCATTACCCCACTAACTGACAGGTGAGAGGCTGGTCATTACGCCACTAACTGACAGGTGAGAGGCTGGTCATTACCCCACTAACTGACAGGTGAGAGGCTGGTCATTACCCCACTGACAGGTGAGAGGCTGGTCATTACCCCACTGACTGACAGGTGAGAGGCTGGTCATTACCCCACTGACTGACAGGTGAGAGGCTGGTCATTACCCCACTGACAGGTGAGAGGCTGGTCATTACCCCACTAACTGACAGGTGAGAGGCTGGTCATTACCCTACTAACTGATAGGTGAGAGGCTGGTCATTACCCCTTTTTACCAACAGGTGAAAGGCGGTCATTACCCTACTAACTGACAGGTGAGAGGCTGGTCATTACCCCTCTGACAGGTGAGAGGCTGGTCATTACCCCTCTGACAGGTGAGAGGCTGGTCATTACCCTACTAACAGACTGGCACTATTGTTGAGCAAATTTTTTTTGTCTGCAGGTGTTACATCACCCTAGCACAGGCACTTGGCATGTCAATGGGCGGGGCACCTGCAGGGCCTGCAGGCACAGGCAAAACAGAGACAGTCAAGGACATGGGTCGCTGCCTTGGCAAATATGTTGTTGTGTTTAACTGCTCCGATCAGATGGACTTCAGGGGTCTGGGCAGGATCTTCAAAGGTCAGTGTCATGTTTATAATTTAGATCAGTATCTTGTTTACAATTTGCTTCATTCAATATTCTAAAATAACCTACAATTAATGTTTTGTTAAAACAGTTTCCTCTGAACAACACCAGCTCACAAAATTGCAATCAGACAACAATCAGCAGTATAATTATTAAGTTATAACTTGCTAGACCAATTCTGACAGATGATAATAAACCAAATCAAAATATATTTTTCTTGATGTTTGACAACAGCATTAATCAACCATTTATGTTTTGATCAAGACTAAAAGATTTCCCCAGGTTTGGCACAGTCTGGATCATGGGGGTGTTTTGATGAGTTCAACCGCATTGACCTCCCTGTCTTGTCTGTGGCTGCCCAACAGATTGCCATTGTCTTGGCCTGTAAGAAAGAAAGGAAAAAGAACTTTATCTTCACAGATGGTGATAATGTAGAAATGAATACAGAGTTTGGCATCTTCCTTACAATGGTAGGGTTTACTCATCTTTTAGTAATAACATTTGCTAGAGAATCCTTTTTTCAAAATAGAATGCCTGAGATATTTTTACTGTACCATAGAACCCTGGTGTAATATTTGAAAGCTGCCTCAGATATTTTTATTGTACCCCAGAACCCCGGCTACGCTGGACGCCAGGAGCTGCCAGAAAATCTGAAAATCAACTTCCGTACTGTGGCCATGATGGTCCCAGATCGTCAGATCATCATCCGCGTCAAGCTGGCCGCTGTTGGCTTTATTGACAACATTGTGCTGGCTCGCAAGTTCTACACACTTTACAAGCTCTGTGAGGAGCAGCTGACCAAACAGGTGACCAACATCACAAACATTCAGTTTAGTTTTAAATCATTCAATTTAATTGGTTTTAAACTAGTGACAAGCATTGAAATTTAACCAAAGGCTTATAGGGTAGACAACACAAGGGTTGATCCAATGTGTCTGATTGCCTCCACTGTAATGAAATGTGTCTGATTGCCAGGTCCACTATGACTTTGGTCTGAGGAACATCCTGTCTGTGCTGAGGACCCTGGGAACTGTGAAGCGCCAGAACCCCACAGAGACTGAGCAGACTGTGGTGATGAGAGTTCTAAGGGACATGAATCTCAGCAAACTGGTTGACCAGGATGAGCCACTCTTTGTCTCCCTTATCTCAGATCTTTTCCCAGGTAAACCAATCTCCCTCACAGATTTTACTGGGATCCAATCACAACAAATGTACCCACTCCCCCAGGATTGGGCGGGGAGGGGCTCAAGGTTTAAATTTTTTACCCAATATCTTATGTTGGCAACCAAATACCTTCTGTAAACAATCAAATACCTTATGTTGGCAGGCAAATACTTAATGTTAACAACCTAATAACTTATGTATACATTGTGTAGACAATCAAATAGCACTGTTTGCCTTGACCCTCCCCTAGGTATCACACTGGACAAAGCAGGCTACCCTGAACTTGAAGCAGCCATTGCCAAGAATGTGGACGATGCCAAACTCATCAACCATCCCGAGTGGACCATCAAGCTGGTGCAGGTGAGAAATCTCTGTGGCAGTCATCATGGATTGGGTAGATCTTATAGAGACCCTCTACTGTACATTTAGTTTTTCTCCCTCAGCTGTTTGAGACCCCTCCATTATAAATGTATTTTTTGTGTCCATCTATCAGCTGTTTGAGACCCCTCCATTATAAATGTATTTTGTTGTCCATGTCCTCAGCTGTTTGAGACCCAGAGAGTCCGCCATGGCATGATGGCCCTTGGCCCCAGTGGTGCGGGTAAGACCTGTTGTATCCACATCCTGATGAAGGCCATGACAGACTGTGGAGAGCCACACAAGGAGTGGAGGATGAACCCCAAGGCCATCACGGCCCCTCAGATGTTTGGTCGGCTCGATGTGGCAACCAATGATTGGACAGACGGCATCTTCTCCACTCTATGGAGGAGGACGACCAGAGTTAAAAAAGGTATGAATGGACCAAAGTCTTCAGTTGTATGAATAGATGGCGGTACCAAAAGTTTAAGTTGTATGAATAGATGGCAGTACCAAAAGTTTCAGTTGTATGAATAGATGGCAGTACCAGAAGCTTCAGTTGTATGAATAGATGGCAGTACCAAAAGCTTCAGTTTTATTCTGGTGGGTTGTTGAGAAAACTTTGAACTTTTCCAGGAGAACACATCTGGCTGGTACTAGACGGGCCTGTGGATGCCATCTGGATTGAAAACTTGAACTCTGTCCTAGATGACAACAAAACCTTGACCTTGGCCAATGGTGACCGTATACCCATGGCCCCAAACTGTAAGATCATCTTTGAGCCACACAACATTGACAACGCCTCCCCCGCCACTGTCTCTCGTAATGGGATGGTCTACATGAGCAGCTCAGGCCTGGGCTGGAATCCTATCCTACGTGTAAGTTTGACCCATATCCTAATATCCTATCCTACGTGTACGTTGGCCCACGTGTAAGTTGCCCAATATCCTATTCTACATATAAGTTAACTTGTATCCTACTCTACATGTAAAATATCCCCCATGTACAGACCCCCATGCGCTGACCTCCATGTACTGACCACCATGCAATGGCCCCCATTTACTGACCCTATGGGTTTACCTTCATATACTGACCCCATGTAATGTGTTTTATCCAGGGCTGGCTAAACCTGCGTCCAGCACATGAAAAAGATATTCTCATGGGTTTGTTTGAAGGATCTTTTACTGCATTGTGGAACTATGCCATACAGAATCTGGAATTCAAAATGGACATTTTGGAAGCTTTTGTCATTAGTCAGGTGATAAAAAATTGTTAATTAATTTCAACTTTATTTTATAATCAGCTATTATAGATATCAGTTGTGAGTTTAATGTGCTATTATCTCATGACAAACTGCAATAGAGATCTTGACTTAAATGCAACAATGTCCCCCATAAAGGCTTGCAAGTTGATGACTGGACTGATCACCATGAAGGATGAGAAAGAAGGCACAGGGCAGCTGCCTAGAGAAGTGTATGAGCGCATCTACATCTTCACACTCATGTGGAGCATCGGAGCTTTCCTAGAGCTGGATGACCGGGCCAAGATGGAGGAGTTTCTCCGCAAGCACGAGACCATCAGACTGGACCTGCCAAAGATCCCTGATGGCCTGGATGCCACAATGTTTGACTTCATGGTGGACGCTGATGGTTAGCAGTTTAAAAAATTAGTTTCATTGTTCATTTTTGGGGAAGGGCGGTTACTTCACTTGACTGGTCTTTTGTTGCAAAACCTGCACACAAATTTTATTTTAATTTTGAAATTAGCTACTTAGAATTTTTCAGTGTCTGTAGAATATCTTAATTTGAAAAAGCAAGAAATCTGTGTAGAGTTTAGGAAAACTTAAATCTTGAACAGAGAGCATAGGATCAAATAGACAGTGTGGTCTAACGGTAGAGACTTAAACTGCTAACCCAAAAGTCTCAAGTTTTGATCCCAGGCTAGAGTCAGTTAGACGTCCCTGAGTCCACCCAACTCATGGGTACCTGATTCATGTTAGGGAAGTATAGGTGATTGAACATAGTGCTAACCACATTATCCCTTCAAATGCCGAAGTCACTGAAATAAGGGAACTCTTCTTCACCTGCCATATGGACCGTAAGGTTCAAAAGGAACAATCTGGAACAACCAATTTTTTTCTTCACATTTGATTAATTGTCATAAACTAATTGTAGCTTCTTGACTTAAAAAACTAATTCTCTGATACTATTGTGTTGCTAGGCAACTGGGTGTACTGGGGTGAGAAGGTGAGCAGCTACATCTACCCCACTGACCACGAGCCTGAGTACACCAGCATCCTGGTGCCCAATGTGGACAACGTGAGGACTGAGTTCCTCATCAACCTGATCGCCAAACAAAACAAAGCCGTCCTGTTGATTGGTGAGCAGGGCACAGCCAAGACTGTCATGATCAACAACTACATGGGCCAGTACAACCCAGAGTACCACATTGGCCAGTCGGTCAACTTTTCTTCAGCCACCACACCTCTCATGTTCCAGGTCAGTTCCCTGATACATGGCGTCTAATGTTTGGTTTTTGCTCACATTTTAAAAAAATTGTGTACCAGTATTTTCTTTTTTCAGTCTTACAATTTGGAATAATTTTTTTTATCTTTTAAGAATAAAAATTAAATATGCTGAATTAATCAGTTTTGCCTTTGGAGTCAGCCAAGCATTATTGTTGTTTAACCAACTTTCCCCCAGCGCACCATTGAAAGTTACGTGGATAAAAGAGTTGGCTCCACCTATGGGCCCCCTGCAGGCAAGAAAGCCACTGTGTTCATTGATGACATCAACATGCCTGTCATCAATGAGTGGGGCGACCAAATCGCCAATGAGATTGTCAGACAACTCATGGAAAACCGTGGCTTCTACAGCTTGGAGAAGCCTGGTGACTTCACAACTATTGTTGATATGCAGGTTGGCTTTCTTATAACTTATATTCACAACTATTGTTGATATGCAGGTTGGCTTTCTTATAACTTATATTCACAACTATTGTTGATATGCAGGTTGGCTTTCTTATAACTTATATTCACAACTATTGTTGATATGCAGGTTGGCTTTCTTATAACTTATATTCACAACTATTGTTGATATGCAGGTTGGCTTTCTTATAACTTAAATTCAACACACTGAATATCACTGGTCAAAATCTATTATTGCAATGTTAACTTTTCAGTTGCTATTCTTTCTTATCATTTCACATCTGTATTCTGCTGCCATACATCTCTGATTTTGAAAAAACTCCAGCCATTGACAATTTTCTAAACACCTCCCAGTTTTTGGCAGCCATGATTCAGCCAGGTGGAGGTCGCAATGACATCCCCCAGCGTCTGAAGCGCCAGTTTGCCATCTTCAACTGTACACTGCCATCCAATCCATCCATTGACAAAATCTTCACTGTCATTGGGCTGGGACATTTCTGCAAGGAGAGAGGCTTCAAAGAGGATGTCATTGCCATGGTCAGGAACTTAGTGCCCATCACTAGAAGACTCTGGCAGTTAACCAAGGTAAATTTAAAACTTTTGTATGAAGAGAGACAGTGGTTGAAATCAACTCATTGTTTACTAGCTAGTGTAGTATTTGTCACATTGACAAATTATTTATCTTTGTACCATCTGTATTTTGAAATAAATGATCCACCACACTTGTAACCAACAGCTCAAAGACTGAGGTTAGACTAAGCTTCCCATGAATGTCAATCTACCCCATATCCCAGAGGTCACATGACCAAAATCTCCAAAAAATACTGATTCAATTAGCTCGCAAGAACAAAAAAATAAGGCTCCACCATCCAATTAGATCATGATTATGTCCTTTGGTAATACCTACATACATTTGTAATTATTTTACAGATTATCAAAATACATTTCTAAAATTGAAATTACTCTTTCCAGATCAAAATGTTACCAACACCAGCCAAATTTCATTACATCTTCAACTTGCGAGATCTGTCTCGCATCTGGCAAGGCATGTTGAACACTATCAGCAGTGTCATCACTGATGTCAAAATCCTGATGGGGCTCTGGAAACATGAATGCTGCCGTGTCATAGCTGACAGGTGACGTGGGGAAATGTGTGTGTGTCAGAGTGGGAAATGTGGGGGAAGGGATGTGGTGTATCATAACTTTATAGTAAAATGAGCTTGGGCTGATTAATTTATTAAATGTTGGACACAAATACACAGGGAACCTCCACCAGCTGGTGGGTAGCAAAACAAACAAAATAATTTATTAAATGAATGATACTAGAATATTGAGCTTTTTGCTGCACTGACTATAAAATTCCAATTATAATGATGATTTTTTGATCAGTTTGGTATGAAATCTATATGTAAAATATGTTTGATGATTTATTGTGGTATTGCATGTACTGTACTATGTGAATAACTTTACCGTTATGTCATTCATAATAAAAAGCTTTAATTTCAGATGAAAAGTAGCCACTTCAATAGTTTTACTTAAATAGTTACCCTTAAATGTTACACTAAAATAGTTACCCTTATATGTTATAATTATGAATACCTGAAAGAATAAACATATAAAACTATTTTTGCTTGCTAAAACTGGCCACAGATTTACCAGTGTGGATGATGGTGCCTGGTTCATCAAAACTATGACCAGGGTGATCAATGAAGAGTGTGGTGAATCCACAGCTGTCCATCTAGAACGGAGTGATCTGTTTGTTGATTTCTTGAGGTAGCCCCAACAACATGGATCAAGATTTGGCTTTTTTTTTTTTGCTGTGTGATTTTTTTTTTTGCCTAACCCTTTTTCCTTTTAAAGAAAATTTCTCTGTAAAACTTAAACAGGCCTTAACAGCCTAAATATTAAAAAGAATAGATCTGAAGTAACAAAATTTTTTCTTGTAAAGCTTAAACAGCCTAAATATTAAAAAGAATAGATCAGCAGTAACAGAAAAATTTTCTTTGTCTCCCTCATACAATGCAGCAACTCAAGTGTGTACGTGAAATCATTTTCAAATTATCTGTTTGAATTTTAAGTACTTTTTAAATATTATCAAAACAACTATCATTAAAAATCTTTTAAGAATGATTTGTTTACAAACTGAATATAAATAATATTGATAATAAGTTAATATTTCTTAGCAAATCAAAAAGCTAGTTACATTTTCAGCATACTTGAGTTGATGTGTCTAGTCTAACACAGCATACTTGATGTGTCTAGTCTAACACAGCATACTTGATGTGTCTAGTCTAACACAGCATACTTGATGTGTCTAGTCCAACACAGCATACTTGATGTGTCTAGTCCAACACAGCATACTTGATGTGTCTAGTCCAACACAGCATACTTGATGTGTCTAGTCCAACACAGCATACTTGATGTGTCTAGTCCAACACAGCATACTTGATGTGTCTAGTCTAACACAGCATACTTGATGTGTCTAGTCCAACACCCCTCTAGTTTTCTCCACAGTGGGCTGCAGTGGCTGCTTTTATTGCTTTATGTGTGTGTGTGTGATCCTAACTTAGCCTAGATTTTAACCTGTGTGCATTCTAAAAACCTAACCCTGCATGTTGCGCCGTGGCCGTGGACAGATTTGTGACAGTGGAGGACCTGGCCTGGTATGACAAGACACTCAAGCGCCTGGTCAACCAGGAGATTAGTGAAGAGGCAGGGGAGCTGGTGGTGGAAACTTTTTTTTTCTCTGGCTTCATGAGGTGGGAACATGTTTCATTCTGTAACAGGTGTCATCCCTACACCCAGAGATGCAAACACAAATATGTTTCATTCTTTAACACAACCTGGTGTCACCCATATACCAAGAGATGCAAACACAAATATGTTTCATTCTTTAACACAACCTGGTGTCACCCATATACCAAGAGATGCAAACACAAATATGTTTCATTCTTTAACACAACCTGGTGTCACCCATATACCAAGAGATGCAAACACATTCACAATTGTATTCATTACATTAAATTAATTATCCTACATAGAATAAGCAAAAGCAATTTTTTTTTTACTTAACTCCATTTTCAAAAAGGATATTAGAAATTAAAAATAATAATATTTTAAAATTTAAAAGAAAACAAATAAGTTGCTTGCTCAAAATAAACATTTTTATTTTTATTAATTTTAAATCTAACTTTGAGACTGATGTATGTTAAATTTAAAAACAGAATTTAAAAAAATGAAATTTGATTCTTACCATAAATTCTTGTTTAGATGTGATGTAGATAGAATTGTGCTGATATAACTGATATTTTAACCTCACTAAAATGTGCTTGACATTTGATATCTTGTTACTGTTAGTAGTCCCTTAGAAGTAGAACATTTTTCACATGAAGTTTTGAATTTGATCATTAGTTACATCTTGAAATCAACAGCTTAAGTTAAGTAAGATTTAATTGATTTAAAGTAAGTGAAAACTAGAGACTTTATTAGATTGAATTTATGGTCTAAACACAGATACTAGACTATTTCAAAGTATGTAAAATTAAGAGTGGTTAGTGTTAAATTTCTTGAATATAATGATAATCTAATAAAATAAAAACCATACAATTTCGTTTAAACATGATAAGTAATGGCAGATATAAATAAATTACAGATTCTTTATTCCATGCAGTTTTATTTTTAATGTGCTCTTTTCTAACAACATATGCCTGTCTTGTGTCTCTAGAGATGCACCTGAAGCCACAGGAGATGAGCCTGAAGATGCAGACTTTGACATGCCTAAAATCTATGAACCTGTGAGTCATCTCCTTCATAACCTGCTTATTTTTGTCTCTGTAAACTTTGTTTAGCCTGCCATAGTCCCCATAACTTTGTTTAGCCTGCCATGGTCCCCATAACTTTGTTTAGCCTGCCATGGTCCCCATAACTTTGTTTAGCCTGCCATGGTCCCCATAACTTTGTTTAGCCTGCCATGGTCCCCATAACTTTGTTTAGCCTGCCATGGTCCCCATAACTTTGTTTAGCCTGCCATGGTCCCCATAACTTTGTTTAGCCTGCCATGGTCCCCATAACTTTGTTTAGCCTGCCATTCTGTCCCCATAACTTTGTTTATCCTGCCATGGTCCCCATAACTTTGTTTAGCCTGCCATTCTCACACTGCCATGGTCCCCATAACTTTGTTTATCCTGCCATGGTCCCCATAACTTTGTTTAGCCTGCCATTCTGTCCCCCTGCCTCAGGTTGAAAGCATGCAGGCCCTCAAGGAGAGGCTGTCCTACTTCCTACAGCAGTACAATGACAGCGTGCGTGGTGCAGGGATGGACCTGGTGTTTTTCCAAGATGCCATGACCCACTTGGTCAAGGTTTCTCGCATTATCAGAACACCCAGAGGACACGCCCTTTTGGTAGGAGTGGGAGGGTCAGGCAAGCAGTCTCTGACCAGGCTGGCCTCATTTATTGCTGGATACAAGACCTTCCAGATTACTTTGACCAGGTAAACTTTTGCTTTTGTTATGGTTTTGTTTGCTTACCAGATTACTTTGACCAGTGTACGCCACCCGTTGCTATGGCCACCTGTGGAGCCATGTTCTCTGCCCCCCCCCCCCCACCAATAAGATGCCATGTTCTCTGCCCCCCCCCCCAATAAGATGCCATGTTCTCTGCCCCCACCAGTTGTAGATGCCATGTTCTCTGCCCCCACCAATAAGATGCCATGTTCTCTGCCCCCACCAATAAGATGCCATGTTCTCTGCCCCCACCAATAAGATGCCATGTTCTCTGCCCCCACCAATAAGATGCCATGTTCTCTGCCCCCCCCCAATAAGATGCCATGTTCTCTGCCCCCACCAGTTGTAGATGCCATGTTCTCTGCCCCCACCAGTTGTAGATGCCATGTTCTCTGCCCCCACCAGTTGTAGATGCCATGTTCTCTGCCCCCACCAGTTGTAGATGCCATGTTCTCTGCCCCCACAAATAAGATGCCATGTTCTCTGCCCCCAGCAATAAGATGCCATGTTCTCTGCCCCCACCAGTTGTAGATGCCATGTTCTCTGCCCCCACCAGTTGTAGATGCCATGTTCTCTGCCCCCACCAGTTGTAGATGCCATGTTCTCTGCCCCCACCAATAAGATGCCATGTTCTCTGCCCCCACCAATAAGATGCCATGTTCTCTGCCCCCCCCCAATAAGATGCCATGTTCTCTGCCCCCACCAGTTGTAGATGCCATGTTCTCTGCCCCCACCAGTTGTAGATGCCATGTTCTCTGCCCCCACCAGTTGTAGATGCCATGTTCTCTGCCCCCACCAGTTGTAGATGCCATGTTCTCTGCCCCCACCAGTTGTGGATGCCATGTTCTCTGCCCCCACCAGTTGTAGATGCCATGTTCTCTGCCCCCACCAGTTGTAGATGCCATGTTCTCTGCCCCCACCAGTTGTAGATGCCATGTTCTCTGCCCCCACCAGTTGTAGATGCCATGTTCTCTGCCCCCACCAGTTGTAGATGCCATGTTCTCTGCCCCCACCAGTTGTAGATGCCATGTTCTCTGCCCCCACCAGTTGTAGATGCCATGTTCTCTGCCCCCCCCCAATAAGATGCCATGTTCTCTGCCCCCACCAGTTGTAGATGCCATGTTCTCTGCCCCCACCAATAAGATGCCATGTTCTCTGCCCCCCCCCACCAATAAGATGCCATGTTCTCTGCCCCCCCCCCCCCCCACCAATAAGATGCCATGTTCTCTGCCCCCACCAGGTCCTACAATGTTTCCAATCTGCTGGAGGACCTCAAGTTCCTGTACAGAACAGCTGGTCAGCAGGGCAAGGGCATCACATTCATTTTCACTGACCAGGAGATCAAGGATGAAGGTTTTCTAGAGTATCTCAACAACATGCTGTCTTCTGGTGTGGTTAGTACATTGTTACAGTTTTTTGTTCTTTATTTAGAAATCTATTAGTTGTTGTTTCTATTGCTGATGTATTCCTGTGTGTGTATAGCTAACAAAAAAGATTGCTGATGTGTTCCTGTAAGATGTATTCCTATGTGCAGGTCTCCAACTTGTTTGCCAGAGATGAAATGGATGAGATCCTGGGAGAGCTGGTCTCTGTCATGAAGAAGGAATTCCCTAAAAGACCCCCAAGCAATGAAAACCTGTATGAATATTACCTGACGAGGGTCAGGGCCAACCTTCATGTTTCACTTTGTTTCTCACCTGTAAGTCAGGCCTTTCATTCACTTGAAATTCAGTCAATAAATAGGTTTCACATAACACTGATTTAAACAGCTGGATGGATCTTTGTAGCATTTGTCCATCTGATGTGGCCTACTTTAAGACTAATTGTAAAAAAAAAAAATAAACATTTATAATAATAAACTTCTATATGTGCATTAAAAAGAAGATATAAAAATCAATAAAATGTCTTTCTTTAAATATATAATAAAATGCACCACTATTGAAATAACTAAAAAGAAAAACATGGATCACTTAAAGCTGCTCCTCATGACAGATGTGGACAAAGGCCTTAAGAAATCAGTTAAACAAAAGCTTGTAATGTTTCTTACACTCATTTGACTGTTTGTGCAGGTGGGAGAAAAGTTCCGCCAGCGAGCCTTGAAGTTTCCTGGTCTGATCTCTGGCTGCACCATGGACTGGTTCCAGAGATGGCCAAAGGATGCCCTGATTGCTGTGGCTGACCACTTCCTGCGTGACTTCAACATCGTGTGTACAGAGGACGTGAAGAAACAAGTCATCCACACCATGGGGATCATCCACGACGGGGTGGCAGAGAGCTGCATAGACTACTTCCAGAGGTGACAGTTGATTCTTTTAGGGGGTGGCAGAGAGCTGCATAGACTACTTCCAGAGGTGACAAAATGGTTGATTCTTTTAGGGGGTGGCAGAGAGCTGCATAGACTACTTCCAGAGGTGACAGTTGATTCTTTTAGGGGGTGGCAGAGAGCTGCATAGACTACTTCCAGAGGTGACAAAATGGTTGATTCTTTTAGGGGGTGGCAGAGAGCTGCATAGACTACTTCCAGAGGTGACAAAATGGTTGATTCTTTTAGGGGGTGGCAGAGAGCTGCATAGACTACTTCCAGAGGTGACAAAATGGTTGATTCTTTTAGGGGGTGGCAGAGAGCTGCATAGACTACTTCCAGAGGTGACAGTTGATTCTTTTAGGGGGTGGCAGAGAGCTGCATAGACTACTTCCAGAGGTGACAAAATGGTTGATTCTTTTAGGGGGTGGCAGAGAGCTGCATAGACTACTTCCAGAGGTGACAAAATGGTTGATTCTTTTAGGGGGTGGCAGAGAGCTGCATAGACTACTTCCAGAGGTGACAAATAGTTGATTCTTTTAGGGGGTGGCAGAGAGCTGCATAGACTACTTCCAGAGGTGACAAAATGGTTGATTCTTTTAGGGGGTGGCAGAGAGCTGCATAGACTACTTCCAGAGGTGACAAAATGGTTGATTCTTTTAGGGGGTGGCAGAGAGCTGCATAGACTACTTCCAGAGGTGACAGTTGATTCTTTTAGGGGGTGGCAGAGAGCTGCATAGACTACTTCCAGAGGTGACAGTTGATTCTTTTAGGGGGTGGCAGAGAGCTGCATAGACTACTTCCAGAGGTGACAAAATGGTTGATTCTTTTAGGGGGTGGCAGAGAGCTGCATAGACTACTTCCAGAGGTGACAGTTGATTCTTTTAGGGGGTGGCAGAGAGCTGCATAGACTACTTCCAGAGGTGACAAAATGGTTGATTCTTTTAGGGGGTGGCAGAGAGCTGCATAGACTACTTCCAGAGGTGACAAAATGGTTGATTCTTTTAGGGGGTGGCAGAGAGCTGCATAGACTACTTCCAGAGGTGACAAAATGGTTGATTCTTTTAGGGGGTGGCAGAGAGCTGCATAGACTACTTCCAGAGGTGACAGTTGATTCTTTTAGGGGGTGGCAGAGAGCTGCATAGACTACTTCCAGAGGTGACAAAATGGTTGATTCTTTTAGGGGGTGGCAGAGAGCTGCATAGACTACTTCCAGAGGTGACAAAATGGTTGATTCTTTTAGGGGGTGGCAGAGAGCTGCATAGACTACTTCCAGAGGTGACAAATAGTTGATTCTTTTAGGGGGTGGCAGAGAGCTGCATAGACTACTTCCAGAGGTGACAAAATGGTTGATTCTTTTAGGGGGTGGCAGAGAGCTGCATAGACTACTTCCAGAGGTGACAAAATGGTTGATTCTTTTAGGGGGTGGCAGAGAGCTGCATAGACTACTTCCAGAGGTGACAGTTGATTCTTTTAGGGGGTGGCAGAGAGCTGCATAGACTACTTCCAGAGGTGACAAAATGGTTGATTCTTTTAGGGGGTGGCAGAGAGCTGCATAGACTACTTCCAGAGGTGACAAAATGGTTGATTCTTTTAGGGGGTGGCAGAGAGCTGCATAGACTACTTCCAGAGGTGACAAAATAGTTGATTCTTTTAGGGGGTGGCAGAGAGCTGCATAGACTACTTTCAGAGGTGACAAAATGGTTGATTCTTTTAGGGGGTGGCAGAGAGCTGCATAGACTACTTCCAGAGGTGACAAATAGTTGATTCTTTTAGGGGGTGGCAGAGAGCTGCATAGACTACTTCCAGAGTTGACAAATAGTTGATTCTTTTAGGGGGTGGCAGAGAGCTGCATAGACTACTTCCAGAGGTGACAGTTGATTCTTTTAGGGGGTGGCAGAGAGCTGCATAGACTACTTCCAGAGGTGACAAATAGTTGATTCTTTTAGGGGGTGGCAGAGAGCTGCATAGACTACTTCCAGAGGTGACAAAATGGTTGATTCTTTTAGGGGGTGGCAGAGAGCTGCATAGACTACTTCCAGAGGTGACAGTTGATTCTTTTAGGGGGTGGCAGAGAGCTGCATAGACTACTTCCAGAGGTGACAAAATGGTTGATTCTTTTAGGGGGTGGCAGAGAGCTGCATAGACTACTTCCAGAGGTGACAAAATAGTTGATTCTTTTAGGGGGTGGCAGAGAGCTGCATAGACTACTTCCAGAGGTGACAAAATGGTTGATTCTTTTAGGGGGTGGCAGAGAGCTGCATAGACTACTTCCAGAGGTGACAAAATAGTTGATTCTTTTAGGGGGTGGCAGAGAGCTGCATAGACTACTTCCAGAGGTGACAAAATGGTTGATTCTTTTAGGGGGTGGCAGAGAGCTGCATAGACTACTTCCAGAGGTGACAAAATGGTTGATTCTTTTAGGGGGTGGCAGAGAGCTGCATAGACTACTTCCAGAGGTGACAAATAGTTGATTCTTTTAGGGGGTGGCAGAGAGCTGCATAGACTACTTCCAGAGGTGACAAAATAGCTGATTCTTTTAGGGGGTGGCAGAGAGCTGCATAGACTACTTCCAGAGGTGACAAATAGTTGATTCTTTTAGGGGGTGGCAGAGAGCTGCATAGACTACTTCCAGAGGTGACAAATAGTTGATTCTTTTAGGGGGTGGCAGAGAGCTGCATAGACTACTTCCAGAGGTGACAAAATAGTTGATTCTTTTAGGGGGTGGCAGAGAGCTGCATAGACTACTTCCAGAGGTGACAAAATAGTTGATTCTTTTAGGGGGTGGCAGAGAGCTGCATAGACTACTTCCAGAGGTGACAAAATGGTTGATTCTTTTAGGGGGTGGCAGAGAACTGCATAGACTACTTCCAGAGGTGACAAATAGTTGATTCTTTTAGGGGGTGGCAGAGAGCTGCATAGACTACTTCCAGAGGTGACAAATAGTTGATTCTTTTAGGGGGTGGCAGAGAGCTGCATAGACTACTTCCAGAGGTGACAAAATGGTTGATTCTTTTAGGGGGTGGCAGAGAGCTGCATAGACTACTTCCAGAGGTGACAAATAGTTGATTCTTTTAGGGGGTGGCAGAGAGCTGCATAGACTACTTCCAGAGGTGACAAAATGGTTGATTCTTTTAGGGGGTGGCAGAGAGCTGCATAGACTACTTCCAGAGGTGACAAAATAGTTGATTCTTTTAGGGGGTGGCAGAGAGCTGCATAGACTACTTCCAGAGGTGACAAAATAGTTGATTCTTTTAGGGGGTGGCAGAGAGCTGCATAGACTACTTCCAGAGGTGACAAAATAGTTGATTCTTTTAGGGGGTGGCAGAGAGCTGCATAGACTACTTCCAGAGGTGACAAAATAGTTGATTCTTTTAGGGGGTGGCAGAGAGCTGCATAGACTACTTCCAGAGGTGACAAAATGGTTGATTCTTTTAGGGGGTGGCAGAGAGCTGCATAGACTACTTCCAGAGGTGACAAATAGTTGATTCTTTTAGGGGGTGGCAGAGAGCTGCATAGACTACTTCCAGAGGTGACAAAATAGTTGATTCTTTTAGGGGGTGGCAGAGAGCTGCATAGACTACTTCCAGAGGTGACAAAATAGTTGATTCTTTTAGGGGGTGGCAGAGAGCTGCATAGACTACTTCCAGAGGTGACAAAATGGTTGATTCTTTTAGGGGGTGGCAGAGAGCTGCATAGACTACTTCCAGAGGTGACAAATAGTTGATTCTTTTAGGGGGTGGCAGAGAGCTGCATAGACTACTTCCAGAGGTGACAAAATAGTTGATTCTTTTAGGGGGTGGCAGAGAGCTGCATAGACTACTTCCAGAGGTGACAAAATAGTTGATTCTTTTAGGGGGTGGCAGAGAGCTGCATAGACTACTTCCAGAGTTGACAAATAGTTGATTCTTTTAGGGGGTGGCAGAGAGCTGCATAGACTACTTCCAGAGGTGACAGTTGATTCTTTTAGGGGGTGGCAGAGAGCTGCATAGACTACTTCCAGAGGTGACAAATAGTTGATTCTTTTAGGGGGTGGCAGAGAGCTGCATAGACTACTTCCAGAGGTGACAAAATGGTTGATTCTTTTAGGGGGTGGCAGAGAGCTGCATAGACTACTTCCAGAGGTGACAAAATAGTTGATTCTTTTAGGGGGTGGCAGAGAGCTGCATAGACTACTTCCAGAGGTGACAAAATGGTTGATTCTTTTAGGGGGTGGCAGAGAGCTGCATAGACTACTTCCAGAGGTGACAAATAGTTGATTCTTTTAGGGGGTGGCAGAGAGCTGCATAGACTACTTCCAGAGGTGACAAATAGTTGATTCTTTTAAGGGGTGGCAGAGAGCTGCATAGACTACTTCCAGAGGTGACAAATAGTTGATTCTTTTAGGGGGTGGCAGAGAGCTGCATAGACTACTTCCAGAGGTGACAAAATGGTTGATTCTTTTAGGGGGTGGCAGAGAGCTGCATAGACTACTTCCAGAGGTGACAAATAGTTGATTCTTTTAGGGGGTGGCAGAGAGCTGCATAGACTACTTCCAGAGGTGACAAAATAGTTGATTCTTTTAGGGGGTGGCAGAGAGCTGCATAGACTACTTCCAGAGGTGACAAAATGGTTGATTCTTTTAGGGGGTGGCAGAGAGCTGCATAGACTACTTCCAGAGGTGACAAAATGGTTGATTCTTTTAGGGGGTGGCAGAGAGCTGCATAGACTACTTCCAGAGGTGACAAATAGTTGATTCTTTTAGGGGGTGGCAGAGAGCTGCATAGACTACTTCCAGAGGTGACAAAATAGTTGATTCTTTTAGGGGGTGGCAGAGAGCTGCATAGACTACTTCCAGAGGTGACAAAATAGTTGATTCTTTTAGGGGGTGGCAGAGAGCTGCATAGACTACTTCCAGAGGTGACAAAATGGTTGATTCTTTTAGGGGGTGGCAGAGAGCTGCATAGACTACTTCCAGAGGTGACAAATAGTTGATTCTTTTAGGGGGTGGCAGAGAGCTGCATAGACTACTTCCAGAGGTGACAAATAGTTGATTCTTTTAGGGGGTGGCAGAGAGCTGCATAGACTACTTCCAGAGGTGACAAATAGTTGATTCTTTTAGGGGGTGGCAGAGAGCTGCATAGACTACTTCCAGAGGTGACAAAATGGTTGATTCTTTTAGGGGGTGGCAGAGAGCTGCATAGACTACTTCCAGAGGTGACAAATAGTTGATTCTTTTAGGGGGTGGCAGAGAGCTGCATAGACTACTTCCAGAGGTGACAAAATAGTTGATTCTTTTAGGGGGTGGCAGAGAGCTGCATAGACTACTTCCAGAGGTGACAAAATGGTTGATTCTTTTAGGGGGTGGCAGAGAGCTGCATAGACTACTTCCAGAGGTGACAAAATGGTTGATTCTTTTAGGGGGTGGCAGAGAGCTGCATAGACTACTTCCAGAGGTGACAAATAGTTGATTCTTTTAGGGGGTGGCAGAGAGCTGCATAGACTACTTCCAGAGGTGACAAAATAGTTGATTCTTTTAGGGGGTGGCAGAGAGCTGCATAGACTACTTCCAGAGGTGACAAAATAGTTGATTCTTTTAGGGGGTGGCAGAGAGCTGCATAGACTACTTCCAGAGGTGACAAAATGGTTGATTCTTTTAGGGGGTGGCAGAGAGCTGCATAGACTACTTCCAGAGGTGACAAATAGTTGATTCTTTTAGGGGGTGGCAGAGAGCTGCATAGACTACTTCCAGAGGTGACAAATAGTTGATTCTTTTAGGGGGTGGCAGAGAGCTGCATAGACTACTTCCAGAGGTGACAAATAGTTGATTCTTTTAGGGGGTGGCAGAGAGCTGCATAGACTACTTCCAGAGGTGACAAAATGGTTGATTCTTTTAGGGGGTGGCAGAGAGCTGCATAGACTACTTCCAGAGGTGACAAAATAGTTGATTCTTTTAGGGGGTGGCAGAGAGCTGCATAGACTACTTCCAGAGGTGACAAAATAGTTGATTCTTTTAGGGGGTGGCAGAGAGCTGCATAGACTACTTCCAGAGGTGACAAAATAGTTGATTCTTTTAGGGGGTGGCAGAGAGCTGCATAGACTACTTCCAGAGGTGACAAAATAGTTGATTCTTTTAGGGGGTGGCAGAGAGCTGCATAGACTACTTCCAGAGGTGACAAAATGGTTGATTCTTTTAGGGGGTGGCAGAGAGCTGCATAGACTACTTCCAGAGGTGACAAATAGTTGATTCTTTTAGGGGGTGGCAGAGAGCTGCATAGACTACTTCCAGAGTTGACAAATAGTTGATTCTTTTAGGGGGTGGCAGAGAGCTGCATAGACTACTTCCAGAGGTGACAGTTGATTCTTTTAGGGGGTGGCAGAGAGCTGCATAGACTACTTCCAGAGGTGACAAATAGTTGATTCTTTTAGGGGGTGGCAGAGAGCTGCATAGACTACTTCCAGAGGTGACAAAATGGTTGATTCTTTTAGGGGGTGGCAGAGAGCTGCATAGACTACTTCCAGAGGTGACAGTTGATTCTTTTAGGGGGTGGCAGAGAGCTGCATAGACTACTTCCAGAGGTGACAAAATGGTTGATTCTTTTAGGGGGTGGCAGAGAGCTGCATAGACTACTTCCAGAGGTGACAGTTGATTCTTTTAGGGGGTGGCAGAGAGCTGCATAGACTACTTCCAGAGGTGACAAAATGGTTGATTCTTTTAGGGGGTGGCAGAGAGCTGCATAGACTACTTCCAGAGGTGACAAAATGGTTGATTCTTTTAGGGGGTGGCAGAGAGCTGCATAGACTACTTCCAGAGGTGACAGTTGATTCTTTTAGGGGGTGGCAGAGAGCTGCATAGACTACTTCCAGAGGTGACAAATAGTTGATTCTTTTAGGGGGTGGCAGAGAGCTGCATAGACTACTTCCAGAGGTGACAAAATAGTTGATTCTTTTAGGGGGTGGCAGAGAGCTGCATAGACTACTTCCAGAGGTGACAAAATAGTTGATTCTTTTAGGGGGTGGCAGAGAGCTGCATAGACTACTTCCAGAGGTGACAAAATGGTTGATTCTTTTAGGGGGTGGCAGAGAGCTGCATAGACTACTTCCAGAGGTGACAAATAGTTGATTCTTTTAGGGGGTGGCAGAGAGCTGCATAGACTACTTCCAGAGGTGACAAAATAGTTGATTCTTTTAGGGGGTGGCAGAGAGCTGCATAGACTACTTCCAGAGGTGACAAAATAGTTGATTCTTTTAGGGGGTGGCAGAGAGCTGCATAGACTACTTCCAGAGGTGACAAAATGGTTGATTCTTTTAGGGGGTGGCAGAGAGCTGCATAGACTACTTCCAGAGGTGACAAAATGGTTGATTCTTTTAGGGGGTGGCAGAGAGCTGCATAGACTACTTCCAGAGGTGACAAATAGTTGATTCTTTTAGGGGGTGGCAGAGAGCTGCATAGACTACTTCCAGAGGTGACAAAATGGTTGATTCTTTTAGGGGGTGGCAGAGAGCTGCATAGACTACTTCCAGAGGTGACAGTTGATTCTTTTAGGGGGTGGCAGAGAGCTGCATAGACTACTTCCAGAGGTGACAAAATGGTTGATTCTTTTAGGGGGTGGCAGAGAGCTGCATAGACTACTTCCAGAGGTGACAAATAGTTGATTCTTTTAGGGGGTGGCAGAGAGCTGCAAGACTACTTCCAGAGGTGACAAATAGTTGATTCTTTTAGGGGGTGGCAGAGAGCTGCATAGACTACTTCCAGAGGTGACAAAATGGTTGATTCTTTTAGGGGGTGGCAGAGAGCTGCATAGACTACTTCCAGAGGTGACAAAATGGTTGATTCTTTTAGGGGGTGGCAGAGAGCTGCATAGACTACTTCCAGAGGTGACAAAATGGTTGATTCTTTTAGGGGGTGGCAGAGAGCTGCATAGACTACTTCCAGAGGTGACAAATAGTTGATTCTTTTAGGGGGTGGCAGAGAGCTGCATAGACTACTTCCAGAGGTGACAAAATGGTTGATTCTTTTAGGGGGTGGCAGAGAGCTGCATAGACTACTTCCAGAGGTGACAAAATGGTTGATTCTTGGGGAAGGGTGTCGGGTGTTGGGGAGTTACTTCACGACAGGGTGGCAGAGAGCTGCATAGACTACTTCCAGAGGTGACAAAATAGTTGATTCTTTTAGGGGGTGGCAGAGAGCTGCATAGACTACCTCCAGAGGTGACAAAATGGTTGATTCTTTTAGGGGGTGGCAGAGAGCTGCATAGACTACTTCCAGAGGTGACAAAATGGTTGATTCTTTTAGGGGGTGGCAGAGAGCTGCATAGACTACTTCCAGAGGTGACAAAATAGTTGATTCTTTTAGGGGGTGGCAGAGAGCTGCATAGACTACCTCCAGAGGTGACAAAATGGTTGATTCTTTTAGGGGGTGGCAGAGAGCTGCATAGACTACTTCCAGAGGTGACAAAATAGTTGATTCTTTTAGGGGGTGGCAGAGAGCTGCATAGACTACTTCCAGAGGTAACAAAATAGTTGATTCTTTTAGGGGGTGGCAGAGAGCTGCATAGACTACTTCCAGAGGTGACAAAATGGTTGATTCTTGGGGAAGGGTGTCGGGTGTTGGGGAGTTACTTCACAACAGGGTGGCAGAGAGCTGCATAGACTACTTCCAGAGGTGACAAAATGGTTGATTCTTTCAGGGCCTGTGTGGCTGGCTTAAGGAGATCAATTAGATCATACAAGTTCTAAATTCATTTCCCACATGTTCAAACTCTTCATCATTAAAAACAGACCCTAGAAACTTATAAAATGTTTGTCTAATTAATAAAATTACGTAAATGACAAAAAATTATGTCATTCTCCGTGGGAGGGAGGGAGGCTTTTAGAATTTTTTGACAATGTATGACAAGGAGGTATTGTTATAACTCTGGCTTGTGTTTACAGATATTGTTATAACTCTGGCTTGTGTTTACAGATATTGTTATAACTCTGGCTTGTGTTTCAATATAATGTGTATAACTCTGGCTTGTGTTTACAGATATCGGCGCTCAACACATGTGACACCCAAGTCATATTTGTCTTTCATCAATGGCTACAAGTCAGTGTACATGAACAAGAGGAACATGATAGGGGAACTTGCCAACAGGATGAACACAGGTAAGGAACATGATTGGGGAACTTGCCAACAGGATGAACACAGGTAAGGAACATGATTGGGGAACTTGCCAACAGGATGAACACAGGTAAGGAACATGATTGGGGAAATTAAGATTTTTTTCACAGCACAAGTTTTGATCAATGTTGCTGTGATTTTTTTTTTTCCCAGGAAAATCTGAATAAATAAAAAAAAATTCTTGCATCTGAGATAGCTTTAACTGTAAAGTCACTAAAGTGACAGTTGTAACCCAAAGTGTGATGAAGAGTTGAATGTTTTGGTGTCAGTAACCCAAAGTGTGATGAAGAGTTGAATGTTTTGGTGTCAGTAACCCAAAGTGTGATGAAGAGTTGAATGTTTTGGTGTCAGTAACCCAAAGTGTGATGAAGAGTTGAATGTTTTGGTGTCAGTAACCCAAAGTGTGATGAAGAGTTGAATGTTTTGGTGTCAGGTTTGGAGAAGCTGGTGGAGGCCTCTCTAGCGGTGGCGGAGCTGAGCAAGGAACTTGCTGTCAAAGAAAAGGAATTAGCCATTGCTTCAGAAAAGGCTGAAGCTGTTCTCAAACAAGTGACCATCCAGGTCAGGCATGCCTTAACATTTCTCAATCTTTGAAACAAGTTTTGAAGTCTTTAAATGCACTAATCAGTTGAGGGGGGGGGGGAGGGGGAGGCAACAAACAATTTGGTCTCAGACACTGTAGCTACCTAACTGGTAACTTTTAGATGTTCTAATTTTAAGTTCTGCTACAAGCTAACTGGTACATTTCAGTAAGGTTCAGTTAAAAATATTCAACTCAGAACAAAAACCTTTTTTTTTTCTAAATTTAATCAATTTATAGAGGAAAATTAATCAATTTTTTAATAACATTCAATTGACCCATGTTATAAATGAAAATTGACCCATGTTTCAAATGAAACTGATCCATGTTTTTGAAGCAACTGATTCCTGTTTTACAGGCTCAAGCTGCTGAGAAAGTGAAAAATCAGGTCCAGAAAGTGAAAGACAAAGCTCAGACAATTGTGGACAGCATTGCCACAGACAAGGCCATAGCCATGGATAAACTGGAGGCCGCACGGCCTGCACTAGAGGAGGCTGAGGCCGCCCTTAACACCATCAAACCTAATCACATAGCCACGGTCAGAAGGTTGGGCAAGCCCCCACACCTCATCATGAGGATCATGGACTGTGTACTCATCCTCTTCAGGTAGATACACCTTTTTATCACCTTTAAAAAATGTTATCATAAAAGAACTAGACTCCTGGACATATTATCCAAAGTGTTTTTGTTCTTATTTTCAACTTTTCTCAGTATTCAATTTAACATGTTACATATTCCTATAACATTCAACTTTTGATTCCTTATCCAATGTGACATTCTTGAACTTTGTTTCTCATTTCTCTTGATTTCTAGGAGCAAATTGAACTCTGTCACGTTAGATCCTGAAAAACCAGAATTTGTCAAGCCATCTTGGAACCATTCCCTAAAGGTGGTTATCAAAATATTTTGTTTTAATTCTTATTTATATCTGTATACCTTGTCAAGAATTTTTTTTTTTTTAAATTGGTATCCCTCAAAGCTCCTGGGCATATACTTTTTCATTTTCAATTTCCCTTCCCTCATATACACCTACGTATAATTTAAGTTTTTAATTCCATTTGCTGATAACCAGTTGCATGAATACCCATCAAACACTGGTAGTGGTTCGAAACACAAAATGAATATTTTGAAAGCCTGTAAGATTAGGGTACTTGATCTGGGCAGGTCATCAACTATGATGAGGTGAGTTTGAAGAGAAATTGAAGATTTTAAAGTTGATTTAAAAATTCTCAGCTGATGGCAGACACCAACTTCCTGAAAAATCTGGTGGAGTATGACAAAGATAAAATAAACGATGAGATGTGTGAGCACATGGAGCCCTACCTAGAAGCTGAGGACTACACTTTAGATATTGCCAAGAATGTTTGTGGTGATGTTGCTGGTCTCTTGTCATGGACCAAGTCTATGTATGTCTTCTACTTCATCAACAAGGAGGTCTTACCCCTCAAGGTAAGCTGGTCACACTCCACTGGTTTTACCCCACAAGGTAAGCTGGTCACACTCCACTGTTTTACCCCTCAAGGTAAGCTGGTAGCTTCACACTCCACTGGTTTTACCCCTCAAGGTAAGCTGGTCACACTCCACTGGTTTTACCCCTCAAGGTAAGCTGGTCACACTCCACTGGTTTTACCCCTCAAGGTAAGCTGGTAGCTTCACACTCCACTGTTTTACCCCTCAAGGTAAGCTGGTAGCTTCACACTCCACTGGTTTTACCCCTCAAGGTAAGCTGGTCACACTCCACTGTTTTACCCCTCAAGGTAAGCTGGTAGCTTCACACTCCACTGGTTTTACCCCTCAAGGTAAGCTGGTCACACTCCACTGTTTTACCCCTCAAGGTAAGCTGGTCACACTCCACTGGTTTTACCCCTCAAGGTAAGCTGGTCACACTCCACTGGTTTTACCCCTCAAGGTAAGCTGGTAGCTTCACACTCCACTGTTTTACCCCTCAAGGTAAGCTGGTCACACTCCACTGGTTTTACCCCTCAAGGTAAGCTGGTCACACTCCACTGGTTTTACCCCTCAAGGTAAGCTGGTCACACTCCACTGGTTTTACCCCTCAAGGTAAGCTGGTCACACTCCACTGGTTTTACCCCTCAAGGTAAGCTGGTCACACTCCACTGGTCTTACCCCTCAAGGTAAGCTGGTCACACTCCACTGGTTTTACCCCTCAAGGTAAGCTGGTCACACTCCACTGGTTTTACCCCTCAAGGTAAGCTGGTCACACTCCACTGGTTTTACCCCTCAAGGTAAGCTGGTAGCTTCACCTCCATTGGTTTTACCCCTCAAGGTAAGCTGGTCACGCTTCACTGGTTTTACCCCTCAAGGTAAGCTGGTCACACTCCACTGGTTTTACCCCTCAAGGTAAGCTGGTCACACTCCACTGGTTTTACCCCTCAAGGTAAGCTGGTAGCTTCACCTCCATTGGTTTTACCCCTCAAGGTAAGCTGGTCACACTCCACTGGTTTTACCCCTCAAGGTAAGCTGGTCACACTCCACTGGTTTTACCCCTCAAGGTAAGCTGGTAGCTTCACCTCCATTGGTTTTACCCCTCAAGGTAAGCTGGTCACACTCCACTGGTTTTACCCCTCAAGGTAAGCTGGTAGCTTCACCTCCATTGGTTTTACCCCTCAAGGTAAGCTGGTAGCTTCACCTCCATTGGTTTTACCCCTCAAGGTAAGCTGGTCACACTCCACTGGTTTTACCCCTCAAGGTAAGCTGGTAGCTTCACCTCCATTGGTTTTACCCCTCAAGGTAAGCTGGTCACACTCCACTGGTCTTACCCCTCAAGGTAAGCTGGTCACACTCCACTGGTTTTACCCCTCAAGGTAAGCTGGTCACACTCCACTGGTTTTACCCCTCAAGGTAAGCTGGTAGCTTCACCTCCATTGGTTTTACCCCTCAAGGTAAGCTGGTCACGCTTCACTGGTTTTACCCCTCAAGGTAAGCTGGTCACACTCCACTGGTTTTACCCCACAAGGTAAGCTGGTCACACTCCACTGGTTTTACCACACAAGGTAAGCTGGTAGCTTCACACTCCACTGGTTTTACCAACTCAAAGTTCACAAATTTTAGTTGCACAAAGCTAGCTAATAATACCTGTGTGAATATTTTATTGCATGCATTTTAAAATTAAGAATGATACCAAATTGAGTTTAAATGAGATATTGATTAAAATCTTTAACAGGCCAATTTGGCAGTTCAAGAGGGCCGTTTGAAGATTGCCATGACAGATTTAGAGAAAGCTCAAGCTCAGCTGGACGCCAAAGAGGCTGAGCTGAGAGCTGTGCAGGCTGAGTATGACAAGGCCATGGCAGAGAAGCAGGCCCTGATGGATGATGCTGAGACCTGCAGACGTAAAATGTCTGCTGCTTCTGCTCTTATCAATGGCCTTGGAAGTGAAAAGGAGAGATGGACAGAACAGAGCAAAGAGTTTAAAGCACAAATAGGAAGGTAAGACTATACTTGCTTGTAACTGATATAAAACATTTATTGAGCAATCATTTCTAAACTTAGGAGTTGTGTTTAAAACAATTATCTTTACTTTTTACAATAATGAGATGTAACTTGTGATGATGTTCTAAAGTTGTATCCCTTGAACTTGTAGACTGGTGGGAGACATCTTGATCTGTACAGCTTTCCTGTCCTACTCTGGCCCATTCAACCAAGACTTCCGTAGTCTGCTCAACAAAAACTGGATGAAAGAGCTCAAGAGTCGCAAGATCCCGTACTCAGCCAATCTGAACATGGTGGAACTTTTGGTTGACCCCACTCAGGTCAAGGACACTACACTTCTCTGTTTTTTTACTTTCTAAATGTTTGAATGATTGTTGTATGTTTTAAATGCTGAATATGTGTTATAATGATCCAGCTTTTTGTGGTCAGATTGCTGAATGGAACCTCCAAGGTCTACCAAATGATGAGTTATCCACACAAAATGGCATCATTGTAACTCAAGCTTCTCGTTACCCTCTTCTCATTGACCCTCAAGGTCAAGGCAAAAGTTGGATCAAAAAAAAAGAGGAAAAGAATGAGCTCCAGGTTAGTGACTATAATAACATGTTTATACTTCTAAAATATTCCTAGATTGCCTCTGTCTCTAGAACTATTTAAAACAAAATTTAGTTATGAAATTATATAATAATTTGGCTTTCAATTTGTTTGAAATCTGTCAAGTTTTAATAGTTTAATGAAGCAGATTTAGACTGCTGGTTGGGGATATTATTGTTCCTGCTAAAGTGGGCACATTGCACTTTTAGGTGACCTCCCTCAATCACAAGTACTTCAGGCAACATTTGGAGGACTCCATGTCACTAGGACGTCCTCTGATGCTGGAGGACATTGGAGAAGAACTGGACCCTGCCCTGGACAATGTGCTGGAGAAGAATTTTATCAAGGTCAGTGGTCATCTTAATATTTTCCAGCAATCCAACAAAAATAGAGTTTTCACAGCTGAAAAACTGGAAAATGCTTGAGCATTATCAAGCTCATTTTTATTTAGTCCAAAATCAAACCAAACTTTTTTTTTAGTAAAAGCCTAATGTAAGAAAATATAAACTGATCTAAATGATCAAAGTTAGAAGCCTCTAGAACATGTGCTCAGTGATGACTGGTTTGTGTGTACAGGCTGGCTCCATGCTGAAGGTCAAGGTTGGAGACAAAGAGTGTGACATCATGAAAGGCTTCACCCTGTACATCACCACCAAGATGCCCAACCCCTCATACACACCTGAGATCTCGGCCCGAACTTCCATCATTGATTTCACCGTCACCATGAAAGGCTTAGAGGATCAGCTCTTAGGACGTGTGATTCTCACAGAGAAAGCTGTTAGTATTTTAGATCTAAATTCCTGTGTTGTGTAAAACATCTAGCCATGAAGGTCTAAACTCCTGTGTTATGTAAACCATCTATCCATGAAGGTCTAAAGTCCTGTGTTATGTAAACCATCTATCCATGAAGGTCTAAACTCCTGTGTTATGTAAACCATCTATCCATGAAGGTCTAAAGTACTGTGTTATGTAAAACGTCTAGCCATAAAGGTCTAAAGTCCTGTGTTATGTAAACCATCCATCCATGAAGGTCTAAAGTCCTGTGTTATGTAAACCATCCATCCATGAAGGTCTAAAATCCCATGTTATGTAAAAAACATCTATCCATGAAGGTCTAAAATCCCATGTTATGTAAAACATTTATCCATGAAGGTCTAAAGTCCTGTGTTATGTAAACCATCTATCCATGAAGGTCTAAACTCCTGTGTGTTTGTATGTTTCAGGAACTTGAGAGTGAGAGGCTGAAGCTGATGGAGGAAGTCACGGCCAACAAGAAAAAAATGAAAGACCTAGAGGACAGTCTTCTGCTTCGTCTGACAACAACCAAAGTAACCGACAGTTTAACCTCTTAGTAAATCAATAAACTGTTTTAATAGAAAAGTCTATCAATATTTATATCCAATGCCAGTTATTGAATGTGTAATGTAAGATCATGTAGTTTAGCAATGCTACATGTATTCAGATACCAGACTACCACCCTCACTACCATTGTTCAGTCTTAGATACCAGACTACCACCCTCACTACCATTGTTCAGTCTTAGATATCAGACTACCACCCTCACTACCATTGTTCAGTCTTAGATACCAGACTACTCACTACCATTGTTCAGTCTTAGATACCAGACTACTCACTACCATTGTTCAGTCTTAGATACCAGACTACCACCCTCACTACCATTGTTCAGTCTTAGATCCTAGACTACCACCCTCACTACCATTGTTCAGTCTTAGATATCAGACTACCACCCTCACTACCATTGTTCAGTCTTAGATACCAGACTACTCACTACCATTGTTCAGTCTTAGATACCAGACTACTCACTACCATTGTTCAGTCTTAGATACCAGACTACCACCCTCACTACCATTGTTCAGTCTTAGATCCTAGACTACCACCCTCACTACCATTGTTCAGTCTTAGATACCAGACTACCACCCTCACTACCATTGTTCAGTCTTAGATACCAGACTACTCACTACCATTGTTCAGTCTTAGATACCAGACTACTCACTACCATTGTTCAGTCTTAGATACCAGACTACTCACTACCATTGTTCAGTCTTAGATACCAGACTACTCACTACCATTGTTCAGTCTTAGATACCAGACTACCACCCTCACTACCATTGTTCAGTCTTAGATCCTAGACTACCACCCTCACTACCATTGTTCAGTCTTAGATACCAGACTACCACCCTCACTACCATTGTTCAGTCTTAGATCCTAGACTACTCACTACCATTGTTCAGTCTTAGATACCAGACTACTCACTACCATTGTTCAGTCTTAGATACCAGACTACCACCTCACTACCATTGTTCAGTCTTACATTCTAGACTCACTCTCACAAATTTGATTCCTCCACCAGGGTTCGCTAGTAGATGATGAGGATCTGATCAATGTCCTCCACATCACCAAAGCTACTTCACTGGATGTCACTCAGAAGCTGGACATTGCAGCAGAAACAGAGGTGAAAATAAACTCTGCTAGAGAAGAGTTCAGGCCAGTAGCAACCAGAGGCTCCATCTTGTATTTCCTGATCACTGAGATGAGCCTGGTCAATGTGATGTATCAGACATCACTCAAACAGTTTCTACAGCTCTTTGATCTCTCCATGGCCAGGTACGACAAATGTTTAAAAATATTGTGTCAAGAATTAGTTGGTTCTAACTTATGTCAGGCACCATTTAATCAGCCCCACACTTGCAAGGTATAAGTCTTATCAATAAATCTCATGACAAAGCTTTTTGTTTCCCTGCCAACTTTATTTAGAGAAGTATTTTTAAAAATAATTTTTCTGACTTTCTTCCACATATATAAACTTTAAAAATTAAAAACCATTTGGATAAGTTATAACAACTGTTGTTTTTTTTATTATCTAGGTCAACCAAGTCACCAATCACTCAAAAAAGAATCCAGAACATAATTGATTACATGACCTTTGAGGTCTTCAAGTATGCAGGCAGAGGTCTTTATGAAAGTGATAAAATGACCTTCACTCTGCTCCTTGCCCTGAAAATTGACTTGCAAGCCATGAAAATTAAACATGATGAGTTTATGACTCTTGTCAAAGGTTCCTGTACTTTTCATATCTAGTCTTAGCAGTTTTAAATATCTAGTCTCAGCAGTTTTAAGTCCAATATTGCTACATTTAAATTTGTTAATAATACGAGGACTCTGTGTAGCAGTAAGTTCCCATCTATCTTGACAAATGTTACGGTCCAGTCTGGATGACCAATTGAAATGTTTGACACTTCAGGTGGAGCCTCCGTGGACACATCTACTGCCCCACCCAAGCCACCCCAGTGTAAATGGATTCCTCAGATCACCTGGCTCAACCTGACAGAGCTCAGTAAACTGCACCAGTTCTCTGGCATTATTGAACAGGTGAGTTGTTGGCGTCTGCTAACAAGAAATGTTCCTCACATTAGCTGGGATTGGTTTATTTACTTTGAAAGATTGCCAAAGGGATCTAAACCTTGCTTGTTACTTCAGATATTGGTGTCATTATACTTTTACCATTATATGAAAATATAAAAACAAAGTGTTACACTATTTAAACCAAAGTTAACAAAGAATTGAATTAAAGTAAAAAAATATTGAACCAAAGTTAACGCAGTCTTGATGTTATTTTCAAGGTTGAAAGAAATGACAAGCAGTGGAAGCAGTGGTTTGAAAAAGAAGCGCCAGAAGAGGAGGTCATACCAGACGGCTACAACAACTCCCTGGATGTCTTCCGGCGTCTGCTGCTGATCAGGTGCTGGTGCTCTGACAGGATTCTGCCAATGGTTTGTTTTATGGCCTTCAAATTTTAAAATGGTTTTACCAGTGGTTCATTGTGTCACCATCTTAAAATTGTACCATATTGCACAAGAAAGAAATAGATACAGTAGAAAATGTATGAATTAATAAACAGTGCTGAAACCAAATATATATTTGACCACCCTAGGCCAAACGCTACATAGCTGATACCATGGGGGAGAAGTATTCTGAGGGCATCATTCTGGACATGGAGAAGATGTGGCAAGAGAGCACCAACCGCTCCCCCTTAATCTGCCTGCTGTCCATGGGATCTGACCCCACACCTCTCATAGAGGGCTTGGCTAAAAAGTTGCGACTAGGTGAATCATCTATAAGCACTTAAGTAATGATAAAATCCATGTCATACACATTAGTTGACCTTCAATGTTGATTTATTTTTTTATTAAAACATCTTTTATTGTTTATTGCAAATCTAGAATGCAGAGCCATTTCTATGGGTCAAGGTCAAGAAGTTCATGCCAGGCGTCTGCTGCAACAAGGCATAACATCTGGTGGCTGGCTGCTGCTACAGAACTGTCATCTCAGTTTGGATTATGTTAATGAGGTGAGTTTTATGTTAATGAGGTGATTTTTAAAAAAAATATATTACCTTCCCCCCCCCCCATATATATCCACTAAACTACCCTTAAATATTTCCTTTTTAACTATATTCAATCACTTAACTGTTTAAAGCTTGATGTGTGTCCTGTAAAGCTTGATGTGTGTCCTGTCAAACATTGTTTAAAGCTTGATGTGTGTCCTGTAAAAAAATTGCTTAAAAAACTGCTGTTTTGCCCCTCAGGTCTTGGATGTTATTGTAGAAACTGAGACCGTCCATGATGAATTCAGGCTTTGGGTGACCACTGAGGTCCATCCCAAATTTTCCATCAACTTTTTACAGGTCAGCATTCATACTACAAACTGGAAACAAAATGTTTCTGATTTATTTTTAATTATACTACTAAATAATAAATTAAGGTCTTGAATTTGTTTTAGGAATGCCATGATATGTCTGAAAACCTCGACCATTCTTATAGTCTGACTGTTAAAATATGTCCCATCTGACCATTCTTATAGTCTGATTGTGTTAAAATATGTCCCATCTGACCAAGCTTACTTTAACTAATGGATGATCCTCAGATCTCTATCAAGTTTACCAATGAGCCACCGCAGGGTGTGAAGGCAGGTTTGAAGAGAACATTTGCAGGGATGACACAAGACTTCTTGGACATCTCTAACATGCCCCAGTGGAAGCCCATGCTGTATGGAGTGGCTTTCCTGCACACTGTGGTTCAGGAGAGAAGGAAGTTTGGACCCCTGGGCTGGAATATTCCCTATGAGTTCAACACCTCAGACTTCAATGCCAGCATACAGTTTGTGCAGAACCATCTGGATGATATGGATCCAAAGAGGGTCAGTAGTATGGGGAGTGTCCTACCTTCTGGGTCCTAGTAGTATGGGCAGTGTCCTACCTTCTGGGTCCTAGTAGTAAAAATATTATACTAAGTCCTATATGATCATACAGAAATAAAACATTTGACAGAGGTAAAGGTAGATAATTTCATACCAGGTTGTCAAATCTGTTTGGGCACTTTCACTGGCAATGTGAAACAAATTTTTATTAAATTGTAAGTCTTACCTAACTGAATCTGCCTTGTCTGTTGCTAGGGTGTCAACTGGATCTGTGTGCGCTATATGTTTGGTGAGATCCAATATGGCGGCCGCGTGACAGATGACTACGACAAGCGTCTGCTCAACACTTTCTGCCGTATTTGGTTTGGTGAGAACATGTTCCAGCCCGGCTTTGTCTTCTACAAAGGCTACAACATCCCAAAGTGCAGCAAGATCAATGAGTTCCATGAGTACATCAACAACCTGCCCTCTACCGACCCACCTGAGGTCTTTGGGCTGCACTCTAATGCTGACATCACGTGAGTTTGACTTTTTTAAGTATTTTAATTTTTTAAACATTTCAAATATCATCCTGAACTTTTACATTTTTGAGATCATAAAATTTAAATTTCTAACAGATCAATAACGCAGCCTGTATTCACATTTTTAAAACCAATTTTAAAGAAACAGTTTGTTTCACTACTGGTCAACTTTCCAAATGTCTTGCACCAGGTATCAGAATGTGACAGCCAAGTCAATTCTGGACACCATCTTAAACATCCAGCCCAAGGACAGCTCCTCCAGTGGCGGGGAGACTCGTGAGTCCATGGTCTACAAGTTCTGTGATGACGTCCTCAACAAGCTGCCCACAGACTACGACCCCTTTGAGAAGGCAGCGTGTCTTGCTAAACTGGGCAAGCTCGAGCCTCTGGTCATCTTTTTGAGACAGGTCATTTGATTCTATCCTTTCTTTATCAACTAAGCAATTATCTATTTAAAATGACCACCATGTTTGTTGCCATAAGATGTAAACATGAAACTGTTGTTTGACCCCTGTAAAGGAACTGGACAGAATGCAGTCAGTGATAACAGCTGTCAGGAGTACAGTAATAGATCTCAAGCTGGCTATTGATGGCACCATCATCATGAGTGAAACACTCAGAGATGCGCTGGATTCCATTTATGATGGACGCATCCCATCTGCCTGGAAAAAGGTTTGCCTTTATAACACTTTAGTTTTTCCATTCCATGTCAGACCTGTAATGCAGTATCTTGGGTTGGATAATGATTGTTTTAATTCACTAAATACTTTTTACTACACACACAATATACACAACTGACAGAATAGCTTAAAAAGTTTCTTGGTAGTCTATAATTCATTTTTTCATTTGAATTGCTATCAGTGATTAAAGCAGGCCTATGTTTAAACCTTATCAATGTATGTGGCTGATGTAAGCAGGCCTATGTTTAAACCTTATCAATGCATGTGACTGATGTAAGCAGGCCTATGTTTAAACCTTATCAATGTATGCAGCTGATGTAAGCAGGCCTATGTTTAAACCTTATCAATGTATGTGACTGATGTAAGCAGGCCTATGTTTAAACCTTATCAATGAATGTGACTGACATAAGCAGGCCTATGTTTAAACCTTATCAATGTATGTGACTGACATAAGCAAACTGTGTCTCCAGATCTCTTGGGACTCGAGCACCATCAGCTTCTGGCTGAATGAGCTGCAGGACAGAAACACACAGTTCAGGTCCTGGCTTTACAACGGTGCTCCCAAATCTTTCTGGATGACTGGCTTTTTTAATGCTCAAGGTTTCTTGACTGCTATGAGACAGGTAGGTTATACTATAGGTATGTGTCATAGTTGTGTGACAGGTAGATATGACAGGAAGTTGTCGCAGATAAGTTCAGACATTCTTGTTATAGTCACAGTCTAGAAAGTGACACAAATTTTCCCAACCATTTCTCTAGAAAGTGACACCAATTTTCCCAACCATTACTCTAGAAAGTGACACCAATATTCCCAACCATTTCTCTAGAAAGTTACACCAATTTTCCCAACCATTTCTCTAGAAAGTGACACCAATATTCCCAACCATTTCTCTAGAAAGTGACACCAATTTTCCCAACCATTTCTCTAGAAAGTGACACCAATTTTCCCAACCATTTCTCTAGAAAGTGACACCAATTTTCCCAACCATTTCTCTAGAAAGTGACACAAATTTTCCAACCATTTCTCTAGAAAGTGACACAAATTTTCCAACCATTTCTCTAGAAAGTGACACCAATTTTCCAACCATTTCTCTAGAAAGTGACACAAATTTTCCAACCATTTCTCTAGAAAGTGACACGTAACCACAAGGGCTGGGCCCTAGACACTGTAGTGCTGCACAACGAAGTCACCAAATTTGAGAACTCCGAAGCTGTGACCTCAGAGCCACCAGAAGGGATCTACGTGCATGGGCTATTTTTAGACGGTGCAGCCTGGGATAGGAGGAACAGCAAGCTCATTGAGTCCAAGGCAAAGGTCAGTCAGTACTCAGATGGCCCCAAAGATGATGTTTGGTGGCCTCTAAGAGATATCCACAATGTCTTTTTTTATTTAGTTTTTGGACTTCTAAATCTCTACTGATATGTTCTAATCAAGTAGCAAAATATCAAACCACTTCCTGTCATGAACACACATACATTATTAACCCCATCATCAACACGCAGATATTAACCGCATCCAACAAACTTGTTTCTTCTCTGCCAGGTTTTGTTTGAAGCCATGCCAGTTATACACATCACAGCTATAAGCAACACCACCCAGAATGACACATCACGCATGTACAAGTGCCCCATCTACAAGAAGCCGAGGAGAACAGACTTGACCTACATTGCTGAGATTGTTCTCAGGACATCACAGAACACCCACCCTGACCACTGGATCTGTCGTGGTGTGGCACTGCTGTGTGATGTCAAATAAAAAGTTTAGGATACCACTGTGTCTTACTCAGTTCAATATTTTTCTGACTGAAGTCATATTTATTCAAGTCATTTCCTGTCTCTTAGGAACAGAATTTAATGTACTAGTTCTTCAAGTCAGTTGAATAACAGTTATTCAATAACACATTTGAAAAGTGGTACTAAAATCTTTTTTTCTAATTAAAATTTTTAGGCTCTCCAGATCTGTGTCAAAACATGGTTGAACCTAGACATTTAACCTCAGTTTTGTTTTAAATGTATTCAATACAAATACTACTACTACTTAATATTTATGCAAATTGTAATTGATTGCACTTATGAATCATTCACTATAAATAAATACAAATGTGCTGCTGTAATTGTTTAGTGGCAGCCAACAGTTCCTGCCAAAGTGCCAGCAGTTAAAAAATAGTTTTAAGCTTCCTCTCATTTATTTGTTTCGCTGTATTAGTTTTTCTTTATTTATATTTATTACAAGGTGCCTCAAAAAAATGAGTTTCCTTCTTATAATATCCTTGTTGAACTTCTTGCCTTTAATCATGCCTATTTATGTAATTTAAAATGATATTCTTGCTTTATCATGTTTATATTGTAATACTAATATGTTCTAGTCTATTATACACATTTTGTATATTTTATCCTTTAAATTAGTTGGCCTCTTATACATTCGTAGACACCTATGTTAACTCATTTAAAACAGATCCTTATACTCAATTTTGATACAAATTTTTAAACTTTTTTTTCTATTTTCCTTTGCAGTTTATATTTTTTAAATTTAAAAACTTGATTGTTGCTGAAATTTCTAATAATGTGTATACTGTTAATGCATTTGTCAATAACAATGAAGGACGGAAAATTAAATCTTAATTTAAGGCATACAAATTGCCTTTACATTGTATGAATAATTTTCATCCAGTTTAGCAACAAAGTAACCATTTTATTTCTAAATTTGTGCATGTTTTGTATGTGATTTGGACAAGGGAAGATCCTTGTACCACTGAGGGGCTTATCTGTGATACAACTTTTTGAACAAATCTTCTTAATATTTAAGTAGATAAAATGAAATCATTTGATCAAATTATTTGTATAGTTTCATTTTATTGAATTATTTAAACTATTTATTAAAAATAAAATTGCACACTACAAGCTAACTTGACTTTACTTATTCTATTAGTTAAAATCACGTTACTTTATTGCACTTAACTACCTGTGGGGTAGGAGAAAAAAATGGCTCATCCATTTATAATTATTATTATTAAGAGACAATACTAATGAATAGAGAAACTGTATTACTTAAAAATCAAGTGTAGCTTACTTAAATTGGTTTAAAAGTTTAAAAAGTCAGGTACAAAATAAAGAGCAACTATGTTTCATGTATAAATGTGTTCATTTAATAATTTATTAATTAAATCAGATCATTACATATAGTAACTAGAACAATAACAAGAAACTATTTTAGTTCACCAACACATACATTCTGATTCTAAATCAATTGTTTATAAACAAAATAATAACCAGAAGATCAACTTTAAAAAACAAATGCAGTAGTGATAAAGAATGCTTTATAGCTAGACATTTAAAAAATACTAGCTATTCATTTTACTGAAGTATATTATCCCTGAAGCAATGTGCAGGTTGTGAACATTCTGATCAAACTTGTAACCATCATGTCAGCTTTCTGCAACCTACATAAAACTAGCTTGAGACCAGTTTTAACTAAACACAGAAGCTTGTGCAAACATTTCTTACAGACCCATTTATTATGAAGCTGAGCTAATATGGAATGGTTGCCTGTTCACAAGCACAACACAAACTATTAAATGTCTCAAAATTGCAGGTTCATGTAAAAAATATAACTAAGACAATTTTCATACAGTAAATATCAGGGGGAAAAAAAATATATTTATATAAACTGCAGTTAATATTTTAAGCAAATTTGTTCTTTATTTTTTAAAATTTATAAAAATAAGAGAACATTTCAAGTTATGTAATTTTGTTAGTTGGAGTTGTCTCTCTTACTTTTCCTTGATCCCTGTCTTCAGCTACTGTTTTTGACTTAGATCTCATAAAAAAGGATTTGATTTTATTCACAAGCCCTTTCTTTGAGGTAGGATCCAACTGTGTGAATCTGTCAAGAAAAAAAAAATATTTATATTAAATTGTTTCAATTCATAATTAGTTACAAGATAATTTCTACTAGATGGAGAAATACAACAGGCGCCAGGTTGAGTGTTGTCTTTTTCTCTAATCCTCAACCATCCACATAGTGTTTCTTTAAGACTTTTTTCTCATTTTTCTCCTGGGGGGGGGGGGGGCAAATTTAAATTTTCTTTGGGGGGGGGGGGGGGGGGGGCAGAAGGTAAGATAAATGTTATTTAGCGGGGGGGGGGGGCTTTGCCCTCCCTACCTGAAAGAAACTGCATGCAGACCACTTTGAAGATTAGACAAATAAATTAGGCGGTAATGTTAGTTTCTCAAGTATCGATGATTTCTTTATTATTGTTTTTTTTGGCAAAGGCTTTTTAATTCTAAGTTGACTCTAGAATCAATAATGTCATTTTATTGTGTGTACCTTTCGGCTTTAAAACTGTACATATTTCGTTTTGTTTTGAAAACGTCCTATATGTTGTATTTGACTTCACAGTCTTTCACTGTGCATCTTTTAAATTTCTTTGTGTTTTCTCTAGAGCGTTCAAGACGGACAGACAGACAGAATATAGCCTAACTATTAGAGTTAATGCTTAGCTAAAATCTTAAAGCACATCACAAACAAATTTTACCTTCGAGTTGTAAGATTATGGATGCTGCCAAATGCTATAGCAACAACAGTACAAGTCAAACAAATGACATTATAAGGCATTGAGAAATCTGGCGTAGGTAACTGTACTAGCAGGCTCTCAGTGTGAATTCGCAGAGGGAACTTTGTACTGTTCTCTTCAGATTGGAACAATCTGGTGATTGGTTATAAACAGATCATGACTTTATATCGAATCAATATTGAAAGAGGAATGTTTTCCGTATAAAATTAAGGTTGTCTATTTGTTCTAATTTTAATAAAACTTTCATGAGCCAATCCAAGGCTATTCAGTTTTTTTTACCCTAACAACTACCCGACATCTAACATTGAAATAAAAAAAGTTTAAGTGTGCGAGCCTTACATAGAATCCAGCTGTGAGGAGAACTGTGATGGCATTGTGTACTCCAGCGTGGAGGGAATCATGGCAGTAATGACTGCTGAGCCTATATGAAAACCATGGTTGGCATCTGGTGGATACTCAGTCCACTTGAGGTAGGCTCGAGAGAATGTCCAATGTAATTCTGTGACAGAATTAGCCCACAGAACAAAAGACAGCTCCAAGTGGTGTGGTCTTGATCTATCCTTTGCAGGCGTGTAGTGAACTTTATCTGTTTCAAAAAGTTGACTTAGAATACATGCAACTAAATGCTGTTATGATTAAGGGGATATGCGCAGGAAAAAAATCACAAAATTTCTAGTTTTTCGTCATGATCGGTTTCTTGCACTTTTGGATACTTTGTCCATTTTTGTATAAAGAAAATAATAACTTTAAAGAGAAAAAATTTTTTTATGTGTTTGAATTACGATTTTTATGACCCTATTGATTAAAAAATAATCAATTTTTCCCAATCTTACAAGCTCTCTATGAAAAGTTTTTTATCCGTCATTATATTGTATTTGACATCATTGGAAAGCTGGATTTATCATGTAGGCTATCTAATAAACTTAATTTCCTACATCTCGGAAACACCCAAAGCTTACAATCGGCTTTGCAGTTTACACAGATATGGTACTTTCCTGACCTAGTTTTCGTTACTTTTGGCTGTTTTTCTCAGTTCGCATGTTTTTAACACTAAAAATCCTACTACTTTTTTATTTATTAAACAATGCCAACCATATTTTCAGTAATTGTTCTTGATGCAAATATACAACTTTTGTCACGAGGGAATTGTGATTACTTTTATAGAAAAAAAGTATTTGGTAATTAATATGCAAATTTTGAAACTTTTGAATACTAAAAAGGGTACTATTTTTTAGACGTTGTAAAATTCTTACTAGTAGTTATTTCAAAAAGTTGTCGTGACAAAAGTTTTAATATATACTGAAATATAAGCAATTTAAATTTGGTTGCTATAGGAGCATAAATAAAAAAGCCTTAGTATTTTTAAAAGTACCGAAAAATTCAAAATGGCGGAGATTTTTTGGGTTTCCATGACAACCAAAATTGTTTTAGACCCTTTTTTTTGCTGTTTAATACTTACTTTTATATGCCAAATATGATTAGTATTCAAAAGGCTTTAGATTTTAAACTGTAAAAAATAGAAAAAAACAGCATATCCCCTTAAAGCACAAAATTAATGTATGATTTACTTACACGGAACAGCTCTACCATTGTTAAGTACTTGGAGAGAATTAAACTTCACCCTTGTAAACCAAGGTAGTGTATCAAAGTAGAGAATAGTTAAGTTGGTGGACAGCTGATTGTAGATTTGACAGGAAATGCCACCATTTTCTAAACCATAACCTATATCACATAAAACAACAGTCAGTTTAAAAAAAAATTCATAAAAAACCTTTTAATAACAGTTTTAGCCCAACAAAATTGTGATGGATTCAAACAACTCTTTGGTTGCTTTGGCAACTCAAGTTTTAAACTGGATTCTCTAAAGTGTTTAATACTGGAGTAGAGTTACTGAACTATTGTATCACTTTCCTGTGCAAGCTGAACTGTTGGTATGAAAAAATACTGTTGGTACTGAGAAGAAATGTGTAGGCTAAAAATGTAGTAGGTACAAAAAGTTATACAAGTAATAAATCTAATAAGGTGGAAAGTACAGTTATACCTGTAATAAATCTATGGGCATAAAGAGAGGGAGGACTAATCTTTATCATCTTCTGCGGATCACTATATGTGAAAGCAATATTCAAAGCTCTGCCTGCCCTGGTTATTAGATTTGTATCATACACAGCGTATGTGTGCTCATTTGGTCCTCTTTTCACTGAGTGTGTAGCACTGGGACTGGGTGTTAGACTGTACAACGACTCATTCTGTAAAGCAAATACACAATTTGACATTTTAGGATGAACTCATAAATATTACCTCATTGGTGATTTTTGTAATTAGAGAACTTCTTACATCATTAATGGTGATTTCTATCATTGTTAAACTTGCCACCTCATTATTATAAGCTTCTCACCTCATTATTGGTGACTTCTATCATTATTGAACTCTTTGATGCAATAGGGCAGCTGGAGACTAGGTGATTACCAAACAGACTTTTTAATGACCAGTCTGAAAAATGATTCATCAAACATTACTAGACTAGGTGATTACCAAACAGACTTTTTAATGACCAGTCTGAAAAATGATTCATCAAACATTACTAGACTAGGTGATTACCAAACAGACTTTTTAATGACCAGTCTGAAAAATGATTCATCAAACATTACTAGACTAGGTGATTACCAAACAGACTTTTTAATGACCAGTCTGAAAAATGATTCATCAAACATTACTAGACTAGGTGATTACCAAACAGACTTTTTAATGACCAGTCTGAAAAATGATTCATCAAACATTACTAGACTAGGAGATCCAAAGTGGCTAATTAAATGTGCATAATTAAAACCCTACTAGATGATCCTAAATAGCTAATGTATATAAGTAATTAAAACCCTTCAAGAAGATCCCAAATAGCTAGTGTATGTAAGTAGTTAAAACCCTTCAAGGAGATCCCAAATGGCTAATGTCTAATGTGTGTAAGTAATTAAAAGCTTACTAGGGGATCCCAAAGGACTGACGCTTACAACATCTTTCACTACACTGAGACTTTGACTAAGTTCTAGAGCTTCCTCTGTACATGCAGCATTCTGAAATGTCAATTGAAGTATGGAATATGGAATATTAATTGTAGATCATTCTCAGCAGATTTCTCAGTCTTCTTCCTACCAGTGACCAATAAATGACTATTAGGTTGTTAGCTGTAAAGTGGTATTTTTTTATTAATAGGGTCATGGTCAGGTTTGGGTTCTGTTTTTCTAGTAGTTTCCCTTAAGGTGCAATGAATAAGTTGACATGGTCCATTATAATAATGCTTACAATATTTCTTTGAGATTGATATAAAATGCGACTATATTTTAATTTTGTAATCTCAAATTAAATCTATTTTTAGCAAGTTACTTTTACTTTTTTTACCATACATTTATTTGAGAATAAAGTAAAATGTTAAATAATTGTTAATAATTTGACAGGGGTGGGTGAGAGTCAGGTTTGTTGTGAAGCGAGTGTGTGTGTGCAGGTGGTAGGGTCGTTTGGATCGGTCAATGTACCTGTCTACTATTTCAAGCTACAGTTTTAAACTTGACATAAGAATACTATTTGTAAACCTAAATAAATAATAACATTACTTACAGCACAAATGGGACGAACATCTAGTCCAAGTGAATGGTAATTAGAATCATGAAAATGGAATGCATTGAAAAGGGTAGATAATCCTGCCTGGATTTTAAACAAAAATAAAGTACAAATCTTTATTACTGATCTTTAGCATGATACATAGAAATTTAGGGAAAAACACATTTAAAAAATCAGGATGTAGACAGTCATACCTTAGAATCACAGGGCAGCAATTTTTTCCATGGAGTCAGATTTTCTGTGCAAACAATTTCATTGGGAAGATTGCCGTATCTGACAGAATGTGAGAAAAAAGAAGCACTCTTTGGAGCAATGCCATGAGGTCGAAAACTCCAACTTGGAGTAATTGTAATCTTAGAGTCCAGGAAGTTCAGAGATGAACAAAACAGTCCAGAAACAGCATTCACTAAGTCAGTCCACGCAGCATCAACACTGAAAGCATTCATCATTTAATTGTTTGTGCTGCTCAAGTTTAGTATTTAACACTAGTATAAAATTAATATGCCAATTTTAAAAAATGTATTTTTAAATCATAGTTGGAAATGCTATCTTCAAGATGAGGAGAATGAGAGGAACTCACTCTTTGACAGTTGGTTTAAACCAAACCCACAATGCAGCTCCAGGTGGTGCATCATGGACAGGGTAGCCCCAAAGTTTGTGGCGCCACAGTCCTTGAGTCTGTGACAAATGTAATTCTTGTACACCGTATCGCATCAACACTTCTCCAAGAGATTTGGGGAAAAGGTGATAATGGCTAACTGAAAATGTATTAAAATTAGCTCTAAGAATTGGTTAGCACAATTATTATTGTTGAAAACACAGCCAACAACATTGCCACTAAAGGTTTGACTCTTTTATACAAATGCATTTGTTTGAACAAAAAAAGATTGTTTCTTATTGGTCACTTTCAAAACCAAATTATAATAGAAAATTTAATTGGCCTAATAAATCACCAGTAAAAAAATACAATGCGTAAAAAGCTTGTTTTGGTTGTGTTTATAATAAGATACGCTAAACCGGACGTGCGCGCGAAGCAACAAATAAAAAATACGCTAAAATGGAGTTTCACCATAGTTTGTTGAGAAAAATTAAAATATTAGATTAGATCTATATCCTGATTTAGACTTCTAGATCTAAAAATATTTCTAGATTTTTAGTGGATTTCTTATGTACCAGTGTCATAATAGTAATAGAGTCTTCTTATTAAGGGGATGTTAAGTAAGGCTGCGGATATTAGTAGTTCACTACAAATAGCCCTCAGCAGGCTATTTGTACTCCAACCAATCAGAGTGAGGCATCTTTCTGTGATTCTTAAATTCCCCTATTTAGGCAATATGTATTATTATGTAGAACTAATGTTTTCAGATCTAACCTTATCACTAACCCTGAACCCTAACCCCGGACCTTATTATTGCCTAACCCTACTCTAACAACTAACCCTACAGTAAAATAGAAAAAAAAGCAAAATAAAAACTTTGTGCCAAAAGGAATAGATCCCACAACGCGAAAATAAACTGCATGATGCACAACCAGTTAGACTTAGACCACTGAACATTTAGAAAATTGTAAAAAAATAGAGTGTAATAGTAAGATATAAAAAAAATAAGCATACATGTGCAGGACATTAAATTTAAAAATAAATTTGAATGGCCTGCTAAAAAAAGAGAACTACAAGTCAAATAGTTGTGAAATAGCCTTCTGAGAGTTAACAACAAATTAGCTACCTATAAGACTAAGACTAACTGGTCACTAACTAATAGATTTTGTAGACAGTGACATTCACTTAAGACTTAAGTTGTCTTTGTATAATAATTGTTTGGATGCTTTATATGAAACTACCTATATCTGCTGTACGCATGTCCATTTCTAAATACATCCATGTCAATTTTTTGTTTGTTTTCTCCTTCTGGAAGACAAGTTTTTAAAGTTTCTAAGTTTAGGTATGATGTCAGCTGGTGATCCCAATTCCCCCAGGATGAAAACACTAGCTCCGGGATGAGACGATTAAAAACAACCAATAAAAGCTTTTTATAACTATGTTAACTATAAATAGCTTATACATATGTGCAGGACGCTGTAAATACTATAGCTAAGGCTACTAAAGCAACCTGAGAAGTCAAATGGGGGTGGCCGCAGCTTGGGTAATGATTAGGGTGGTTTCACCTTGCTGTATCACCAACTACTTGAGTTAGACCAGCCTAGATTTAATTACTCTATATTTCAAGCTAAGTCTAGAATCTATAGGCCTAATTTTTTCTGTTGTTTTTAATCATTTTGATCATCTACTTCTTCAAAGTTGTTCTAGAACTAGTTTGTGTCTCTACATACAAGCATGTCTAAGCAAATGTTAGCTTATGTTTTGTTAGTGATTGTTATGTCCCTTGTGTTATGATTATTATAGTTGCGTCCCTTGAGTCATCACAGGGTCATCCGTGATGTGTAGTTAATAAATTTAATCAAAGTGTTTTTTATTTGGTTTTGTAATCTATTAATTAATAATATGTATTTTAGTTATTAAAATTGGATTAAAACAAATAAAATACGATCGTTGGGCAGGCGGGGTGCAGGAAAAAAAATTAGGGGGGGGGGAGGGGGGGGAAATATCACAAGTAGTGAAGTCACTAAAACATTAAATATCTCAAATTCTATGCATAGGAATACAAAATGACTCATACATATTAGAGTAGAATAGCAGCAGAGTAATATAGTACTTTTGGTTTGTTTCAGTGTTAAACGGTTACAAAATATCACCTGATGAAAATCGGGAGTTAGGAATTTTCCGCTGTGGAACTTTAGTTACTATAATTACTGTGCAGTGTGTACACTACACTGTACTTCATCTTCATTATTTTAATTTAAACTATTTCTATACTTATAGGACTAGATACTATTACTAAGTTATTACTACTATTAGTAAGTTATTAATAGTAAAGTAAGTACTAGAAGTAAGTAGAATCTAGGATAAAACCTTAATTTAGCGTCGGATTATTATTCCAGAATGCAACAGCAGTAAAAAACAGCAAAACAATGGCAAAGTCTGTCATACAGTTCGGGAAGCCACCGGAAGTACTGTAAACCATACTTTATTTGGCGTCATCTTTTATTTTTTAATACAGAACGTATAAAATTTGGTTAGATTTATATGTTAAATACTGCTTTACTAATCATTTTGTATAACTAGTTATTTTAAAGTGTTTCAGATAAATATTTCTGCTACTAAACATTGTTTAACAGGGTTCGTACACAGTCTGGAATTTAGAAAAGTGTATTTCAGACTTTAAAAAGTCTGGTCGGGTCTACACTGTGGTATGACGTTTTTCGCTGGATCGCAGAAGAAACCAGATTTCTCAGTTACTACGTCATTGGGATGGGGGGGGGGGGGGGGGGGGGGGGGGAGGAGGAGGAGTGTTAGACCTGTCTTTTTTTTTGTTTTTATGTGTGGTGGCTGACCGTGTAAATGTGTTACAAGTATTTAAAATTGTTATGTAATGAAAGAATGATCGGCCATACAAATCTTGACCTCTTTTTTTTTTACCAGCTGTTTCTTAAGTTTGTCTGAGGTTGCAGGCAGGTAGTCTAATAAAACAATCATGAGGGAAACTGTTAAATTAGTGGTAGTCTACGTATAATTTAACCACCTGTATTTTCAATTCACTCTCCAAGCTGTTTTTGAAATCTTTGCAAAAGCTGACGATTAGGGCTAGACTAACCCACCCCTCATAGTAACTAAGGTCACTGATATCTAAACTTGTATGAACTCACAGTGACCCCAAGTACATAGTTGGTGCTGTTTGGCTGGATGGGGGGGGGGGGGGGGGGGAATAAAAGTGACAGTACAGTTCATGCTATGACTATTAGACTGGGCTCGTGACCTCACACTGACCCCACCACTATCTCTTGTTGTGTGTGTGGGGGGGGGGGGGGGGGATACCGATAGTTTTTAATTGCTCACAAAAGTTTATTGACTATTAAACTTAAAAAAATAATTTACTAGATCTACAATCGAATTTAACTTTATTTATTATTTAGCCTAGATCTAGAGATTCATATTATTCAATGGTCAAATATTAAAAATAAGGCCGATGCTAGCCGGAATAAGATATGCATGCGATACGCATGCGCAATGGAGAGAAACTACGACTTGTCATCGCGGCGATGTTTTCGATGGTACTGCGCATGCAGTGTTTACAACCGCACAACCCTAACACCAACCCTAATCCTATCCCTATCCCTAATCCTAGCCCTAACCCTCATTCTAGCCCTAACCCTAGGTCACTGCGCATGCGCAGAGCTATCTTTTGCCTACTAAGTGGAGACGTTGGAGAGAAAAATCGGTAATCCCTTAGTTTAGCGTCGGAAATTATCGGGTAATGTTTGTTGAGTTTCGGTAATTAGAGTTACAGTAAACCATGGTTTATTTGACCATTGAAATATAAATAAATTGAAAGTCGATTGTAGTAAACTAATGTTTTAATTTTTTAAGTTTAATCGACAAAAGGAAACAAGAATAAATATAATAGTAGATTTAAATTAGTAGATCTAAAAATAAAAACATATATAAATATAAATAATGTATCAAATGTAATAATTTAATGTTTTTGGCTTGCAGCGGATTTGCGACCATTAATTAATTAAATCTAGATCTAGCTAGATATCTAGCTGCTAGGCCAAGTAAAAAAATCTAGATTACGAAAATAGTAAAAATGATTACAAAATGTAAAAATGATTACAAAAATAAATCTATCCAAATTTTAAACATTCTGTTTAAAAATAAAAGAAGACGCCAAATAAAGTATGGTTTACGGTACTTCCGGTGAATTCCGGAAGTGTGTGACAGACTTTGTTATTGTTTTACTGTTTTTTACTGCTATACGATTCCGGAATAATAACCGACGCTAAACTAAGGGATTACCGAAAAATCTTCTTCCGAGTAGACACTTCGTAAAAATAAACCATGGTTTACCGTAACTTTAGTTATTGAAACTCAACAAACATTACCCAATAATTTCCGACGCTAAACTAAGGTTTTACCAAATCAAGATCTAGAAATCTAGATCTAGATATCTAGATCTAGATTCTTAGTTTGTTACAAACTAGACTCTAGGTCTAGATCTAGATCTAGTAATAAATAAAAGTTAAAGTTAAATAGGTACTAGGATAAATTTTGAAAATTGGTTTAATAGGGAAACAACCACTACAGTTAAAAGGAGCAAAAAATTACAATAACAGAACAGTTTTCCTTTTTGATGTAGCTCAAACGGTTAAATAGTTATGATTTTTTTTCGTATTAAAAAAGGTGATTTTTTTAACATAGGTTTTTTTTCAATTTCTGTGATAGAGTTTTTTTAAGCGTTTACTAAAATTGTCCTAGCTTGTAAACCATATGGTCAAATTGGTTATAACTTTGCAATATCTTTATCTATCATATATGCAAGGATAATAAACAATAAAATTAGAAATTTATGGGCAGAGTTAAACAAAAACAGAAGTAGAACAGGGTACCCCCCCCTATTTTTTCATATACAGTGCATTCATAAAATCTCAGTTAAAATTTTAACACTTTGAAAAATTAAGCTCAAACTTGCTGAGAATGATGAGCTATGGATGTGTCAGTTATTACAATCAAAATAATATTCATAACTGAAAAGATTTTTGTTTTAACTGCTACAAAGCTGATAAATTATACAATTTCGCAAAACTGAAGTCTTGTTGATGTGAAATGCAACATGATGGCAAATTTGAGTTATTAAACACTTAAGTCTCAAAATTTGCCTGGCTTTAGATGACTCTATTCTCAAACAGAAACAATCAAAATATGTGTTTAAATCTATCTGTTTGACAAAAAATAAGGGGTGGAACAGGGTACACCCTCTATTTTTAAATACGAAATTTGTTCATACACTATTTGTTTAGGCTCAATCTATTTGAATCTAAAGCTAACAACTAACTAGAGTGAAGCTCTAAAATAAGTGTGTGTGATGGTTCTATCTAAATAGTTGACAAATAGGTAAAGGATGGTAAAAATGTAAAATGCTGAGTCATCGACACACCTGACATCATTGAAAAACTGAGCGCATATATTTAAATTTTAAAAAAAGGCAAATTATACCTATTAGAAATGTAAGGTGTTTTATTCGTATAAATGTAATAAACTAAATATATAGTTTAATTTAAAAAGATGTGTTTCTGCTTATTCGTTAATATATTACATTTCAGGAGAAATTCAACATTGGTTGGTTTTTAAAGGAAATAGTTCATATCACAAATTAATTAGTTTGCCTAAATAAAAGATAAACACATTATTTATTTTAATTTCTCTTTTACATAGTGTTCCATCATTAGACCATATAACTGTCATTAGGCCATATAACTGCTTATCATATTGTAGAGATGTACTGGTTTTAGAAGTGTAGGTTCTATCTGGAAAAGTAAAGAGTACAAGTACATTATTTGCCTTCCCATCAAAATAAAAAGGTTTTTCTGAATACACCAAATATTTAATGTGTATTGTTAATACCAGACCTTCCTTTCTTCCCCCCCCCCCCCCACTACCGTCAATATCAAAACAACGCTCGCCACTATCGCCGACGTCAAAACAGCGATCGCCGGCGTCAAAACAACGATCGCCGGCATCAAAACAACGCTCGTCGGCGTCAAAACAACGTTCGCCGGCGTCAAAACAACGTTCGCCACTATCACCTGCGTCAAAACAACGATCGCCACTATCGCCGGCGTCAAAACAACGTTCGCCACTATCGCCGGCGTCAAAACAACGTTCGCCACTATCGCCGGCGTCAAAACAACGTTCGCCACTATCGCGGGCGTCAAAACAAAGCTCGACATAATCGCCAGCATCAACACAGCGCTCGCCAATATCGCCTGCGTAAAACAGCGTTTCCCACTATCGCCAGAGTCAAAACAACGATCGCCATTGTCAAAACATCGCCCGCCACCAACGCCCGAGTCAAAAATGCCTTCGGTACGATCACCAGTGTCAAAACAGCGTTCGCCATAAGCGCCAGAGTCAAAACAGCGTTTGCCACTATTGCCCGAATCAAAACCGCATTCGCCACTATCGCCCGAATCAAAACAGCGTTCGCCACTATCGCCCGAGTCAAAACAACGATCGCCACAATCGTAATTACAGTAATACAAGCATATCAGCTAGACTAAGTCACACAAGTGTTAGTAGCGAGACCCGACAACTTCCGGTTCACTTTCACTTCCAGTCTGTAAACAGTTAAAGTCCCAAACAGTACACCAAACTGTGAAGCGTTTTGCAGCTAAGAGACACATCCAATCATTACGATTTTTTACAGTAATAGAGAAAAATGGATAAGAATGGAGATTATGCAATAAAATTTCAAGTAGAGCCCATAGAGAAGTTTAGGGAATAAGTTAAACTTACCTTATTTTCAATGAAACACTCCATAAAAAATAGTCCATGAAAATATTTTTAAAAAATATATAATACGCTAAGTCCATTTTTCTTCAAAAAAATACTCCTCGCAACAAAATTGACCAGGCAAAAACGGAGAATAATAAAAATTACGAAACACTCGCACTCGCGCGTCCGCCAACTCTCGGTATTTGGGTAACGGGAGGAAAATCTCGCCGCGCATCGCAAAACGGGAGCCAAATCCTAGATCTAGTACCTAAGTTAAAGTAATACAACACAACAGTCAACAAACAATACATGTTTTTGGATCTTGGATTGAAGCATTCCATTTCGTTGTAAATTGAAAATGTGAATAAACGTATCCTTTGGATAATGGTTTGATGAACAGCTCTTCTGAATGTTCATCTTTTTGAAAAGCTCTGACACTTAAAAATAAAATAGCACTAAAGAAGACGATCATCTTTTTTATCTTCATTACGGATGCTACAGCAGAAGCCATTGCGGCAATGCAAGTCGGCAGTTAATCACCAACGATGTAAACATTTGATTTTTCTAATTTCCCAAAACCACATTAAAAAAATATATGCCGTAAAGTGATTGCAATTAAAATTATTTTTTTAAAAACTGTACTAAAAGATAAAGCAGTTAGAGTAGACAACTTGATCTATATATCTTATAATAATTAAAATATTAATGTATTAAAATTATCAAGGGTATATTTAAACAAGCTTATACCATTGTGTGTAGGAATTCACATTATGAGACCTATCGTGTTATGTTATGACAAAAGCAGTGTTTATAAAAACTTTCTTTCAGACAATTTTTTTCGGGGGGGGGGGGGGAGGGAAGACGCACTTAAATTCCGGACACAAGTTGAAGTATGTATTTCTAAGTAAATTATATTAGTTTCTATTTCATCCTTGGGCCTGAATAAAACTCTAGAGGCACTGAAAACAACAGTGAATAATAAATCGTTTTAATTAAATACTAAAATACTAAAAAGAATATACACCAAAGAAAAAGCCAGGGTAAAAATGCTTAGAGTGCTCGAAGTAAATCAATGATGCATTTGCACGCCGAACCCTTATCAAAAGACCAAATCATAATTAATAATCCTAAGCCATACCCCAAGCCTTACCTTACCCATACCCTAGTCCTAACTATATGCTATTACTCTGACATTTCCTTAATTTCGGTTAGGCTTTTATTTTTGTTTTCATTTTTAGATATTTTTTTAAAATAAAATGTTTGACATCACGTTTGATTGTTTTCAATATGTTACCATAATGCATACAAATATTTATTGTAGCACTCCAGGCAAAGTATGAAATTAAAATGATTATTCAAGATGCTCCGCGCTTTTATTGAATGTCAATATTTTTAATTTTGGCGGTATAAATGAGTTACACAATTCCTAATGCATAGACCTACCATTCCAGTTATTAAAATTAAATAGGCCTATTCTTATTTTTTTTTAAATAAAACAAAATGTATTTGTCTGTCCTCAATATGATGTTACATTGCAATGTTGTCTATAGTTTTAAGATAAATTAATTACCTCGCGATAATTACGCTGAAAGCTTTACTATTGGCAAATATGGTGACCAGAAAGATGCGCAAAGGAAAAATGTGTAATTAAAAAAGCGCAAACAGAAATGTGCGCACACAGAAAAATGCGCAAAGAGAAAAATGCGCAACTATAGTCGTTTATTAATACAGCCAGAATGTCTTCCAGGCATTTCTTCGGGGGAGGGTGACGGATCCCCCCCCCCCCCTCCAAAAAAAAAGTCTACCCCCCCCCCCGAACGAAATGGAATTTATATAGAAAACATACTTTTACCAGTGCCCCCCCCCCGAAAATTTTTGTCCGCCCCCCCTCCCGAAAATATCAGGTGACCCCCCCCCCCCCACCCCCCACCCCCCCGGAGAAAAAAGTCTGGAAAAACACTGAATACCGCTGGATGTACCATTGTTTCCTCTGTAGTTAGCAAAATTACGTCATGGGGTCAGCCCCCCCCCCCCTCCTTGTTTTTCGGGATCGTCACTATTTACCTTTGATAAACCATTAATTGAACCGGCGACAACAATTTTTCTTCCATAAATTTAGCAATTTTTCGCCTTGGTGTCCCCCTTCCCCACCCAAATGGTGTCACCCTATGCTTTCAACGCTAGAGCGGTGAAAGCGCGCGAAAAAATAAAAGATTAAGTAAATGACAAAACAAGACACAGTTATTAGGGGTCGTTCATAAATGACGTCACACTCGTAGGGGGGGGGGGTCCGTAATTTTTTGACGGTGTTTGATAAAAAGCAACATTAGAAAACGAGTTTTAGCCGTTATTTCGCGTTTTAGAAAACGGTTTTAATAAATTTTAAAAGGAATTGACCAAAATACTCTGTGTTGACAGAGTTCTGACAAGATTTTGGAAAAACATCAATGTTTTAAGAAAAATTCAACAGCAATTTTGGGGGGTGTGGAGGTTGTAGGCTGAGGTGTGACGTCATTTTAGTGGGGGAGGGGGTATGGCTTTTTGTGACGACGTGTGACGGAGGGGAGGGCGGGGGTAAAAATCGTCAAAAAAAAGCGTGACGTCATTTATGGATGACCCCTTACCCAAGATTAACTTATAATTATATGAGAAGAGGCAGTCATAAATATCGATCGGGTCTAGATTAATGCGAATAAGATCAGGCAAATGTTCTGTACACGGCGACCGTGTCCCGACTCGAATCGCCTTTATAAGCCGTAGGCGATAATTCTAATAAGCTAGGTAGACTATTTGTAAAACTTGGCCTATTGCAAATATGTTTAAAATATACGCCCTATCTAGATCTATTAGACGTAACAATTGGGCATTTATTAAACACACACGCACAAACACACACACACACACACATATATATATATATATATATATATATATATATATATATATATATATATATATATATATACGTAGATGCTTAATTTTTTTGAAAAAAAAATATTCGAAAAAAAAGTGTTTTTGTATGTCCTAATCACTAATCAGGTAATATTTTGGTAGTTGAAACATTGTTGAATGAAATGTACTTTGTATAAACTGAGACATTGGATACAATGGATATAATATATGAAATATGATGATATTCGAATATGTTAGAAAAAGTTTTCGGTTAAATGACTCAGTCGTCAATAATTATTTATTAACTTTATGAACACTATTTGGCTAGTGAGGATGATGCATTTTCCTTTATTTTTAATTATATAAAATGTTCAGAGCATTTTTATTTAAAAAATGCGATCTTGGACTCGTACTGCGGAACAAAGACTGAAAAAGTAAAAGAAAAGACATGATCGATGTCGACGCTGCTAGGAAGATCAATAGCGAGAAATTTAATTGATAGTTAGTGCGTCTGAAATTAAATTTAATTGATATTCTCTTTGTTAGTAAGATCAAGGTAATAAGGGTCATGGGTGCAGGGGTGTATTATCAGTCCGTCGCTTTGTCCCTCTCTCTCTATCCCTCTAGCTAGCCTACCTGGCACTCGCAAGGCCAGACCTATGGCTATGGGCTATGAGTGACAAGTAAAAACAATAATCGGCATTGGATTGGTGGACGAGGTGGTGATGGTGAAGTCACTCTGGCAGATTTTGGTCTCGTCTGGGCCTACCTGTTGGTTTATTAATTTGATCATCTAGATCTACATCTACCGGTGCTTAACACTTAGATCTATCCAGATCTACACAATGCTGTAAAAAATATTTGCTGACGAACATCAAGAATTAAAGCGAAAAAGGTGAAATTATCATCTATTTAATTTAGGCCTAACTATTTTTAATTTTTATCTTTATAATTTTATTTTAGATATTAGATTCTAGATTTAGAATAAGAAATCTAGATCTATAGGCTAGAATTGGCTAGATCTAAGTAATATTTCATTATAATTATTACTAGACATATAGGGCCTATTAGTATTACATATGATTATGAATGTAACATCATTTCATAGGGTCTTAGACTTAGGTCTTAATTTCTTAAATCTTGTGTTCTAACTTAAAAATACTTTTACAACTTAACTTATAATTTTAATTATCTAATATCTAAGAGAGCAGAATCAGAGGACTTATAGAAATTTATAAGTTACATAATACATTACATAAATACATAGGGCTAAGTAGAATGTTTATAAAATCTAAAATTTAGGCCTTCTCAATTTTCAATTTAAACATGATCACTGAGTAATAAATATCCCATTAGGCACTAACTTTGAGGTTTTTAGTTCGTTTTAAACTAAATTACTTAACTTAATATTTATTGTCACTCACAGCTATGGCACAACACACCATTCCATGACAACACATGTTATATCACTCTTACATTTGAGGCCATGGCAAACCACGAATTGGTTCGACTTTTTAATTGACTATGCACTAGAGTTCCTCACTAGTGATGAACCAAATAGGGGTCACATGGTTTTTAAAAAGTAAAGAATTGGTTGTGATATGAACGCCAGTCTTATGAAAAAAACAGCTCACAATAGGCATATTTGATTTCTTTTTCATAGACTGATAAAACTAATAATGCTCTACTTTCTCGCTCATTTTTTAAACCTACACTGTTGGTATTTTAAAAGTTCTTTTAATATTAATAAAACCAACTTTTGAATTTAGTCTCCATTCTTCAAAGCAAATTTTATAATAGAAAATCTATAATAGATAGGCCTATAGATTTGCTAGCATACAGTTATATTACTGTAACTGCATTTTTGCTAGAGCCAAACTTTTTAGTTGTCATTTTTCTGGTTTAAATTGATGTAATGTTTCTTATTATATATTGTGATAAATTGTCTTATATAACATGTATTATGTGCTTTTCAAAATATGTCTAGGTTGATGACAGGTAGAAAGGAAGTAAAAAATGGTTGGCCGCCGGAATTCATTGTCTGTGACAAAGCGAAGTCTTCGCAATGCAGAATCTGTTGTTGATAGAAGACCACGTCGTGTAGTCCAGTCAAAACTAGTGGTATGTTTCTTAAGTTGTCTAGGATTATTTTAAAAAATTAATTACCTTTTTAATATTAGTAACTTAAATTTAAACTTGTATTCTTTATGCAGGATGACACTGTTGGTCTGTCTCGCCAAGAGGAACAAGAGCTTAATAAAGCTCTGTATGCCTCATTGCAAGAAAATCGTCGCAATAGGTTATTTCTTGGTAATGATAGCAGCAGTAATAGTACAAGCAGCAATGGTGCTAACACTAGCAAGGCAAGTAGTATCAGTCACAAGAGCAGCAGTTCTAGAACATCTAGCAATTTGAGATCTGACAGAAGTTTTCTAGGACAGAGGAGGTCTTTACGCACTGGAACACTTTCACCAAAACACAATCTAAGGCAGACTTCAATGTCAGGTATTTGAGCTTATTTCATGAGTTTCTAGTTTGAACCCTTACAGTCCTGATATACTTTTTGCTTTCTTTTTTTTTACTCAGCCATGCACTTTATTTTACTATTAGTTCCATCCTCCTAGAGATTTTTTTGCTGTGTACACAAATTTTGTAGGGATGATAAATAATGCAGTTTTTTAAAGAAATATTTGGCATGTAGAGAAATAATTCTCATTGTTAGATGTGAAGTGTTTAGTCCTTCAGATTCAAAACAGTTTGAACTAATAATTAACATCCAACTTATTATTATACTCTTCTTATAAAAACTTCTGCCTACAATGTCAAGTCCACATAAACCTGTCTTAGGTCATATGCACAGAAATGAAAAATTGAAAGTATGCACCCTGGCTTTAAGGGTTTAGAAGAAAGTATTCCATAAGTTTTCTTTATTATGAGTTTAAAATTTTGTTATCACTTTTGTATGCAGTTCTTTACTGTAATTCTTCTCTTCTTAAACTTAAAGCAGTCACAAATTTGAACTCATGTTTTGTTAAAAAAGAAAAGATTACTGACTAACTAATACTCCTTTATTTTATAGCCCCAAGACTTAAAAAAAGTGCTATATCAGGTTCCCTCAAACGGAAATCTTCATCTGATGTTTCATCTAACATAAATCTGGATGAAAGTAGTCAAGATTCTGTCAGATCATCAACCAGCTCTGCCAATGGTTCCAAAAGGTAAAAAGTCCATTCAAGTTTTTTTTGTGTCTTACTTTATCCTATACTAAATGCAATAAACTGATTTATGCTTTAGATGCAACCGTTTTTTTTGTTGTGATTAGTATAAGTAATATCTGATAAATAAAATTTAGTTATATGTTTAACATTTCACCACAAGATGTTAATATTTGTAGACATTGTTAGTTATTTCGACAGGAAAATCCATGCGCAACGTAAATTTGCCCAAGGCTGTTCGTTGCCAGGAACACCATCCTGCACTCCAGTCAAGTCTTCAACACCACCAACTAAAGTGATGTCTTTTCGAATTCCTAAGACTGAAGATTTCCTAACCTTCTTGTGTCTTCGAGGTTACTTTTGGTGTTGTAGCCCTCAGTAAACTGCATGTTGAAGTTGATTCTGTTTAACTGTTTAAGCATGTTTATTAAATATTGTTGCTAAATGTTATTAATATATTTATTATTACTGAAAGCTCTTATATGGAAATCAAGTTTCTACTTTAATAAAGTTTGTATGGTTGAATTTTAAAACTTCAAATATTGTTGATAAAATTGTGAAACTAATTTTCTGCTGCTGCATTATTCCCCTGATGCTTGATAGTTGAACTGCTTTAAGTGTTAAGGCACTGCGACATCTGGTAAAACATTTGATGCTCATTTTTGTTCTTCTTGTGAGTCAGTGAACTTGTTTAAGCCAGACTTTAGAGCAACTCTCAGTTGGTTTCAAGTCAATCTGATTTCAGCATGTTCTTGTTTTTATCTACCATGGATATTTTTCTATCAATCATTATTGTGTTACCAGTATATTTGGATAAGTGAGAAAGTAATTTACAAATTTGAACAGTTCCACAGTGTTCAGGATCTCCTAATTATCAAATTTAGAAATAATAAAATTCTTATTGACATTTTATTTCAAAGCAATTGATAGTAGTAAAAACTAAAGAAAATATTTACTGATTTTTTTTTTTCTTCTTAAATTACAAGACACAGCTGAAATGATAATGGAAGTGTTTATATTTAAGATTGTTTCCTTGTGATCTTTGTTTTTAAAGTTTAAAAGGACACATAGATTTAAAAAATTGGTGGGGGGGGGGATGTAATCAGTGCCTTTCTAATAAAATAAAAGTATTTTATGATTCATTTTTTACATATCAGCATGGCGCCTTAAAAAAAGATTATAAATAAAATTATAGAAGTTGGATATTTTTATTAGGATATTGAATAGTTACTGTATCCTTAAATTCTTTATTTTAAACTTTTTTTTACACAATAAATGAGCATGTTATTTTTATTTCCAAAAATTAATTATATATATAAGATGATATAATTATTTCTCCATTTTAATAATGAATTTTTAAAGGAAAATACTCTGTTGTAAATTAAAAGCCTTTTTACAGAGTGAGCTTATGAAGTTGAAGATATTTGATCATACTGTTCTATTTTTTCAGGATCCTCAATTTTGCCCCCTCATCTAGATTTTTTTAACTACTCCCGTGAAGAGATGGCTGCCTCAGAGGCTGGTTCTAGGACAGCTTCTGCTGGTAAATCAAAAAGCCAGAGAGAGAGCACACCGGACTCCACTAGCACCAGCAGCGGTGCTAATGAAGAAGTGGCAGAGGCTGCAAGTATGGCAACCCCTTCACCTGTGAGTAACCAACACTTGAAGAATCATTTCTTGATGTCATTGCTTTGTTAGTTGCCTACACTTTAAATTTAAACATTTGAGTAGAAAGATAATGATTGACATGTACATGATGTAGCAGTAAAATACAGAAGCAATAGTATCTGTTTCTCTTGTTTAACTGTTTGGTGTCTACTCAACTCATAACAAGTGTTTTAAACAACTAACCCTTTGTTCATTTGTTCAAGTGACATTTCCCTGTGTAACACATCCTGTTCTTTATCATCTTTTTCTTTTGATTGTTTAGCTGTGAGTATTTTCCATAGTTGCCCCCAGAGAGTATAAAGTGAGTGTTGTGTAAGCTAGTCAAAGACACGCCACTATGGCTGTACTCATGTGCATCTCAAAACATTCGTTTTGATTTCAGACTGGCCGGGGTAGCACCAGCTTGTTGGCTAAACGTTCAGCAGCGCGAGCCAGCGCTGGCACACCAGAAACTGCTCGTGGTATCGTTAGCCTCAGGCAAGGCCTGCAGCGCAAGGTATCCACTTCTTCTTCTTCATCGTCGTCAGCTCGTTTTCCTGTCTCTTCTCCCTCTCGCTCGTTCAACATATCTCGGCTTACTAACAGCACACCACCGTACCGCAATAAGTTCTACTTTACTCCTGAGAAGTCTCCTTCACCATCTAAAGCCAGTGGCATTCGACGAGGCGAGTTTACCCCTCCATCTTTGTTTACATCGTTGCATTCAGACTCGTCATGTTTTTGCAAGTCACACACATTTTCACCTTTAGTGTGTTCATCCTCTTCAAAACTGAGCACACCCAGCCCTCGGTCTGGCCTGTTGACCAGTCGGGGCTCAACGTCTTCTTCCTCCACGTCGCTGTCATCCTCTTCAGGTGCATCTAAGAGAAAACATGAGGCACCTGATGACTGTGTTGCTGGCAAGAAGGTAACAGCTTCACCCAGCTTTAATGTCATGCGTGGCTGTAGGTTAGAGCCTGTCATTCCCATGCCATCACCACATTCAGCCATGCCATCACTCTGTTTTCCCATGTCCACCCACTCCCATGCACTAGCAGAATCCCCACCATTTGCCTCCCACACCGCTGCTCACTGCACTCTGATGAAACAACTCCAGCAAATAGCCCGAGCTGCTAGAAAACAAACCCAAGCAGTGTTGACTGAAAAGGTCCATGTATTGGCCAGTGTTAAGTGCCCACCTCTGTTCCCATCTTGTCCCCATAGAAGTATCCCTGTGAGCAGGGCCAGCCCCCAGTGTCCTGCCCACTGTAACACATTAGCAGCTAACCCCTCCCATCACTTACCTCCTTCAAAGCATGTAGTGTGTCAGTTGTCTAACATAGCATGTCAGTGTACTAACCTACTAACAGAGCATGCGTCTCCAGGCAGTTGTCAGTGTGTCCTGCATGATTGCCATTCTAAATGCATGCATGTGTCTTGTAAAACAGCACAAGGTTTGCTGGGGAGGTGTCATTTGTGTCTCCCCTCACCTTCTTTAAAGCCAGAAGATGGCATCAGGAATAGTCATATTGATAGGAACAGTAGCAATGAGAAACTTGTCAAAAAGAGGCATTTAGTTCGGAACATTAGCACCCAAAACACAAAGCATAGCTACACCAGTAGGCACCAGCCTAAAGTCTTTGTCCTTCCATGTTTGTGTGTCTTGTGTTCAGGTGTAGTCAGTTCTTCTCAAGACAGTAGCAATTGTCAGGGCATGTCACCAAGCCAGGCTTTTGGTCAGTTAGAAAATTGTTGCAGCCATGAACTGGACAGCAAACTTAAAGACAGGGGTGCTGCTTCAGGAGGTCACTGTCCAGCTACAGGTAGCCACCCAGAGAAGAGAGATGTTCCAAACACTGGTCACTGTCCAGCTACAGGTAGCCACACAGAGAAGAGAGATGTTCCAAACACTGGTCACTGTCCAGCTACAGGTAGCCACACAGAGAAGAGAGATGTTCCAAACACTGGTCACTGTCCAGCTACAGGTAGCCACACAGAGAAGAGAGATGTCCCAAACACTGGTCACTGTCCAGCTACAGGTAGCCACCCAGAGAAGAGAGATGTTCCAAACACTGGTCACTGTCCAGCTACAGGTAGCCACCCAGAGAAGAGAGATGTTCCAAACACTGGTCACTGTCCAGCTACAGGTAGCCACCCAGAGAAGAGAGAAGTTCCAGAGTCTGGTCCATTCAAGTGCCAGCTGCCTGATGCTGATGGGAGAAAAAGGAAGAAAAGAGCGCAGAGACTGGGGAAAAAAAGAAAGAAAAAATGTGTGAAGGAAGTCAAACTACCAAAGATAAAAATCCGCATAGTCAGAAGAAGAGTCTGGCATGAGAAGACTGAATATAGGTGGGGAATCATTGTGGGCAATAATCCAATCTGTGAGCAACAGAAGCATCCAGCCCAGAGAGGTTTGCTTAAGGCTGGTATCAAAAATGGCTTGAGTGAAATCCAGCAGAGTAAACCTCTTGAGCCTGAACATCAAGCAGATCCTGGCCAGGACAGAGCAGGTAAGAAGATAGAATGCCATGGGGATTTCCAGAAGGACTTTTTAAGGATATTCAACTCAGCTGTAGCATGCATCAAACCTGCAGTCAACTCTGATAGTGTTCACAACAAACCTGCAGTCAATGTACAATGTTCAGATTCTTTTACCTCCTGCAAGAATATTGTTGATAAAAGAACAGACAGAATTCTGACCAGCCAAAGACAACCATTACTGGCTGTACTAGATGACCATTCATATGGTCTTCCAGCTTACCTCACCCAGCAACCACCTGCTGGGCCTCATGGTCTACCTGCTCTCCTTGACGACCATTCATATGGTCTTACACCTTACCTCACCCATCAGCCAGATATATCAGTTGGGCATGGCAGAGCTGCCCCTGACAACCAGTCCATATCAAACAGGCATGGTGATGATGCCCCCAGCATTCAGGGCACACCTAACAGGTACGACACTGCCGCCCCTTCCATGCACAAGAGTCAGGGTGGCTATTGGGGAGCTTACAACAAGTTCCCAAACAAAAGGTCTTCAGTTGAACAACATTTGGCTGATAGGTTTTCTTTAAGACAGCAAATCATTGAAGCTTTTTCTAAAGTTGCAAGAGAAGGAAAGATTGTGGCCAATGTAAAACATAAGGAAGCTGTTGGCTTTAATAAAAATGAAAAAGTTCTACATCTAGACCACAATGGAACATTTGTTAGTCATCAATTGAACCATGACCATCAACAACTGAACCATGACAGTCAACAACTGAACCATGACCATCAACAACTGAACCATCACCATCAACTGAACCATGACCATCAACAACTGAACCATGACAGTCAACAACTGAACCATGACCATCAACAACTGAACCATGACCATCAACAACTGAACCATGACAGTCAACAACTGGACCTAGATGGTCAACAAATGGACAGTGACAGTCAACAACTGGACCTAGATGGTCAACAAATGGACAGTGGCCATCAAGAACTGAACAGTGACAGTCAACAACTGGACCTAGATGGTCAACAAATGGACAGTGGCCATCAAGAACTGAACAGTGACAGTCAACAACTGGACCTAGATGGTCAACAAATGGACAGTGACAGTCAACAACTGGACCTAGATGGTCAACAACTGGACAGTGACAGTCAACACCTGAACCATGACAGTCAACAACTGGACAGTGACAGTCAACAACTGGATTGTGATGGTCAACAACTGGACCTAGATGGTCAACAACTGGACAGTGACAGTCAACACCTGAACCATGACAGTCAACAACTGGGCAGTGACAGTCAACAACTGGATCGTGATGGTCAACAACTGGACCATGACAGTCAACAACTTGACAGTGACAGTCAACAACTGAACAGTGACAGTCAACAACTGGACCTAGATGGTCAACAACTGGACAGTGACAGTCAACAACTGGACCGTGACAGTCAACAACTGGATCGTGATGGTCAACAACTGGACCTAGATGGTCAACAACTGAACAGTGACAGTCAACAACTGGACCGTGATGGTCAACAACTGGACCATGACAGTCAACAACTTGACAGTGACAGTCAACAACTGAACAGTGACAGTCAACAACTGGACCTAGATGGTCAACAACTGGACAGTGACAGTCAACAACTGGACCGTGACAGTCAACAACTGGATCGTGATGGTCAACAACTGGACCTAGATGGTCAACAACTGGACAGTGACAGTCAACAACTGGACCGTGATGGTCAACAACTGGACAGTGACGGTCAACAACTGGATCGTGATGGTCAACAACTGGACCTAGATGGTCAACAACTGGACAGTGATGGTCAACAACTGGACCGTGATGGTCAACAACTGGACAGTGGCAGTCAACAACTGGACAGTAACAGTCAACAACTGGGCAGTGACAGTCAACAACTGGACCTAGATGGTCAACAACTGGACAGTGACAGTCAACAGCTGAACCATGACAGTCAACAACTGGACCTAGATGGTCAACAACTGGACCTGAATAGTGGCAGTCAACAACTGGGCAGTGACAGTCAAAAACCGAGCTATGACCATAAATATCTGGATCATTGTCAAACTGTACAGATAAATAGAGAAGCAGATAAGTTACGATTAGAAAATCAAGTGTTTTGTGGAAAAAATCAGTGCAATTCAAACATTAGTCTATTTTTAGGACTGCCACTAAGCTCATTTGCAAATAGCATCAAGTTTGTAGATCCTAAAATCTCAACAATAGAACAAGTGTTTGTCGATCCTAAAACCTCAACATTAGAACAAGAAAACATCAAGTTTGTAGATCCTAAAACCTCAACATTAGAACAAGAAAACATCAAGTTTGTAGATCCTAAAACCTCAACATTAGAACAAGAAAACATCAAGTTTGTAGATCCTAAAACCTCAACATTAGAACAAGAAAACATCAAGTTTGTAGATCCTAAAACCTCAACATTAGAACAAGAAAACATCAAGTTTGTAGATCCTAAAATCTCAACAATAGAACAGGCACACATTAAGTTTGTAGATACTAAAATTTCAACATTAGAACAATCAAACAATAATTTTTTAGATCCCAATAGCTCAACTTTAGAACATGCTAACATCAAGTTTGTAGATCCTAAAACCTCCACATTAGAACAAGAAAGCATCAAGAATGTCGATCCCAAAATCTCAATATTAGAACAAGAAAACATCAAGTTTGTAGATCCTAAAACCTCAACAGAACAAGAAAACATCAAGTTTGTAGACCTTAAAACCTCAACATTAGAACAAGAAAACATCAAGTTCGTAGACCTTAAACCCTCAACATTAGAAGAAGAAAACATCAAGAATGTCGATCCTAAAACCTCAACATTGGAACAAGAAAACATCAAGTTTGTAGACCTTAAAACCTCAACATTAGAAGAAGAAAGCATCAAGTCTGTAGACATTTGTCCCATCCTTGAGTTAGTAAAAAGCTATTGTGACCATAGTTCGTGCAGGTCCATCTGTAAAGAAATTTGTCTAGAGAACTCTACAGCGCCATGTCTGAAGCCAGTTATCTCTGGTGAAGGTCTTATCAAGTGGAGAAATAAACAGATTCAGACTAATTTGGATTCTGTCTTGGATGATGCACCAGTAGTTCAAGCTAAAGAAGCAAGCAGTAGGTTAAAAGAAGAAAAGGTTTTGACTCAAACTAAAGAGGATAAGCTAGAGCGAGCTAAACAAAACTGTGACAATGATTCAAGACAGATGTACACTGTGCTTCAGACAAGCAAACCAGTGAAAGCAGCTTCTATCTTGAAGAAATCTTTGGTTGCTGGTAGATGCTTGTGTCAGAGAAAGCTTGAAAAACACCAGAAACAGCTACACAAATGTTTGTGCTCTTTTTGCAAGATCAAATTTAGTAGAATGACAGTCAAACAGAGATATTTCCCATATAAAATGGTTAG